GAGTTATGTTAGAATATGTTACAATGAGCATACATTTTGAAATAAGAAGAATTAGAAATATTTTCATGCTTTTAGAAGGAATCCTTGGCATTCTTTAAAGCAAAGCAAGATCCAATTGATATTTTGAGCAAGGAATGTTGTAATCGCTGTGATTCCTAGTATACAAAGTCAATATGACCCTGGTGTTCTTCTGTTGCAAGTTCACAACATTGTGGCAGTGTCTCCAAACATGTTTCTTTCCTCATCAGACATAGAAATGTGGATTATACCCTTTGACTGATTCAGTAAATAAATCTGTCCATTCATCCATTTTAAGTTTTAGAAGTCACATTTCAGACTGATTTCAACCATGTCAACAGCAAAGTATTGATATTTTTCCATTCCCAAATTATTTTGCCAAAGATCAAATGGCAGTTTAGAGCATAACTCCAAGAATTTGAAACTGTTTGAATTAAAAGGAAATACATCAATACCAATATCATTGTATGGTGGGGGGGGGGGGTCAAGTTGAGTTATTTGGGGCATTGCATTAGACTGAGGAAAGAAAACCTTGAGTAAAATACAAGAGGAAATGAGGCATAGATTTAACAAGATCTTGCATATTGTGGTCTAATAAGACAGATAATTTAGCAATTCCTGTTTCATAAGCCCTTGATAACCAGTCCAGTAATAAATCAATGCACTTATTTATCATCCATATAAACAGGTACAGGGTGATATTCTAGGCAGTGTGGTGCACAGTCACAGTCATAGCACAGTCACAGTCACCATATAAACAAGACTATTTGGGTCATATAAATGATTAAAAACATTGGTTTTCTGAGGCTGTGCCGTGGATACCCTGAACCAAAACAAACTAAAGATGAACCTATCTAACTGAGATCACAAGTCTTACAAATGCAAAGTAGTGCTTGATATTCCTAATATCTTCAAAAAATGAAAATGCCTCTCAGAAGTGAAAAAAGAACAAAGAAGTTACCTTATGAAGTTGATGTATGTGTAATAATCAGTAATCATTTAGACCACACTAGATGACTAAGACAAAATAAGGATGTACGTGTAATCAGATACACAGAAATGTATCTTTTTATTCAGGTAAGACAAAGGATGCCATTTTCAACCAGGTAAGGTTCAATTTTTAAAAGAGCTTCGTCTACGATTACTATTTGCCTCTGGGCTTCAATGTTGATTCTGTATTCATTGAAGGAATGGGGATAAATCAAACAAAGTTGTAAATATCAGTCACTATTTTTAGGATGTTTTCACATGGGCTTTCAGCATGGGCTTTCTATTGAATGCCCATGGTTTCCAGTTTAAAATGACAAATCTATATTTTCAAGTTTATTTTGTGAAAATAACATGTGTAGGGATACTTAAGACATGTATACTAGTATTGATCATTGGTTTTATCAGTTGATATGATTTATCAGGGTTTGTTATGTTTATAAATGTTCTTCACGTGTTGCCTTTTTCTTTGATATTTGACCAGAACTTTAAAAACAGAGATATATTTCAAAGTTGACAAATGACACAGTAATTACATATTCATAGTAAATATTATGAATTACTAGGCCAATATAACTCTAGGCTAACCAAACAAGTGTCTCTGTTCAAAACAATAATAAATGATGGCCCATGACCTCTACATGCTGAAGGTGTAATGAATAGAACATTAACACAAATTATCTCCCCTCCCACACACATTAGGTTTGTGCACAGCCTACATAATAAATGACAGCACACAAACATGGGTATTGGTCTCATTGGAGTTTGATATAATTAGATTGTTAGAAGCACAAATCATTTGATGGAAAATGAGAAAGGCTAGGAAGATATTCGGTTTCTGGAAATGTTCATTTTGTTAACAATAATTATATTTATTATTTCCATGCCGTGATATTCGTTCTCTCATTGGTCAATTAGATACCATGTGACTAGAAATATATAGAGGTATTCCTTGTCTCCCTGCTTAGAAAACGTGTGAAGAGTGTATTCACTAAAAATGACGTCATTTTAATTGAATAAATAGTGGTATTCACTAAAAATGACGTCACATCACTTAATTCCCGGGAATTTAGCTAAAAAGTATTTTCATCCGATATGACAGACGGTGAAGTTGTATCACGAAGTCCTCCCAAAAAAGGTTTAATACTGTATAACAAACCGGGATAAAGATTTTACAAATGTATTCAAAATGTCAACTAATGAAAGCACGAAGACTATGGACTTTAACATGGAAGATCCGAATCTAATTTTTATGATGTGACAGAGATCGTGATTTATAACAGAATATTGGTAAACGTTTGGAAATACGTTGAAACTAATGAGGAAATAATAAAACAAATATTGAATTCTGTGATCGTTTAATATCTGTATATATTTCTTAGGGATGTATTCACCTCGCCCTTCGGGCTGCGGTGAATACACCTTCAGAAATATATACAGATATTCAACTCCACAGAATTCAATATTTGTATATTATATACTATAGTACTAAAACTTGGTAAATTAAAAAAATGCTTCTTCAACCTAATTTGTTATTCCTCAACTGATATCATCAAGTTGAATATTTAGAGATAACAATGCCTATCAAGGCCAACAACAGCATGTGTATTTGTAGTTTGGAAGATTGCTAATGGTAAAGCTTATTTCAGTTCAGCTATTAATGTAGTAATCTACACTTCATGCAGTTTTATACACAAGAAACAGCTGGAATTGAACCGATTCTCTGTATTAATTTGCTATATTTTGCTGAAGTTGTGCACTGGCCTGAATTGTTATGCCACCTTTTCTGTCATGGTTCCAAAAACTGTACATTCATTGGGAACTTGATAGAAAGGTATTATGAAGGTTATTTAATGTAAGGTAGAGTATAAATCTGATGAGGAAGAAATTCTTACATTATTTATTTCACATGTATTTTAGACTGAAGTGGATCAATATCCTTGAGAAAATCTGGTTTCTGGAACAAAGTACAGTCTGGCATACAGTCCCAGAAACAAATGAAAAAGAACCAATTTTCCATATTAATTTTCGAAATTTTTCTGAAGCTCCGCATTCATTGTCCTGAATTGTTATTTCGTCTCATTTGTCATTTGTCCAAATACATTTATTGGTAATTTGAGATTTCACAGGAAGTTTAAGGTGAAATATTTATAAGGTGAGGTGTCAAAAGAAATCATCTCATACATTTTATTTATTTACATGCATTTTGGACTGAAGTATATATCAATGTCCTGGAATTGAACAAGTCAAGAACATAATCTGAGACTCATTCAAGTAACCAAATAATAAACTATTAACTCATTTGTAAATGAATTGAGGATTTATGGGTCTGTGTACCAGCCTGATTTGTCTAATTGAGTGAATATTGCATGATGATACATCTAATGTATATGGAGCCAGATGCCAGACATAAAACATATCCTGTTAGAATGCTACATTAACTGGGATGATCACAAAGATAAAGAGTCACCTAGTACTACGAAGTAAAATATATCTGAAATGATCTCAAGTTAAAGGAGATTAGTAAAGTATTTTTTGTGTATCATAAAATACCAAACTCCAAATAAATATTATAATCTCTTCAAAATATTTCTTGAGAAACAGCTGAACATTACAGTGTCTATATCTGTACATTTTCTACCATCATCACTCACCATAAATCATTATAAAATATTGAATATTGAAAACTGAAACAAAGCTATGATGAATGTAATAAATGAATGCACTTGTTGCCTTGAATCACATAGTATATTCACAATACATATGAGGGAAATGAAATAATTATGCCAATCACTATGAAGCATGACTCATGGAGCTTTTCAAACATCTTTAGCTTTTTATCATTAGAGATTGCAGCTATCATGTCTCACAATGAGCGGATGAACTTCCTGTATAGTAATGGCACCAATATATATTGGGGTTGTCTGAAACTTAACCCCTCATTTTTGGCATTGAAGGCATAGTGTGAAAAGCATGAGGGTGGACAGTTTTTATCACATAATAATTTCTACTATTATAGCTCTAATTAGATATTTTATTCATTGATAAATGTATTTAATGAACTTCCCTAGTCTCATTACTCGTCCCAACATTATTTGTAGATTAATACAAAAAAGACACCAACTTGCAAAGCTATCCCTTAAGAATGATGTGGGTCCCTATATATATTCTTTTAAGAATGAAGAAGAGTTATGTAACTGATATCTTAATTATCTTATCACCAGGTGAATATTGAAAAATGTGAATCTGTCTTTTAATGAACCAACCTCTTGTTACAGTGGTATTTTGAAAATCCTCGTGTAAAATGATTCTTATTGGATTTATTGATACCAGGTTCTTATATAATCTGACCATCTAATAATTTTGATAAATACATGAAATGGTTTAAGCATACATTATATTCCGACTTAAATGTTTCTCATTCATAGATACTGTTTATGTTTATTTTTAATAAATGTACATCTACCATATAAGGTATCAATTAGGATTGTAAAGTTGGATATGACTAATAAATTCAAAATTGGCTATCGAATCCGTTATTTATTTATCGTGAGGTCAAGATTATAGGTCAAACTTCAAATAGCTACTTTTCAGATAGCCTAGTTCCCAATAGTAAATAATGTTAATCATTTATTTGCTGTTATATGAGAGTATAATAAATGTTTATGGCTTTATTTTGGACTTATCAGTCAATTGATTGAATTAGAGTAGGTGTGCATATTGATTTAATAAGAGGATAAATACTCCTGGATGGGATATAGTTAGCTACTGTTTTCATAGCATCATTCAATTCAAATACTTTTCCTGAAGAAGCTTTATGACAAATGCCAAAAGTAGTAACAAAAGTTTCTAACTTTCAATTCAGCGAAAATTGTTCAGACCCTTATATTGTTGCTATAATCATCTTTAATTTGCCACAAACTCTATCAGAAGATGTATCAGAACTGAAAACAATAACCAATTTTTAAATAGATAGAAACTTTTTGTATTTTCAGGTTTAATACCAAGCCTGTTATAACAAACAATGGACGACTTAGCAAACTTTAGATAACAGTTCACCCAAAACAGAGCCTTGAAGTACACCACAATTCATCATGACAGGGGGTGGAGACAAAGTGTCTCAACTGTATGATCAGTTCTGTAATGTCCAAACATGTAAAGGGGTGCTCACAACATTCCATAAACTATGTGATGCATTGGATATTAAATATACAGACCACAGAGGATTTTACTTTCGGCTGAGGGCCAAGCTCAGAACATGGAAGGCCCAATCACTGTGGGCCAAGTTGGACAAGAGGGCAATGATGAAGGAGTATAAGAAGGGGACTGCTTGCCTAGATTCAAGGGTAGGTATTTATAATTTGATATCAGTGATCACAGTGATCTCCTGAGCTTTGAATCACCCTACCTGGGTGGTACATCAATTTGGGAATTTGAAAACTACCTTTCACCCTGTTAGAAAGTTTTGGGTTATTTTTGATAAAAGTTATTGTTGGAAGTGAAAGAAAATTTAAATCCACTTGAGAAAAATCCTTAGGAGATTGATGTCCTTGTTTAAATTGTCAATGGTTTGTACAATGGGCTTAGGATCAAGCATACATGTGTGCATACTTGTATTGAATGGATGCAGGCAGATGGGTGGGTAAGCTGGCAGGGTTGAACCACATTAATCTTGTTTAAATTGTCAATGGTTTGTACAATGGGCTTTGGATCAAGCATACATGTGTGCATACTTGTATGGAATGGATGCAGGCATATGGTTGGGCAGGCAGGCTGGGTTGAACCACATTAATCTTGTGTTATATGCCCAAATATGAGAGAAAATAATTGGATTTGGGAGCCGATGAGAGCTTAGAATATTAGATTTGCTTGTGTTAGCTTGTAATTGATGATGAAACTATTGAAATCTGTGATTAATCGATTTGATTAAAAGAACGCTAATACTCAACATTGCTTCCTTAAAGCTTCTTATCTTTATCTTTTAACTCTATTTCCTAATGGCTATGAAATGTTACTTATCTTCAAATTGAAACTGAGAACATTTATACAATGAGCTCTATATTTAGAAGGTATTTATCTTGAGATGTATTCTACTTAATATTGGTAGGTCTTGTTGACCTCTTTGCTTTGTCTACATTCTGAAGACACTTATTACACTGGTGATCCACTCGATTACGCTGGTTACCGAAACGGTTCGTTTTGGTAACAAAATGTCGGAACATCGAAGGTACGATTTTTCTTTTTTCCTTATTTCATACGTTGTAGGCAGAATTCCCACGATATTTTTTTATCACAAACGTGTATCAGTATCATATGTTTAAGAAAATGCACATATTTGCGAACAAATAGTTCAGAAAACAACAGAATTGTCGGTTTAATTCCCCACTTAAGTTACATAAACGGTATTTCGAAAAACAGTTGAGATCTGCACTTTTAACCCAAACCGTTTATGTAACTGTAATTTTGTTCCGACATTTTGTTACCAAAACGAATCGTTTCGGTAACCAGCGTAATCGAGCGGATCACCAGTGTATTAGGAATGAAACTTGGATACTTCACCATATTTCCAATGACAATGTGAAGGTTTTCATTTTGTCAAAAATCGTCAATGAAAAAATGTTTTTCTACCAATTCGGTATTTTGTCTTCACCCAATATATCATACGCCAAATTAATGAATCAGGGTTTGGTTCATAGGATTCATAGAGTACTGAGAATGTACTGAGGGCCCATGCCTGTGCAGATAGGGGTATATATAGCAGGGCTTATACATGTATAATCAGGGGGAATTATACACGTGTAAGAGAGAAACTAAGGCAGGGCTCTCGCCAGGCTTTTAGACTGTGGTACAGCACCACAGTCTATTTAGCTCCCACCACACCTCATTGGCAAATATTGATTGTCCCCACATTCTAAACTTGACTGAATATATAATAATAGCATGTAAAAAGGATAAAACATAACATAAATATGATTTAACATAAATATGATTTATCATGACTGAATGGTTATTCTGAAGATGTAAGCACCACACCCTAAATATTTCCTGGTGAGAGCCCTGGTAGGGGACAGATGTTCAGTGAGATGCATAATGTGTGTTAAGAGAATGGACATATACTGGAGAGAGGGTTTACATGCTGATATTCATCAGGGCTCAACATTTAAAAAGCAATTGCTAAATAATGGATGTGAGCTGACATATTCACGACTCAGACATGCTTCTTTACAATAACATATCTCAAAATTTACACCCACAAAAAATAAAAATAAAAAAGACAAATGGAACATCAACTATTGACTAATGAAATCATACAGAGGCCAAAATTGTATCATAGTTTTGAATATTTGGCTGTACCTACGTATGTTAAAGTAGGAGGTCATTGCGACATGAATCAGCCCATCACTCAGTTATTATCATCAGTTACAAAAATGAGTTATCCATGAAGCCAGATATATATTACACCTTACACCCTACACTTGTGAGTCAGTTGGAAATGGCGCAGAAACTATACATCAGGTTTGCATAGTGTTTCGAATCTGAAGGAACTGAAGATATTCTTTATATTAGTGTGTCCTGGGCATATCTAATCACAGGCTAGAATCTGATGATGCATTTTTGAAAGCATGCATGGATTGTGTGCCCAGAATGAAATGCATTTTGTTTTACAATTATGTGTAATCAGTGGACGATCCTAAGAAAACACATCCTTGTAATATGATAATATAATTTCATTTCCATGAAATGTAGCTATATTTCTGCCATGATTGGAGATCCTTAGAATTCTCTGTTCGCAATATAATCAATGAAATAAAAAATGTCATGCAATGGTGTATTTGGAGAAAATTATTTATATTCTTTGCTTCAGTCTGCCTAAGTAATAACACTGCAAAAACGGAAGTGGAATGTTGAATTGGCAATAGTGAATTAGAATATTGTGCATAAAACCAAGGGAATCACCCCATATTGTGATAAATCCAAGTCTAATAGCCCCTTAGGCATGTATCTCTTCTTTGCAGGAGAAGGCCTGTGTATCGAATTAACCTTTTCACTCTCATAGGATAAAAACCCTGGATTTGATATAGAAAAAACGATTTGTTAAATTATTTATGAATATAATGCAAGTTGAATGATCAAGGTCTGTTGGAATGAGCAAAATGTCATCAGGTTTAAAAAATGTTGATTTTTAGCGGAAATTGTTTGGGAGAAATGAATTGAATTGAATTGAATATTGCAAAATTTCACTTTTAGATACATATTACAAAAGCTAGAATATTTTTAACAAAGAATAACAGAAGAATCTCAAAAAAATCCTTGGACAAGATTTTAGTATTGATCTAGCCTAAATGTAAAATATCTTTGTGGTAATAAGTCATCGTAATATTATACTGTAAAAATACCAATTAGCTAATGCGATAAACTAATAATTCAATTTCTAAAAATAACCTCATATCATGGAAACCACTGTTTTATGATTTAGATTTTTACCCCCCCCCCCTTGTTTTTGCTCTAAAGAATATGACTAACCGAAATGTAATATCGACTCACACTAAATTAATAAAAATGGGGCTACTTATACTGTGTAAAGGCTCAACAATTGTCCATGGTTTTTGTTTCATTTTCCCTCGATAGCTCATGAAAAAACTGTCCTGCATATTAAATTTAAGAAATATGGGTCTTATACTTGTCCAGCAAGTTAGATTTTGTACTTAGGCCACTGGTATACATGAATTATGTCATTTAAGGAGGTTGTAAACATCACTGAGAAACACAAAGGAGTATAAATAATTACTGAAAGTTGTGACCAGATGTGATATGGCGGTTAAAGGCCATGTAGATTATTTTATTCCTGTCAAATAATACCTTTATAGCAAATGAGAAATTACTGGACAGAATGTCACTCCCTGTTTGAGATATGTACTGTAAGGTTAACACTGTGGGTAGTAAACACAAAGTCGCTCTCTGGAAACCTACGTTTGTATGTAATAATTATATGTAATAATACAGGATAAATAAAAAATAAAACCTTCAGGATCCTCATATATTTCATCTACAGTACTCCTATTTCAAGCATATATCTGAGAAAATTGAATGAAGCCCTGATTTTCTTTTGATCTTATCTATTTATTTGGAGTGGTGATTTTCTTGAAAAGTTACAATATAATCTGTACTTTTCAAGCCAAGTTCCTTAATGGATTGATTCTTGTTATGAAAATCTAGAACTGATGAGATTGGTCATTATATTCAAGTACAATAATGAATATTGTTCAGTGTGTGCCTTATTTATTACAGGTGCTAATCATTGGTGCTGGACCATGTGGACTACGTATGGCCATAGAGTGTGCTCTCCTGGGGGCCAAGACTGTTGTCATAGAGAAACGAGACAGATTTACACGCAACAATGTGCTCCATCTTTGGCCTTTTCTCATTACCGATCTCAAAGCTTTGGGGGCAAAGAAATTCTATGGGAAATTCTGTGCGGGACAAATAGACCATATAAGTAAGTTTCTTTCTTTTAAGGTAAACTTCTTCTATAAACCTCTCAAAAATGTTAATTAGTTTTAAAAATTCAAGTAAATCTTTGTTAGTTATATGACTAGTAAGTGTATTGGTATATCAAACCCATGTACTGTCTCCAGTCAGTAACATGGAAAAATGGCTGGGCACATAGTCATATGTATATGTAATATATTGAGGTGGCAGATATTTGATAACTAGTCTGACGACTGATGTCAAATGAAATAATTTAAGAGTTTCTGACTCCCTTTGATTTCAAATCTGGCTTTTTCTAGAGCAACGTAAACATGTCTTACATGATTCTTGTATGTGATTTTAGGTATTAGACAACTACAGTGCATGCTGCTGAAGATTGCCTGTCTGGTTGGAGTAGAAGTACATACAAATACAGGCTTCAATGATATCATAGAGCCACAAGAGAATCAAAGTTAGTATCTGTGCTGCGCTGTTAAAGTAGGAGATAATTTTATGCAAAGTTCTATAGTTGATTACACTTAAAGAGGAGAATCAGTGATAGAGAACATCATTTTTTTTAGTATGAGATCATTCAATAAGAGGAGAATTATTGACAGAGAGCAACATTGTCCAACATTTTCTTAATTTGAAAAGCTTTGGGGCTTGAATCATTCCCTGTCAGGCCTATTTTCTAACTCCCCAAAGTACACTGTACATCATTTTATACACTCTATTACCCTTGGTAGCTCACATGTTTTTGCTTAGTAAGTGACACTTCAAAATTAAGGAATAATGAATTAAAAGTTTACCATTAGGCAATCATTTCAGTTTTTAAATCATTATTGCAATATTCAACCATTCAACTTTCTTCGTAAACAAGGACAAATGACAAAATGAATGTGCATTGATAGAATTTGCGCTGAAATGATTTGAGTTCATCCTGACATGGATGGGAATGATGTCAAATGACCTCACAATATTGATCCCTGGATTCATTCTAAAAGAACTACAAATGTATGTCAAAGATTTTAACAGTGCAGTCATTTCCCAAATTCATTCATTGTTAAATTATAATTTCTGATATGATAGGTCAGGGTATTTTGCCATGGTTGAATCTCAAATACGTTCTTTGTGATACCATAGACTTTTTTCAAGAAATATAAGATAAATTCTTTTTTTCAGAAACTGGCTTCAGAGCTGATGTATCTCCAGCAGACAGTCCAGTTTCTGAGTTTGAATTTGATGTCCTGATTGGTGCAGATGGCAAAAGGAACACACTTACAGGTATACACTTTTGCACTTACAGGTATACTTATAGCTGTACTAAAACTTTGAACACAGACCCGGTATATGGGGATATGAGCAAACTATTTCCTAGTATTGTAATAACTAGCTTAAGATGTTTTTGCAAGGTTAAGTCATCCTATTAAATGCTTGTGTGGTTGTGTGCCATATTTGAACTGTTTTGATTTGATTGTTTATGTTTCAGGGTTCAAGAGAAAGGAATTTCGTGGTAAGCTGGCTATTGCAATCACTGCCAACTTCACGAATCGTTACACATTACAGGAGCAACAGGTACGTGTGGCTTCACTGAGTTTGCTTAATACCATCATTTAGTGATAGAAGTCAGCAAACTATGGTGATAAAGATTTGTTTCCTTATTTATTCATAAATCTTTTTAGGTTGAACTATCCTTGTTCATTCTTTTTTCCCCAGACTGTCTTTTCTCTGACATAATCAGTATTTCATTCTTAAACTGAAAGGCATGTCTATATTATACACGATAGACCTTTGATAATATTAATCTAGGTGAACATGTCACACACAAACTACCTTAAAGGAGATTATTGGTGGTATTTCATACATTTTCAACAATAATTTTTTCCAGGTAGAGGAGATAAGTGGTGTCTCGTACATCTTCAATCAGAAGTTCTTCAAGGACCTCTATGCTAACACTGGTATTGATTTGGAGAATATTGTTTACTATAAGGATGACACTCATTACTTTGTCATGACAGCCAAGAAGCAAAGTCTATTAGAGAAAGGTGTATTAATTCAGGTGAGTATGAGAGAAATGTTAGTTTGATATATATACCTAATATACAAACTTCACATGGAAAACTTATCACTAAATAGACTGTAGAGATCAAGATACCATGCCATCCTCATTATGTTATTGAGTTAAGAGGGAGACTATTAAAAATTGATTGAAACATTTGGGATTTTATGAAGTTGTCTGCTTGTTTAGCACAGCAGTCAGTGTATTTCTGGCATTACTAATTTAAACTTAGTGACCCTTACATGAATATGAATGTATTGCTCAACTTAAAAATTGTCAGTACATTGAACAATGATTGGTGCAAAATGACCTGCACCTATTAGTGTATTTTACTCCATTATTCATGTCTTCCAGGATCATGCAGATGCTGTTCAACTGTTAGACCCTGCCAATGTAAGACACGATGCCCTCCTGGCCTATGCAAAAGAAGCTGCAAATGTGTCTACCAACTACCAGTTACCAGATGTGGAGTTTGCACACAATCATTATGGCCAAGCCGATGTTGCTATGTTTGATTTTACATCCATGTTCGCAGCTGAAAATGCATCCCGTGTCATTGATCGTCATGGTCACAAACTTCTTGTTGGGCTCGTAGGGGACAGTTTGCTTGAGGTTTGTATTGCAGTGTAATATGCTGCTTTGAGAGCAAGCAATTTGTTAACTATGACAGCAATTTTCAAGAACAAATTCTTTGAATAAAAGTTGAAATGCATGTTTATATAGTCATGTTTGGCTTATTGAAAAAATTCTTTATTTTTGATTTTCCAGTTTTTTAGTACTTTTTTTTTTTTTAAATGCATATTGATTGATTTACTGCTATGGTATCCCTATTTTCTTGCTGCCTTTCTGGCCAATAGGCTCTGGTTGTGCTAGCTGAATGTAGATTGATTTTAATACTATGATATCCTATTTGCTTGCAGCCTTTCTGGCCAATAGGCTCTGGTTGTGCCAGGGGTTTCCTTGGAGTGTTTGATGCTGCCTTTATGATCAAACAATGGTCAGCTGGGAAGATGAACCCTTTACAGGTGAGACTAATGATTAAGAAGGGACAGGTGAACCTGTTGACACTGCTGGGAACACTAAAATACTGTTTATCAGGTGGGGGAGGGGTACTTCTTAAAATATTAATGGTAGTTTGAAAATCAATTATTTTAGAATTATTGCATTCAAATTTTTATATGCCAACTGTACTTTACATCCTACAAATACTGTATTATAATGGTTGAAATGTTTTTGTCATATCAACTGAAATTATGATTAATTCTCCATTACAGGTGCTTACTGAAAGAGAGAGCATTTATCAACTTCTATCTCAGACCACACCTGAAAACCTCAACAAAAACTTCAATGCTTATTCCATAGACCCCAATACAAGGTATTTAGCTTATAACATAATGTCCAGTTTCAATGCTTATTCCATAGACCCCAATACAAGGTGTTTCGCTATAATACAATGTCCAGTTTGTAGACAAGAGGTTTATAGTTGATTTACATGTGTATATATATTGTTAATTAATCCAGAAAGCATGATGCAAGTATTCTGCATATTTGCCCTGTTTGAATCTCTACCCTATTAAGATCATTGTTTTACAATTGAGAGGTGATAGATGAGATTGAACACTGCCCTGTATTCTATATTTTAGGTACCCTAATTTGAATTGCCAGAAATTCCGTCCGAGTCAGATGAAGCATCTTTATGATGGTGACTGTAGCAAGTACATTAAGGACATAGCCGAACCATTGCCAAAGAAAAAGTCAAGAGGTAAGAATGTTCGAATTATAGATAATAATTCTAAAATACGTTTACCAACTCCCAATACAACAGTTTATCATAAATTATAGGGCTGAGGGTCTTTGTTGGAACTCTTGATGAATTGAAAAAATTATCTTAAATTTGCAAAGTTTCAGTTCTTGCTGTCCGAAAAAATGGACCAATTGACTATATTCTTTATTTCCCAATATCAAAATTCCAGGTCAAAATCATAATCATGTTGTTCATATACCTGTAGAATTAGAAAAAACAGATCAAATAAAAAATGAAATGTGTTTTTTCAGATTTTGTGGACAGCTATACATTATTACGCTGGGTGCAAAAGCATATAGAAAGATACAAGCGAAGGGTGAAGGTCACAGATCTGACGTCATCATTCAAGAATGGCATGGCTTTCTGTTGTCTTATACACTCCTTCAGACCTGAGCTAATGTAAGTAAAATCAGATTCACTGGCTGCTATATTATACTGTTTTGAGAAGGGATGGGGTAGATATGTTTTCTGTAGTCTTGGAATTTTGATATGTCAGTAAAATATAAAAATGATTTGGCATTTGGTGTGCATGAAATAAAAACAACATACATGTATTATGGTTATGTGCCTCAACTTTGCCTACATATTTGTTCCAGTGTTATGAATGACCTTCAAGAGGATGACTGCCTAAAGAATAATGAATTGGTAAGTAGTTCAGAATAATTTATGTTGGTTTTGTCTGATTTCATGAAAAACATTGTTTTTTAGATTTGTTTTATGTCAGTGTTGTACCTTTAACTGTCTATAATGATGAAATATTTGCTTAAAGGGATTTTTTAATGTGTTTTTTATGCATTCAGGCATTTGATCTTCTTGAGCGAGAGTTTGGTATTTCTCCTGTGATGACCGCGGCAGATTGGGTGGCTCATGACACACCAGATAAATGGACAGTTGTTTCATATCTTCTGCAAATATATGACATTCTCAAATATGAGCGTCCCGCAAAAGGTAACTTTTTTAATCTTACATTTTGGTTATTTTATTTTCAAACACAATATATTTGAATTTCCTCTAAATATGTCTATTTATTATATAGATAACAAAATGGACGCATAAGAGGAAATGATATCTTGCTAAGAAAATATAACAAACCATGCAGTTATTCAAGGCAATACAGTATAAATAGAAAAATGGTTCAAAGACTGTCATTTAGAAATTTTTATCTTGATTATGATCAGCAAATAGAATGTGCATTAAACTAATAAAAATTGTGTTTTTAGTTGCTCGCAGTCCTACTACATTGTCACCAGATGAGGGAGATATCAGTCGGGCAAGGTCACCAAGGTCAACAAAGCAACGACTCTCAATCCTCAACAAGATCAGTAACAGATTATCCAAAACTAAAAAAGTAAGCTTTGTTTTATGATTTTTTTCATTTAAGACTTAATTTCAGAAGATATCTGAAAAATCTGCTTATTTTGTCAAGATCAATTAAAAACTTATTGAACCTATGCAAGAAATCCATGGTTATACAGGGTGTTCAAAAAAAACGCAACCCAAAGAAATCGCTATATCTTGGAAAATACTGATCCAATTATGTTCATATTTTCAGGAAAGAAAGAAGAGACTTTGCATGTATAGCCCCTGTTGTTAGTTAGTTGTAAAACATGATATCTTGGACACTTGCTCAAAAAACAGTTGTACTAGCAAAATACGAAAAACATGAATGGAAAATCACTATATCTTGGAAAATACTAATTCAATTATGTTAATTTTTTCAGGAAAAGAAAAAAGAGACTGTGTATGTATAGCTCCTGTTGTCAGTAAGTTGTAAAACCTGATGCCTTGGACACCTGCTCAAATGACAGTTGTACTGGGAAAATATGAAAACGCAGTCAGAGGTGACTGCCACAGCAATAAAACCAATTAACTTTCTAACCATGGTGTTTTTGCACTTAAGATTTGGCAATTTGAAAGCATTTCAACCATAACTGTAAAGTCCCTGAAGTGATTTTGATTTCACTCTACAGATTTACCATACAGTGAATAAAGATGATTTGTGCCAAATTTGAAGAGCCAAAACACTATGGTTAGGAAGTTATTCAAGTTTTTTGCAGTTGCAGGCACCCCTGACTGTGTTTTTCGTATTTTCCCAGTACAACTGTCTTTTGAGCAGGTGTCCAAGGCATCATGTTTTACAACTAACCATTTACAGGAACTGTACATACACAGTCTCTTCTTTATTTCCTGAAAAATGAACATAATTGAACCAGTATTTTTCAAGATATTGCTATTTCTTCGGGTTGCGTTTTTTTTGAACACCCTGTATTTGGCAAGAGCGACATATATTTTGTGTTTTTAGGAGAGAGAAAGAGAGCGAAGAGTTACTAGACTTGAAACACCAAAATCTCCCACATCGTCCTACAATGAAAAAGAAAATCGCCAAGTTGGCCGTCTACAGGACTCTAACATCATTGGTCTAAATCAGAAACAATCATTTTATACGACTCCAAAACGTCATATAGAAGATGAGGCACCATTCTCTGATATATCCTCAGCCCGTCAGAAAATTATGGATGCATATAGCTACAAACGCCCTGAATTGAAGCCACCTCCACCAATGATTGATACAGGGGCAGAGAAAACTGGCATTATGGAAACCCAGCAAAGGTTACAAGAAAGTGCAAAGAAGAAAGGGGTTTGTAAAATTTCTATTTTAAACTTACTCATACAATTTGATAAGCAGGTGACTATTTCATCAAATAAAGTATGTTATTAGTCACATTTTTCAAATATGAATATGTCTTAATAAATTTTAATCTCCCCAAATTTTATTACCTCTCTTAAAATGCCTAACTATATGTCTAAGCTATTACCTCATTAGGTGAAGACCCATGACCCTACACTGGTGCTAACTGATGCTAATGAAGCCAAGCGCCTATTCCATGTGGCTGCAACTACAGAGAAAGTCATCAAGAAGAAAGAAGAAGAGACTCCTCTGTCTTTTGGTTCTGGATTAGCTAAGAAGAGAATTGAAGAAAATGAGGTTTGTTAATATGTTGGGCTTTAACATTAACTCCTCAGATGGTATTAATTTGAGATACATGTACATTGTAATCAGCATGGGCCCCATCATGAAAGTATACAACATGCAGCTTTAAGTTTTTTGAATCTCTGTCAATCAAACCACAATCTCGTTCAACTCCAAACCAATGAAATCTCTGTTCAATCCTTGTTATTTCAACGCAACTCAGAAATGAAACATCAGTGTGACTTGAACACAATGTTAAATAATTACATTTCAACTTTTTTGATCAACTCATTTGTATGTATATTTTAAAATTTTGAAAATTCATCTCTTTCTCTAAATCTAGGATGGAGTTGAGCTTACAAAATTCTCCAGATTTGACAGTGTCGACAGTAAGTTACAAAGTGCGTCAAAGATTCTCGAGAAAGGGAATGCCGGGAACCTTGATGCAGGAACTAGGGGGAATAATCGCGTCACAAATCTTGCCCAACAGTTGGTGTCTAAACTACATGAGAAGAAAGAGGAGCCAGCCTATAAGAAACTAGACAGGGTTAGGAGTTTCATCTTTCATAGTCAATCTTTCTCTTTGAAATATGTTTAGGTTCACATTTTATTGTAGTTTTGCCATGAGAAAAGGAGGGCTACTTAGTACTTGTTTATAGATGGATGATTTAACTTGAAACTTCACATTGAGATTTGTATATGATTTGGGGACAACTATGCCAACAAATAAAAAACAATCTAAATATTAACAAGTGTAATAACAAACAATTACAGAATGTGCATAATTTGTTATTTCATTATTTTCAGAATTTCACAGGCCATCTATTGAAGAATGTGATGGTTGTTGGGCCCAGCAGTGAGTTCTGCTATTTCTGCAAGAAGAGAGTCTACTTGGCAGAGAGACAAACTTCTGAGGGCTACTTCTTCCACAGAGGCTGCCTCAAGTGTGACTTCTGTAGCACTGCATTAAGGATTGGCAGCTATGCCTTTGACAGATCTGAAGATGGCGATGGTATGTGTTGAATGTTATTTACATAGCTGTTACCAAGACACTACTAGAGTAAAACCTGTAAAGTGGAATGTCTCTGTAAGTGGAACACAACACAGAATCTAACACCCCTATGCAGAGCCCAAGTCATGTCACCCATTAAGTCAATGTAAAATGAACCTTTGTGTATGAAACACCTCCTTACCATATTTCCTTTTAGCATACGTCAGTGGTATAACTTTGAAAAACCTATAAACAGTTATTTGTTTATCATAATTGCAGGCAAGTTCTACTGTATACAGCACAAGGGGATGGTGAAACGTGTGAGGCGTAAACGTAGCAGAGAGTACAATGAGCCCCTACCTCCAGTGCCATCTATTCCACCACCCAAGACCCCAACTAACCAACCCATTCCTGGGCAGTACACAGGTTAGTAATATTGTCACCTTTCTATGCATCTCAAATTCATTATTTGCCTATTAAAATCATAATTCATGCAATGCCACTGTCTCTCAACCAGCGTTGATTTATATAAACGGAGGTTTTGTGATTTTCCAGTTGGTGGTCTTACTGTTCCCTCATTGGACAACATCAAGACCGCCACGCCTGAGAGGGCGGAGTTTGAGATGAGTTTTGACGGCACCCTTGATGACAATGAAGAGTCCGAGTATGAGTGCAGTCTGAGGGCTTCTATGAGCATGGACACAATAGAACTGGACTACAGTGATGAAGAGTAAGTCCACTTGACCAACATGGGTCGCAATAATGTCATTTCTCTCTTCTCTAATTCTTGTATTCCTCTATACGATGCAGCACGTGTGCCTTCTTCTTTGCTAATCTGTACTATTCTCTGTTTTATTTATACCATAGGACACTACATCTGCCATGACATATATTTCTGATATGCAACTTGAATGAAGCATTGTACATTCACTTTTTACAACTTCTTGTACTTTCTGTCTTGTTTTGTGATATTTGTTTGCTAATTTTTGTGTTTTGTCTTTATATGTGTTATATATACTTGTAGTCTGTACAGCCTATTATGTGTTGTCTATATATGTGTTATATTATGTTATCTACTGTATGTGCATTATATATAGTCTATGTATATAACGTATATGTTGTCTATATGTGCTTTAAGTGTAGTCTATTGATTGCAATGTTTTCATTGTATGTCTTTCTATTATAGAGAAGATGAATACCATGATTCTGTGTTTGAATCTTCAGAATCTTCTTCTTCAGGGTAATGCTTTGCTATCTGTTCTTTTTGGTGGCATGTCTGGGGCTTTTACAACTAACTGATTGTGCCTATATTGGAAGATTCTACCTACATAATTTCTTGGCATTTCTTTATAAATTTATTCCTTTATTCCTTGTTATTGGACTTGGCAACCTTGACCTGTAAATATGACATTGTTTGACCTTGATAGAATATCAAGTATCCCCAACATTGCCACAATGCAGAACCCTCCCTATGGTTAATCCTCTGTTATGTGCCATAACAAAAACTCTAGGAATAGTGCTCTTTGAAGATGTGATAGTAATGGAACATACATGTATAAACAGAGCAGTGTTGAATTGTAAAAAGGAGAACCACAATGTGGTAGAATAGGCAGGATCAGAGCCAGCTTTTGGTGAATAGGGGTTGATGTTTCTATAAATGCTTCTGCTGGGGAGTAATACTGATAATGGAGAGTGGCTACTGCTTTGTTGAGTTCACGGCTTTGTGTGTATTCCTTAATTTAAATTTTTTTAATTTAAATTTTTGAAGTTTATATCTGGTAAGGGGTAGACAACTTAAGAGTTATCAAAATGTTGAAGAAGAGTATTTCTAATTTTGGGGTTTTCTTTCAGTATTTGATTTTATATTCCTTAATTAATGCTTTGTTTTATGGAGTTTTTTTTCTTTTACTAATTCAACATATGTGTAGTGGATGATACCATGTATGGCATATTATAAATATTACGTATATTGTGTATAAATCACTGCCTTAAGAACACCAGCCAGAATAGATTGGTTCCATGAAAACAATTTTTTCACATTAGAAAAGTGTTCTTCAGAGATTTCACCAAATGTAACTGTTTACATACAGATGTTAAAATGTAGGTAGGAATGTTTTAGGACAGATAATAACCCTAGTTTCAGTTCAAGGTTGTGGAGAGGTGTTACTCCAGTGTAAATGTACATTTTATTTTTTACTTTTCAGTTCAAGCGATGATGAGGCATTTGACGAGGATGACAATCGCTCTGTAATGACGTGGGATGAGGCTGTTGATCTTGCCGATACATTATCACGACGTCATGGCTCCCGCAACATGCTGGACTTTGAAGATGAGAATGAGGGTGAGACTGCCACAGAGACGGAAGAGTCAGAGTATGAGACTGACAGCGATGAAGGTGTGTGTATAGCGTGAATTCACAATTTCTCCCAAGATTACTTTGGTCATGTTCTTCTGTGAAGTACCAGAGAAAATAATGAAAATACTGTAAAAATCACATTGATATCGTAACCCATGAGCCAACAGTTGTCTTGACAGTCAATTCAAAGGTCAAAATAGTATTTCATGCTTTTTTAGAAATAAATGACCATTGGCATCAAACATTGGCAAAACCCTAAAGGACAAGTCTCGGTTTGGAGAACAGTCTGCTGGGCTCATGATTTTATTATGAAAAATATAGAAATAACACCCAAATTAAATTATGAATATTCAAAAGAGGACATTTAAATCTGCAAGATGTAAAAATATCAAATTCGTCCGAAACAGGCGTAGCGTGCAGTAGACCGATTCAATAAAAGACAAATCTCGATTTGGAGAAAGAAGTTCATCAGTGTACTGCGCCAATAATTATGCATGAAAAATATAGAAATATCACCCAAATTAAATTATGGATATTCAAAAGAGGACATTTAAATCGACAATATGTAAAAAATATCAAAATTGTCTAAAGTAGGCTGAACGTGCAGTAGACTGATGAACTTCATCCTCCAGAGACTAGTCTTTTATCACACTGTCCATGGTATAATATTTCACAGATGAACATATACATTGTTGTCTTATCTTAGTTTAGTTTGTTATACTAAAACATGACCGTTTAACATGTTTGCATTAACTAATAGATTTAACAAGTTTGTTGTGAATGTACTAATATAAACAAAACAGTAACCTAATTCTAGCACACAGACTGTGTCATAATGTATTTTTCTATAATACTCAAATTGAATTGATTAGGTAATGTTCCTGAACTGAGGATATTTTCATATTAACATTTCTGATGTCACCCCTGTACCATTGTAGTAGTTCCAGTGAAAATTTCATGGTTCTTACATTCCTGTCCGTTTGGAAGATGGTGTGACACACCAATATTTTGATGAAATTCATTTTCTACAATCACTGTCTGGATAATAAATGTTTAATCCTTTGATGCTTATTGATATGTTAATGCATATTAGTAAAATAACAATATTCCGATGCTATACTTTCTTAACATATTTTGTTTTTTCACTCTTTTTTCATTTTTTTTTATTTTCTGATTTTTGCAATGTTAAAATGGAAGAATAATTGAATTAAAATCAAGTTGTATATATGTGCTATGAAACAGCTTTATTTTTTACATCTCTGCTTTTGTGTTTATTTACAACTGTATTTTTGTAACCCATTAGAGCATAACAAGGAGCTAAAACAAAAACTGTTAACTATGCTAAGTATGTTTTCATTTCACTTTTGTTTTATGAGGTATGCAGCACCCTTCTGCTTCGTAATGAGCACAGCTTCATGTATTGTTGAGTTTATAAATATTAGATGTGAACATGGCCATGATGAGGGGAATGAAGGTTGTACAATGTGTTTGAGATGTTTCTATCATTTTTTGTTTATTTTTCATTTTGTAAACATCAAATACAAAATATTAATAGAAAACATCCAATTTATTTTTTTCAAATAATAACAGATTATGGACATGTTCACATCTAATCAAGTTTTGCACTTTTGTGGTGAATGCTGGTTTAATAATTCTTAGTATTTGAGACTGAGTGACTTATACATCAGGGTTGTAACAAGTTTCTCAGTGTAGGTAGAATGGTAGGTTGGACTGGAGAAGGGGGGGGGGGGCTGTATTTTGCATCACTGCCTGGGGGTCTTTTGTTGAAAGAATGTAGACATGATTTGTCGATACATTTTTTCAATAATCTATAATATATTCTTGTGAACATGTTTCAGAAGTTGATTTATTTTTTAATTTTTAAGATTTCTCTTTCATACATATTTTGAGCATATTTGAGGTGATGCAGTTATACTTCAAAATCTATTTAGCATTGCCACTACTGTCAAAGGGAGAATTTTCAGGTGGTAGCATTAAAGGAATATTCCTTGCCAAACCATCTCTCTCCTCATATGGTAGCTATAACCATATATATGCTTGCCATGTTTAGCAAAACACGCAAAAATGTTTTGATATGGTCAGATTTGATCACTTAGAAATGTGATGCTCAATTCCAGTAAGCTGCCATCTTTTAAAATTTCACACAGGAAGTGATGTCATCGACTCTCAACTTTGCATATATAGTATTAGGTGAGGAGCTATGAAGAATTACAAAACCAGCTAAATATTCTTTTTCAACTTTGTATCTTATTTAATCCTTCTGAAAATCTCTTCTTTTATTCTAAGTTGACAAGCCCTGAAAATATTTTTGCACAGAAAGTAATGATCACTTGTCTAGAAGTGATTTTGTGCTACTTTCCTATACTGTTATGGGCAAGGTTATAGAAGTTGAGAGTTGATGACATCACTTCCTGCAAGAAATCTTAAAAGATGGCAGCTCACTGGAAATAAGCACTAGATTTTTAAATGATCAATATTGACCATATTAAAACATTTTCCCATGTTTTGCTAAATATGGAAACTATATATATGATTATAGCTACCATATCAAGAGAGAAAGGGTCTGGCAAGGAATATTCCTTTAAAGGTTTACACCAAGGCAAAAATTATACATGTAGTCACAAAACAAAGTCAGTAAAATTTGGGTGTTTTTCATATATGTATTCAGCATGATATCACATAAATGGAACATTAGTTCATTATAGTACCCCATGCATATTTTCATTGCTAACTTCAATAAAGCTTTTTAGTGTTTTTCCATACTTCTCAACAAATTCATGTGTGGGGTACTATACTATTAAGTTGGGAGGTAAAGCTGGGATCAACTGTTTATGCTTGGAAATAGTCCCTCAATATGTAAAATGGATATGTTATTTAATGTATTGATCACATATAATTACAGTATATCATATACAAGGCATTTCTAGCTTTTTATTTATATAGATCTCCTTCTTGTTCTACATACTGCAAATTATTTAAAAGGGAGTTTTGGTTACAAAATGAAAATGATATTGTTTAATTTTGACTCTTAATTCACTATCATCTTTAAATCTTTAAATCTGAAACACAAGAAATATTCTCACACGAGAATTAAGAAAGAAAAGTATTTGATTTTTAGATTTAGTTTGTACAATTTGGCTCAATGAAAAAATAAATCTAAAAGTAATTATAAATTGTATGTACTTTGTAAAGTTGAATAAAATATAACACTTTACAATAATTTTCAGTCAAATACCTTGGAACATAGTATAACTATATTGGGAGAATATAAGACATAAACCTTTTTTGTTTTTTGTTTTAATGTATATTACATGTAACAATCAGTATAATTTACTATGTGTTGTTATAGAAACTGAGACAGAAACCGACCCAGCAGTAGTTGTAAAAATGCGGGAAAAGAAACCAAAGCCAAAGAAGGATAAATCGGATAATTTGATTGGTACATTCCCACAGGACAAGACACCCAGCCCCGTCAGGCTGTCGCAACAGTTTGCTAAGGAGAGCTTCTATGCTGCTATGTCGGAACCTGTTAGGATTGACCCATGGAGTTTATTTGGACCCAGCAAGCCTAAAGAGGCACCAAAGGTTTGTACTTCGTTTCAGTAATATTTGAATATCAGGACAGTGGAAATTACTGAGAAGTCTTTACATTCTCAATAACATTGTATTTTTAATGTACATGAACATTTGCAGTTGACAAATTTTATAAGAGAGTGTACATGTTACTTTGATCAAATACTTCACTTTTTCCCCTAGAGATTATTTTTTCGTTTTTCCAACAAACATAGCATATGTACTACTACTATATACACTTCTTGGTCCTTACCAAAATTGTAAGGAACAAAGAGAATTGACAGGTGCTATGGCTTGGTGCTTCTCTCTACCTCAAGATGAGAGGAACTTGATGAAATACTGTACCTTTGTATAGGTTGTTGTTACTGAGGCTGCAGACAATGTTGACAAAGTTGATGATGACAAGACACCTGAAGCAGAGACTCAACCAACTCCTATGGAGGATGATAAGGTGACTGACAAAGATGTGAAAGAAATCAATGAGCTGATTGACAACATGGAAAATATGGAGGAAGAAGGAGAAGGTATGGATGTACAGGGTGGGCAAAAATGTTTCCAATTTGAAAGTGTACAATTATACATGTAATGATTGTACTCAAACCATCTCAGATGACAGGGAATTGATATATGCTTTAACTCATATAAATTTTTATGCAAGGCATCTCCACTTTTGTGTATCTGCATATTGATTCATTATATTTATTTTAATGTATTACATGCCTGATTTATACACCACACTGAGCAATTATTGCACACATGTTAAAGTTGCCATTTGCTTGCAGAATCATGTTCAAATTACATGATGTCATCAATGTATTTCCATTTCCATTCAGAGTCTTCAAGTGATGAATATGAAAGCAACACAGTCAGTGAGTCCACTACAGAGGCCTCTAGTCGTGCCTCCACAATGCCATCCAGTCAGGCCTCTACACTAGACCGCAAGGCAAGACACGCAGATACGATCGGAACTTTAGATAGACTCGTTCATGATGCTGAAATACAACTTAGGGTACAAACATTTGCATTCTTTTCATTATCAGATTTTATTTTAACTTGGTCAACTTTGGGCAAATTGGAGGAAAATATGATTATTCAGTAACTACTAACTATATAATATCATTCTTGATTGAGATAAAATTGAAAAATGAGGCTGCCTTTTAAGTGATGTTAGACACATTAACGTAACTTTTTTTGTTTTCGGATAGAAACTCAGTTGATTGTTAATAAGACTTAATATTTTTGTTATTCCAGGAAGTTGAACGTGCAAACAAGATGGCTACGCTAGACAGGATGGCACTTGCTGCAGAGCAACAACTTGATGAGCCAGTTAGACACAGTACCCCTCTACGTGATGCTCACCAGCCTGTGAAGGAACACCTTGATGATGGTCTTGAGCAACTATCTGGTGGTGAACCTATGGATAAGTTCGCAACACTGGATAGAATGGCACTTGCAGCTGAAAAGGAAGCTGGGGATGGTGACAATATTGACAAATATGCCACTCTTGATAAAATGGTGCTCGCTGCTGATGACAGCCTCAGTAAAATGGTACAATCAGAAGCAGAAGATATTACAGTCAAAACCCAAGAACAAACATCTGAACCTGAGGTTGAAGTTGCAGAGGCAATACAAATTGATAATGACCATGACATAGACCAACTGAAGGTTGTCGACACTGATAGCAATGGTGTTAACCCTGATGTTTTACATAGTACACCTAACAAGGACAAGTATGCAACTTTGGATAGAATGGTAAAAGCTGCAGAAGATGACTTTCAAAATGATCCATTCCATATACCAGAATTGTCAGAGGATGATCGTCGATGTACAATAGACCGCATGGCAATTGCTGCCCAGAGGGATCTCGGAAATGAAACCATCCGAATGTCTCCATTTGCAGAAGAAGAAGATCTGTCGTCACAATCCGAGGGCTCCTTATGCTCATTGGTGGAACAATATGAACAATATATGGAAGATCGCGCACAATCAGTCGCATCTGAAAAGTCTGAAAAATCCACAAATAATGAAAAGCCAAGTAAGGAATCAACCAGTAAGGAGTCATCAGTGGAGAGTGATAGGAAATTGATTGTTCCATCTAAGGAGTCTTTAGAAGATCTAGATCAAAATAATGACAAGGTGATCGAGCCATTAGAGCCACGAATACAAATTGACAGCGTCTCATCAACAGATGAAGTCCAATCTCCAGTATTAGCAAAAGCGAACATTCTAGGTCTTCTTGACCAGTTACAAGAGTCACGTATTGACCCAAGTAGTGGGGAGTCATCTAAAGAATCATCTTTATCTAGAGATTACCAACCACCAAAATCATCTAAGGAGTCTTCATTAGAGCCAATCAGAGATTCCCGAGAATCAACTCCCAGACGAATCATTCGACCACCCTCAACTGATTCAGTTGGATTGGCAAGTTCTGCAACTGACACAGACAATGAATTGTTGAACACTGCCAGCTCATATATTGAGACAGATGATGGGATTATTATTGAGAAGTCAATGGTTCCTAGTGTATATCCAAACCATGCAAAACCTGATGATAAAGAGACAATCAAATCTGAATCTGATGAAGCTACACATGAACAAAATAAAGATATTATGAATAATTATGATAATGTGGTGCTATATGATGACAAACCAGCTGATATTACTTCAAAAGAAGATGTCATATGTAAACGGAATATTATCTATACAGACTTAGAAGAAACTAAGGCCTTAACAAAGAGCTTTGGAAAAACAAGGGAGAAAAGAATTCATAAGGGAAGAGATAATCTCAAAACTGGCGCCGATTCTGATTTTACAATTTCCACCCCATCAGGGTCGGCATCATCTCAGAGTTCTTTGGATATAGATATACAGAGCTTGAATAGCACTCAAGATGTAAAATCCTTAGATACAATGGTTGAGGATAATATGATGGTTGACAATGGTTACATGGATGACACAATGGCAATGTTGGCTGCAAATGACAGTGTATTTGATATTAAAGTGACACCAACTAAAAGTGCAGACAATACACTCACAAATGAAACTGATGATAGCATTTATGTTACACCTGAGGTAACACCAAAGAAAGAGGAACAAAATGAGCAGAAAGAATCGGGAACTTTACCTCCTTTATCAATGAGTCGGCCAGAGAGTTTAGACTTTGGCAATGAGTCACCCAATGTTGGGTCACCACATGTGGATGCCAAACGGCGATTTTTCTGTGAAGCAGCCAAACCAGTGACCATCAATCCGCAAACATTATTTGGTGATGAAATTAAGAAACCAGATGCTCATGATGCTAGATTTGATAAATATTTCAAAAAGGAGAGAACTAAACTAAGTGTTGATGAAAAACTGTTCAATGAGACTGATTCCAAAACAGACTCCACCCCTGAAGGGTCTTATAGTGTAGAAAAAAATAGAAAAAAGATTCCTGCAGATCCTCAATTAGCAAATGTACATAGTCCTGAACCAAGTTGCAGTAATGATGTATTTTTCACCCCAAAAACCTCAATAAAATCTAAACCACCTAGGGTGCCATCTGTCGAGGACTCCCCGATGGAATTTAAAAAACCTCTTGATGTTAATACTAAAAAGCGTTCTTTACCCAGAACTCCAGCAGAGAGCTCACAAGTAGATGTGTCCAAGAAAATGCTTAGTAAAGATGAAATTAAAATGCTTCGGGAGAATGAAAGGGAAAAGTTACGGTCTCAAGCTAGGCTAAGAGCGCGTCTGAAGAGTGATGAAGAGTTAGGAGTACAACAGACATTTACACCTCGTAAAGTGCGATCTTCAAGTAATGCAAGTAGTCTCTCAAGCACCTCAGAAGATTTAGTCAAGCGTATGCGGGATTTTAACTCTAATGAAAAAGATACTCCAACTGTATCAGGAAAAAGCTCAACAGTCAGTTTAGAAGACATCCACCTTGAAGAGTCCAATACAGATGACTTAAAGCAAGAAAATATAGAGGCTCCAAAACCAAGTAATATTGCAGTGAAAAGTATTAAAGATGAATTAGCCAGTAGTTCTAAATCCAGTATTGACTCTGAAAGCCCCTCAATGGCTAAGAAATCTTCAAATCAAGTAGAGGAGAAAGAACCCACCCCGGGAACTTCAGGCTTATATAAGAAAAAGGAAGAAAAAGATTCTCCTAAAATAGAAGTTGGCAAAGGGAATACATCCACTGATGAAGTGTCACCAGCATTAACTAAGAAGTCAAAAGCTAAAGCCAAAAAGGAGAAAAAGAGTAAAAGTCCAAAAGTAAAAGGCAAAAGCCCAAAACATGACAAAGAAAGCTCAGAAGCAATCTCACCATCCACAGAAAAGAAAGAAAAACGGAAATCTTGGCTCGCGTTCCTCAGTCCTAAGGATAAGCGTGATAAATATATAAAAACATCATCTTCTGAGGATAAAGAAAGCAGTCCGGCCCCAGGCACAACATCCAATGAATCAACCCTAGAAAAGAAACAGAAAACACCCAAAGATAAATCCAAACCAAAAACACCCAAATCCAAAGAAAAGAAGAAAAAGAAGTCAAAGCGTACTAAAGAGGAAGATTACGATAGTGAGCCTTTAGAGGGAGCCACAGGTCTTAGTGAGAGGGTCAAGGCTGCAAAGTTGAAAGAGAGGCTAGAGAAGGACCCTGTGTTTGATACAGAAGAGTGTAGAGCACGTGTTGAGAAAGTTGTAGCTCCTAAAGCCAGAGGTTTGTTTTCATTGTTTTAATAAAATATCATTAATTCATAAACTGATATTCTAAATTTCTATATTATTCTGTTTAAAAAAAATATTGAAATTTTCTAAAGTGATTTCTGCTAGTGTGGATAGCATTATTGAAGAATGTACATTATCTGTGTATATTTCAGAGGAGGAGATCTACTCAGATCCAGATAGTGATGTATATGACACACTTAGTAGGAGCACTAAGAGTGATGACAGACTATCAACTGTAAGTGAAGTGAGCTATGTGACTCTATGACATAAATAGTTTTCACCTTTCATAGGTTTTCTCATAGTCAAACCTCCTTTCAAAAATATCTTCATTTTTATCCCATCGGTGTTATATAGTCATCTTGTTGGTAACATGATCATGATAGTTATTGTGAGACATCCCACTTTTTATTAGCCAATTCTAGAGCTACCTTTAAGTTTAAATGGCCACCTTTTTTCTTGCAGCTATTTTGAAAGGACTTTATAATGTGTTGATATATGAACTACTTGTGATGAATGCCCTGTCTTTTGTAATCACTGAAGTTATTCTTGCAGGGGAAAAGGTCCATGATGAGTGAGGATGAACTGACCAATGAGAAAATAGCCCGAAAGGCGCAGAGGTCTGCGATGAAGCAGCAACGCCAAAAGGAGTTGAAGCGCTTGAGGATGGCCCAGGAGCTCCAGAGACAGTTGGAAGAAGTGGAGGTGAAACAACGGGAGCTGGAGGAGAGGGGTATCATTGTGGAGAGGGCACTGCGTGGAGATGGGCCAGGTATGGAAAACACAATTTGAACATTGCATGTTTTGGCCAAACAAATAATAATTTGAATCAAATTTCTATTTTAATGTTTTTCTTCAATTGAAGTAATGGCATCAGCAATAATTAGTTAGATGATAGAAAATATGAAAATGGGGGCTTGTATTATTGTCAGAACCAAAACGAGTTATGAGTGCCTCCTTCTGTCTAATGTCTGTCCAGGTGAAATCATTTTGTTTAAAAACTTTATATCCAATGTTCAGATGTAATGAGATTTGCTACATCCTGGCATTTCTGTTGTTTATGTAAATGATGCCTTTCTTTACTGCAGAATCTGACCGTGATGAGGCTGATCTGATGCAAGAATGGTTCAGTTTGGTGCATGAGAAAAACACAATGTTCCGCTATGAGTCTGAGCTCATGTGTCAGTAAGTAAAAATTAAGTACAAAAATGTGCAAAAAAAATGTAGATAAACAGGACAGTGCAAGTGAGTGCATGTTTGAAACATTATAAAACCTGTATACTGAAAATTGTACAATAATTATTAGACAATAATACTTAACAATTTGAGCAGATTTCAATATGTAGCTTTGAAATGACAAAAATTCAACATATACAATTGCACACATGGAAATCTTTTAAAGTGATATTAATTCTGATGTTTTAGTGCCAAAGAGCTTGAACTTGAAGATCGGCAATCAAGATTGGAGCAGAAACTCCGGGACCAGATGCTTGTTGATGGTGAGTAACACTTCGATTCTTCGAATCTTAGAATTGTATCAGTGGCTCATCTTCATTCTGTACATTGGATGTTATAACATCAGCAGTATAACATACAACAGGGTCATCGGGATAATATTGGAATGTTAAATACTTTTGCTGCTAGCGCTTTAACTGCACGCTACATAATATCCTTGACTAATTCAATGTTCAACATTTGTTCACATTTGGTCTGGTAGTTTTTCTGGAACTCTCAGCTTATGCAATTTTTCAATTCATTGTACAGATTTATTGTATCATTTTGTGTGTACTGTTTTTCAACTATTTGTCAGTTCATTGTATGATGTCATCTCATTGTACCATGTCTACTCATTGTACCATACCATTTCAATTCATTGTACTAATCTTTCAGATGGGGCTGACTGTGGAGGTAGTAGTTTAACATATCTGCACTAGCTAGTCACAGCTTTCTTCCTTTCTACTTTCCCATAATGCAACTGGACAAGTCAGTCAGACGGATGGAAAACAAAGCTCACAAGAGCCTATCCATCAATGCTTTGCTTTTTGATAGTATGAAATAAATTGGCTTGTCCAAAGTTGCATCAATATTTTCTGAGTGTAATCTCAATATTGTTTGATTCTACTTGTTGTGATCTATGTTGTTTTTGAGTAAAAATGTCTATTAAATGTCTATATATCTTTAGTTTCAATACATCATATTCTTTAGTAGAAGTGAAACATTTCAAATGTAGGTTTAGAGTTAGTCATTTAGCTATTTTCTATTATCATCATGTTGTTCTGTAAAATGGTGTACCCTGGGAGAAAGTTGAGAAATACAATGTCATTCTGGTCAATGTTTGAAATGAAAAATATCAGCAATTTTAATTGTTAAAACAGGTCAAGAAATTCCCAGAACATAAATGAAATGAGACCTTACCATTTTACATTCTGCCAAAGTATAAAAAAAATGAAAGTGAAAAAAAAATTATAGGGGCAGATACAGGATACCTATATTAAAAGTAAGGTTTCATTAAAAAAGTAAATATACAATGTAATATCAAAACCAGAGTGACATTAATACATGCATGACTTAAAGCCATGAATTAAAGTCCATACATATCTGTTATTTGGCAGATCAAGAATTCATCACTCAAAAATCAAAATGTTGGTTTTAATTTATTCAAATGAAAACTAAGTATTTCTTCACATCTATGTTTTAGATACATCTTCTATAATGTCACTTGATGAGCTAATAGATAAGATAAACTCTGAAGAAGGTACACAGTAATACTGCATTCCAAGAGTTTATTATGAGCATGTGAAATACAACATTGTGCTTTGGTCAAAATGGAGCTGTATTTGACCAGGGTGGATTATGTATTTCATTTTTCATAGTATAGAGTGCTAGGTAGAATGTTTCCATTAATAAATCACAGGACTCCAGATAATATAGGAAGGAAATAACTTTGACATTTTCGAAGGACACCATGCTTTGATTGAAGGGTCTATTTAATTTAATAATAGCATATGGGATTTTTCACGTTTCCCTCCATATTGATTTGGAGTTTGTATTAAAATCTGCATGCTTTTATTTAAGAACTTAACAAGAATTTTGATGAAAATTAAGCATTTGGGATGATGTTTGAAATAATACGCATGGAAAGTTGTTCCGTTATTGTTAAGAATATGACTCATATTTGCTTAACCCACAACAAACTAGACACACAAATTTATTGATTAAATTTGTTTTATTACTTTTTTACATCATACGTCATGCTTGAATGTAGTAAAACAACAAACAATGTTATTTCTGAGGTACTATAACACAATCAAAATATCTCATTAAAATGTCAAAATCAATTCTTCTATTACTATGTTTTCAATAAGATCTCCAATGTCTTTATATTAAAGCATCAAACAGCAAAATTATCAAACATAGGTAAATGAATCTTTTTGTGACTGTTCACTTTTTCATTGGGATATCTACATTTTCCTTCAGCTCGAACCCCAACCAAGTGCCCCTTCTTGCTGCCTGGGGGGAAATACATGCACTGCAGACCTGCCATACATCTGAAAAAGAGATTTAGATCAGATCAAAAGGCTATCCTGATTTAAAATTGTGTCATTTTTTCCTGTCATATCTTAATAAGATCTCTTTATTTGGGTCATTCGCTTTATATACATGTACAATGTGTATGTACAAAATATTGTTGATAAATAGGATTTTATTGATGCAAGAATTGCACCCAAACCTCATCCCCTCAAAAAGAGGATATTTTAGTGAAAAAATCCTATAATTTAGCTTTTATTTATGTAATATTGATACGGTCTTTGACTCATTAGTATGAACATACAAGTATGTATGTAACTTGTGTATGTAGTTATGAGTTTGAATTTGTCAATTGAAGTGAGCATTGTGTGCCACCTTCTTTCCTTTATAGAACTTATAGGAGAGGTGCCTATAAGACAAAGGCAGGTTCTCTTGAGAAGGTATGACCGGTTTACCCAACCCTTGGAGAATTCATTGATTTTAAGCCAAATGGAATTGACATAATCAGAAATTATTGGCAGAGTATTGCTAAAATTGTGTAGTTGACAATTCACTGACATATTTGGCAAAAAGTATCCCCTATCCCTAAAATAAAACCTGGTTTTGGATATTTCACCTTCACAAAAAATATTGATGAAAATAACAAGTTTCACTTACGGTAAGCCTAAATAAGAGCAGGTCTCCCCTTGTTTCAAGGCACATTTGTCCTTACAGCACCCACATCCCCTTGTGGCAGGCTCACAGTTAGGGGTCTTCCTCTGGGGGACACACTTGGCCAACTCTTGCTTGGAACATGGGGGACAATCCAGCACAGCCTGTGCCCCCAACCCAAATGAAATCACCATTAAAAGCACATTTGATATCCCTAGCATGATGCTATTGTTCTGAGCCCTTTGCTTAGTCTCCCAGTTAATACATTTATGGATTTATCCTATTTTCATTTAAATTAATGATTTGTAACATAACTGCTAAATTGTTATCTTTGAAAATGAAATTGTCAGAAAAACTCCAAAACTAAAACATTCTTTTCATGATAAACTCAACAAAACTTGTATGTGAAATATTTATCATTACTGAAAATCTATGGGCCATGTCATAGGCTATAACAAACTCGACTCTAAAATAAATGAATACATATGAGTCTCAATGTTCCAATGAAATCAGATGATTTAATATAATATAGTTTTTAAAACCCAACCATGTAAAAAGGATAAAAATAAATAAGATAGATCTTAAATAATTTTACTGGGAGGATGTTTATATTGAAAATGACTCCTCCACTAATGATAATGGTATTGGAATATTGATAAAAGTTATTAAATGTTGAAATATGTTATGTTCCCAAGACATCTTCATGAATTGGAATAAAATTAAAAATCATGGTTCTAACAATTTTAATTTGCATTGAAAACTAGTGTTTCGATTTTCATTGTTTCCTTTGTAACTTCGAACAGTCGTAGATCTCAAACTGAAATTATGTTTTTAAAGATGAATGCTTAGTTAGACATGGCAAAGTGGGATAGTTAGGGGGGATTGAAGTGATTAAAGAATTACTCATTTAATGAAATAAACAATATTTTCAAAACATTATAATGTAGGGGTGCCTCTGTAGATAGAAAGGAAAATGTATAGTTTAATTAATTATAAAGTTATATAATTATATAATACAAGTATTAGATAGAAGAGGCTTGTAAGTATTGCCTATTTGTGTAGAGTGGAATTGATTACTAGAACTCAGATATAGACTAGGCATGGTGTATTTCATATTCCCTGAATATTTTTTTGTTTTTGTTTTTTTAATTGTTTATTAACTGTCAGCTATTCTAGCAGCATCTTTGAGCTTGAGATAATTCATCAGTATTGGAGTGTGCCATATCTTTTGTTTTGTAATTGTTAATTAACTGTCAGCTATTCTAGCAGCATCTTTGAGCTTGAGATAATTCATCAGTATTGGAGTGTGCCATATTTTTGTTTTGTTGTTTTTGATGCATGAAACGAGTGTTAAGTTAACCCATAAGTTAATCTATGTATATTTAAAAAGCACTTGTATATTTGACTTTTAAATAAAATGCACACACCAACAGCAAATACTATTATAGTGGCCTGGACTAAATATATTGAATAATTTTATTCATTATACAACCTTGTTTTAATCATACAAATATCTACAAGAAAATGTTCAAAGTATCAGGCATGTAGCCAGGGGGGGGGGTTCGCAGGGTTCGGGCAAACGTGATTTTAGCCATATTTGGGCCAAAATTGTCAAATGTGAACCTCCCCTGGAAATCTTTGAAAACTGAACCCCCCTTGACAAATCCTGGCTACGGGCCTGAGTATCGTATTGTTTACGCTGTGTAACATTACAACTAGGAAATCACTAATGATCGAACTTATAATTTTTTGCAAGGCAAGGTTAACATTAGCATTATTAAAACACTGTCAATCTATTTTAGATTCAAAGAAGTCGACAACTCAGATTGAGGAGGAGAAGCGAGTGTTGGAAGAGCTAATGGAAGTGGTGGAACAGAGGGATCAGTTAGTGGCCATGTTGGATGAGGACAGACTCAGGTATACTCCCTTGGATATATCAGATTTTGAAGTAAAATATTAAGTGAAGGAATAATGTAACTACAAATACATATATAGTATTATGTAGTAATATTCAGATATCTCAAATTGAGGTTGTGTCATTGCAAAACATGCTTTGTTGCTTACTCTTAAACTGCTGAAAGAAACTTTGTCTTATTAAAAACTTTAAAAAGTAGCATTAAAATATATGGTATGTACATTTTGATGAATAGTGTGAGATTTCCCCAAAATATATATAGAATATACATGTAGATTCAATCAACATTTTGTGAATATTGCCCAGGACGTACTAAATGCCTGTATTGCTATCATTGCTGTGGCAAATAATGTTTACAAGATTGTAAGTCATGTTGTTTCACAATGTTTACAAGATTGTAAGTCATGTTGTTTCACAATGTTTACAAGATTGTAAGTCATGTTGTTTCACAATGTTTACAAGATTGTAAGTCATGTTGTTTCACAATGTTTACAAGATTGTAAGTCATGTTGTTTCACAATGTTTACAAGATTGTAAGTCATGTTGTTTCAGGGAGCAACAGGAAGACAATGATCTGGAGGCTGTCATGTTGAAGAAAGGATTCCAACTCTCACCAGTAGTCTACTCCAACACAAAGCCAAGGCTTATATAATATAGATGTTACCACATGGATTATTCTCCAACACAAAGCCAAGGCTTATATAATACAAACATTACCGCATGGATTATTCTTAAATGCAAAGCCAAGGCTTATATAACCCAAATGTTACCACGTGGATTATTCTCCAGCACAGAGCCAAGGCTTATATAACCCAAATGTTACCACGTGGATTATTCTCCAGCACAGAGCCAAGGCTTATATAATACAGATGTTACCACATGGATTATTCTCTTATGCAAAGCCAAGGCTTATATAATACAAAAGTTAACACTTGGATTATTCTCCAACACAAAGCGGTATTTCAAACAATTTCACACGGATTATTCCTCAACACAAGGCTGAAGCTGACATGATACATATGGTTACCACATGGATTATTCTCCAACATTAAACTACAGCTTAATGTTACCACATGGATTATTCCTCAACACAAGGCTGAAACTGACATGATACATATGGTTAACACATGGATTAATCTCCAACTCAAAACTGAGTTACATTTTTGTATATTACCAAAACACAAAGTCTGGATTATTTAAACATATATGTTAAGACATGGATTATTCTTTGAGACGAAGCCTTTCTAGAAAGGCATGAACTTTAAAGCTTTAAAGTTCATGCCTTTCTATCTAAAGTCTAGACCTTCCTGATGAGGTCAAGCCTTTCAATGTAAGGAGGCAGTAAGCAATTGTTATTAGTAAGTATCAATCACATAGAAATCTCTATTACTGACAACCAGTGTACATAGTATGAACCTACCACAAGAACTATTTATACAAAACTTTCACATACAAACACTGTAATGTATTGTAAAACACAATCTTGAATGCAAATATGATGTAATATTTATTTTAGATGTTTACCTGATGTTCAAGTCATATTGTTGAATGAGGTCACAATTTACCATGCTCATCTGCTAAGTCATGAACACAGGGTGGCCCAAAACTAAGAGTTACAGTTTACAGATTTTGGAATAACTGTAAACCTTCTTTTGGGGCACCCTGTATATAGGGCCTTTGAACTTTGTGGGTCCCACAGTAATGTTACAATATGAGGCATGTGTTTATTGTGTGAATCTATGGTGATCACAGTAGCACGTGGTTGAACTGGACCAGGATATGTCAAAGTGTATTATTGTATTATTCTCATGTATTTTCACTCTCAGTGAATTGCATGGGAATTATGTGATGGATATGCCAAGCTTTAAATAACCACCTGACATGTGTCTCTGTGACCAATATCTTAATTAGTATGAAATGAAATGAGACACCAAATGAACAAAGGGGATTTTAAAATAAAGCGTCTTCATATATTTATCACATGCAATGTACTCAAAGGCCAGTTCTTTTAATAATTGGAACTTGATAGATGGATCATAAAAATGGAATGTGATTTAAATGTTCATTAAAAAGCTACACATCAATAGTACATGTAAATGAAGGAATGGCAGATGCAATGCAGAAAATTATTTATGGAATGTTCACACATGCGATTGGTCACATCTGTGTCACATGACATGAGAAAATTCTCAGGCGCAGTTTTCACTAGATATTTGTGATATGGGATTTCCCGAATTAAATATTAAATTAGGTAAACAATTTCTGATATAGACTCCACACTGTTGCCGCTCTTTCTTAGAACTCATGATTAAGTAAAAGCATGTTTACGTAGATGACATGCTAAACCTAAACCTAACTTTTTGTTTAAGTTTTAACAATTTCTGTGACAAACACTGACCAGCCTGCTATTATATGCTACAAAATGTAATATGTCATCATTGAGACAATTGTAATATATTATAGCAAGTAAAGAATTCAAGTAAATGTTGTTTTTGCTGATGTATATTATTCAAGCTACTGTTTGTGCATAATGTCTTGATATTTATAACTGTTTTTCATAATATATTATTTAGAAATGTATAATAATGACCATAATAAACACAAAATAACATAATTCAATTTATTTGTTCTTTGTATATTAATAATTTATTGAATATCGTATTTATTCCATTTCTAATCCATTGCAACTACGTGTAGTAACAAACAAATATCTGGGTTTACATTTATTGAACATTTTGGCCACATAGGCAAAAGTGGGACATACATGAATGATAACTACTTTTAGAAAAAAATATGTGCCATTTTGTCATGTTCATGCTTTGTTATTTCTAATATTCACACTACCCCTCATGTACACAGGAGTAACAATATATACTTTCACTAAATACTCTTATATTACAATATCTAAGTTTATTCACTACCGACTGTATGTCCCGACATAACATTAATTTAGGTTTGAAAAATATTCAGATCTTTCAATTGAAAATTATTAAACATAGTCTACATTAATATTGTGTATTGCACAAAGTATATATACGTTTACATAATAATGGCAAGCTCAAGTCTATAGTTTATTTATTTTCTAGTCATATTATAATTGGCAAGCAGTGATATGTTATGATTATCATCTTGAGAGAAGTACATGTACAATTAATAGCACCAAAATTAGTATGGAGTCATTTACAGTGCAGATATATTTGGAGATACATATACAAATACATTTTCACATTTATCTCCAAACAGAAATTGCTTTCTTTCCTCAACAGTATTCTGGGAAAAGCATGCATGGCGCTCATGGCTTAAAGGAAACTGAACAATAAACACTACAACCATATCATGTATTATCCCATGATTAATGTGTTATCTGTACAATAACAGCTATTGATATTTCTTATATTATTGCAATCCGTGTGATATTTTCCAGAAAATTGTTTATCAAACTCATATGCGTGTGATATCGTTTATCTCACGCATATCCGTGTGATATCACATTTGCATTTCGCGCCACAATATTGTTGGAAAATAGGTCAGATAATTTATTCTCTTTGAGAAAATAGGTCTGCCAGTGTCCTGGAAATTGGATCAGAACATCACAAGGTGATTGTAATCATGGGATAAACCCAATATCACATAATTTCTCGTGATATCATTTTATCGCCTCGTAGATATCAAATATCAACACTCATTCGCTTCGCTCACTCGTGTTGATATTTGATATCAACTTGGCGATGAAAATGATATCACTCAAAATGATGTGATATTCTGTATGTATTATAAATAAAGGGTCTTCAGATTTGGTGTTTATTTACATTTTGCAAGTGAAGAAATAGTAACCCTGTGGGAGCTGCTGAAGTACATTTGACAAAGCGAGCTTGCGAGCGGCAAAAATTGACCCAAAAATCATGCAAGTGAAGCGAGTGACAAAACTTAAAAAATCCCCCCTATGAAAAAATCCTGGGGAGATCACTGATAGTAAATCAGTTTTGGCAAATTATTTTATCTTATCACTATTGAGAATAATCAGCATGTCCTTCTGTGCTGCAATGCAGGCGTTCTCCTCAACAGGGCACATGACAACACTCATCCATATAGAGAACACGACACCCAGTACAAGCGTATACTCTACACACGACAGGACCCATCCTAATCCATATGGCATGGGGATACAGTCCAAGAAAAAGAAAGCTACTAGTCCTAGAATGAGTGCAGCTATATAGACATTGCGGTCGAATTGGGCCTTTTTGATGCCCTTCTGTAAGACTGGAACAGCTTCCTCAAAGTTTTTATTGCGGCTTGGGATATCTAGTTGTTTTGTCATGGCTGTAAATATAAGAGAATGTCTGAGTATAAACATGTAGTAATATGTGAGTACAAAGAAATATGTGAGGCCAGGAGAATGTGAAAGAACAAATGATCTGAGACATTTGAAAAAAAATAATAAAAAAGAGAATATGATGCACACTAAATGCATCCAGATAATCATTTAAATATTATAAATACAAGAATCATGAATGGAGTATTATATCAAGTAATAGCCATCATACAGTATATGAGATGGACTGAACACTATAAGTGGGCCAAATATAAATGTGCATGTGTATGTGATACACAAGTTGGGTCCCCTGATTCTCAAATAAGAGCAAATCCCAGGTAGGGTTGGAACATTTATTACCTGTAATGTTCTTGCGTATTGTGAATATGGCTGCAACTGCTTCATGGTCTGAATAACTATACGTCTGATCTGGTACCTTGTCTAGGGGCAGATAACACTTTTCACACTCCATTGTGAAACCTGCATAGAGAAAGAAGATTCTGAACTGGTATGAATAACAATCAAATAACACTTTATAATGACTTAAATGTCTATAGGGATGAACTGGAATTCCGGATATGAAAGACGCCATGTTCTCGTTACAAATTGACGAAGCATTAACATGCAAAATGTCACCACCTGCCATTTGTTACAGAAGCTGGACGTCGAACACCAACCACTTTTGGTGGTGACATAATAAAGCTGATGATGCCTTAAACTTTTGGCTTGCAAGGACTTGCTATTCTCATTCTCAAATGATCACAAGTGATTGCACTGAAACATCCATAACATACAGTGAAAGCTAATGAAGAAAATTGCAATATAACATGATTCAACTTGATTCAAATTACAGAATATCTAATCAAAAAAGAGACAAACCTCCATTGCTTCTGAACATAAGGAAATCAATACGTTCTCCATGTGGTTGGATCTTCAACTTCTTGGGGTTTGTGAAACTGTTCCTAGGAGTTTCACTTGTCATTCCTGTGTTAGTAACTGGTGCTTCTTTCTGAATAGAAAGAATTAACTATCAGTATGCTTGCCCGTAGCCAGCTTTTACCAGGGAGGAGCTTTTTCACAATTTTGGCTAAAAATCATGCGAAAAATTCTCAGAATGGTGAAAAACTGCATGATTTTGAAAGAATTTCTGGCCAGGGGGGAGCGGGCCTAGTATGTGTACTTCTTCGTATAAATGTACATGCATGTACTTAGTGAAAACGTAGTTGACAGAGAAGGGGAACTTAGAGGCTTAAAAAGAAAACAACTTTTATTTATCATCTTCAATATGTTATCTTACATGAGATCTTTTTAGAAAGTACGGGCTGGGCCACTAAATAACAAGGCATTAACATGACAAAATGTCACCACCTAGTTGCTCACAATTTTATGAATCTATTTGACCTTGAGAAGGTCATTAAAGGTCAACATCTCAAATCTATAGTCAAATTAGAACTTTTGAGAACTTGTAGATGATTTTGAAAAAAACATTTGGTCAATTTGAAGCAAGTTGAAAAAATACCTTTTTGACATTTTTCAACCTATTATTGATCTTGAAAGGGTCATTGAAGGTCAAATCTTAAATCTTAAGTCAGATTTGAACTTCAGAAAACTTGTAGATGGTTATTGAAAGTTCTAAGAATTTGTTACAGACGCCGATCGCCAACCGCCAACTGCCAACCACCAACCGCTGTCACAAAAAATGAAGACCATAACAATATGTCACCACTTTTTGGTGTTGACATAAAAATAGATATATTGATCAAAATCTGTTGTGACTGGTCACAAGCCCCTCTCTTTCGTTACAAAGTTTTGAACACCCTCTATAATGATATTGAAATACCTGTTTAAGCCAAGCATCCTCTAAGTTGCCATTTGTTGTGATCACCCTGTAGCCTAGCTCTTCAGCCCTCATGTTGAAATCTCCACCTACAATGTTGATGTCACTAGTCTCCCCAGTGTGCTTCACAAACTGACTCAGTTCATAGGCCTGTACCATTCTCTGAGCAATGTACTCATCATTCTCAATGTTATACTCAGCAAGTGCCTGTAATGTGTACATATATTATAGGATTAAAAAATTAATTTGATTTAAGCCTAAATCGCTTATTACCAGACCCCTCTTATCTTTGCTTACTTGCCTGTCTATGAAGTTCAAGATGGGTATGGGACGTTTTAGGATACATATCGCTGATAGTCAATAATATAGTACAGTCAAATGTATATGGCTAAGTATTGAACAACTGATGCTACAGCTGGGTAATGACAGATGACTGAGTCAAATGTCCAAAAACTTCTAGATCAATATAAGAAAGCATGTACTCACATGGGTAATGTAAAGATTGATTTTGAGTCCTTTATACTCTATTTTAGCCAAACCAACTGCTTTATTCCCAAACCAGTCGCCGTGGTGGATCTTATGTGCATAGCCATTGATGGAATACCTCATGGTGAATATCTCTATGATGGGTGACTTAGAGAATACACACAGCCCACTGCCAAACATACCACTGCAAGTGATTGAAAATACAAAATAGATGGCCATAGTCATTCTGATACTCAGACCATCTCTGGCAATGCACAAGGACGTTCTAGAAAGGAAACTGAGAGAAGGCTGTGATATCTCACGATGGGCCATAATACATGTAGTATATCACGCTCTAAATGCAATTGAAAATTAGAAATTGTATTTTGCAAAGAAATTTTATTTCAGTTGGTGTTTTGATTGTATACTTATTGTACTTTGTGTAGTTTATGAATATCAACATGGTATTTCCACAATTCAATTGATGGATTTATAGCTAGATAAAGGGCTTCACTCAATCTTTACTAAACTGTAATTGTTAGGAAAACAAAGAGCAGTACCTGTGAAAGTAATGATGGTGAGGGAATACTGAGGCAACTTTGTTGGAGAGGATCACATAATCTGCTTGGGTCCAGATCTAAAATAAACAAGGCATTAAAGGTTGTATATAAGTATTGACATGTTTTTCACTCATTTTCAAAGCCTTAACTCTAATGTCTGCAACCTTTTCTTATAGCACTAACACTAATCCTCAATTTTGCTGTTTTCAACAGGATGAAGGATAGACGTGCACGTTATGGAACAATGCAACAACTTCTGACTGTGATGGCCCGCCTTCAAACAAGTTTTCCCAATGCCTTTAGAGCACAGTTTCAACAATACATTGAATGCCAGCGACTTTGCATTAAACATGAGACAATAGTTGTGATTAAAGTTATTTCATGTACACATGTACAAGCGGAGAAGAGGAATGTATATGATTCATTCATAAGCTTGCCTACTATTCTGTTTTTTTCATTAAATGATGTGACGTAAAAAGTGCCCCGCCTATCCAGGAGTCAAGTTACCACAGTAACCATTATTTTTGACCAATCAAATGAGAGATGCTGATATTTTATGAATCAATTACATATGTAGAAAGTATTTTAACACCTTATGTAAAATTTTCATGAGAAAATATCAAAAATCTTTGAAATGAGAGCATTTTTCCGAGAACTTATTGAACGACCTGGTATGGGGTTATTGGAATTAAAGTCAAGTTACATCTCTTATCATATGTCTCATAGACACATTAATTTTAAAGAGATCGGGTCTCCTAAAAACACAATTAGAGTAACCCCCTGATTTTTCGTGTTATTTGATGTAAAACAAGTTTGTTTATCAACTTATCAATTCTGAGGCTTGAATTAATTCGTTAACAATATCAATACGATGATTGTTCCTAGCCATGAATTTCCACTTACATCAATAGAAATTCAAATTAAGATTTAAAAAGCCCGCTCAAATTTGTCTGATTGGCTTTTTCCTTCAGATTATTTTGGCTAAGAGAAGCCATATTTATTACTTCTAAGGGGTTACAATATAGATAAATCCCCAAAAAACATTCCATTCTGTTTTCAACTTATTGTGTTCAATTCTGACAGTTGGTTGTTCTTTTGGTTGTTCTGTTGATATCCTCAATATATTGTCGATATCGTGCTTATGATTTGGTCTCAAGATATATCTAAGGTATATATGATGTTTTATGAGCAATTATATTGGGACATTACTGATTCTCCAGAATAGAAATCTGGATGACTTGATCTCTTTAATAATTTTACATTATTTTTTATATAACGTATGGTAACATGTTTTACAAAACCCAACAATGACAAAAGTTTATGCTAATAACTTCACTTACAAGTATTTATTACAGGTTGTGAAGACCCTTGTTGCTTGATTTTCATTTTACCACCAATATGTGTATATTCATACAAACAGTATTCAATTCCCCTGATATTAGTATGTATATACCTCTTGCAACATGACAATGTCGTATTCACCCTTTGCGAGTTCATCTCCTATTGCCATGATTCGTTTGTTTCTGTAGTCACATGCTAGTGGCGTAAATACACCCCTGAAATGAGATAAAGAAGGGAGATTACGAAAAATACAATGTATTTGAAAAGTTAAAATATTTCAATAGATGGAACATGCAGTTTTATTTGGGTTGGTGCAAAGGCATACCCTATTGCCCCTATAATCCGTGCCAGTGCCATAGGCTCTTGGACACAATTTTGAGTCAAATTCTAGCAAACTGCAGATGAAATCTTTATTGCCGAATCAGAGAAAACACTTCCAGTTTTATAACCGTTTTTCATTGATCAAAAAATGTGTTATTTATTTGCCTGCATGCTTAACATAATTTCTACATTTGTGTTGATTGTTAAATCAAAAATAGCTAGGGTGGAGGTCAAGGCCCTTTTGACTCATAAACTAAAATCATATGGTTTTGGTGCTGACACTTTGAATCTCATAAGCTCATATCTTCAGGCCTGTCAACTGTCCCGCAATTTGCGTATTTGTCACGCATTTGCTGAAGAATTTGAAGTCACGCCAGTTTTTTTTGCGTGACAGAAAATGTCACGCAAATACGCATTTTACCTGGTAATTGTCACGCAAAAATATTTCTGTAGAAAATTTTTCAAAATATGTTGACGAAACGGTAAAAATACGAACGTCGGAAAAAACCGAACGCAATTTGTTCGGATTTGTCACGCGAATCCCGTATGTGTCACGCATGTTAATTGGAAATTTTCGTACCTACCCCCCCCCCCCCCCACCCCCCCCCCCCCCCCCCCCCCCCCCGTTGATGATATCGCGAGCGTAGCGAGCGCGAAAAATTGAGGTGTCCAAAATTTGATTAAATGCAATAAAATTGAAAACAAGGTGCTCAAATTGTGGCCAAGATGTTCAGATTTGGACCAAGGTGTCCAAAATTTGAACAAAGGTGTTCAACATTTGCAAGTCACTCATGTTAGGTGTCCCCAAGTTGACAGGCCTGTATCTTAAAAATCGAAAAGTTCAAACTAGAGTAAACGGAATCTTATCAAATTTATCAGAAGATAATTACATAAACAGCGGGGTGCCTCAAGGGAGCCAAATTGGGCCGATCCTTTTCTTATTATACATAAATGATTTACCGGAAGTAATTGACTCAACATCTTACATCTATGCAGACGACACCTCCATTTATTTACCTGTACCTAGAGATCATCCAATTCAGAACACTCACGAAATCCTCCAAAAAGATCTTGATAATATTTTTAAATGGTCACAAACTTGGAAAATGAACTTCAAGCCTTCAAAATCAAAAGAAATAATATTTTGTAAAGAAACCGTCTTTGATAGGCCATATCCAATTTTGACACTTAATAACAATTCAATTGACCGAGTCGATTCACATAAACATTTAGGCGTAACTCTTGATAAAAACTTAAACTTTAAAACTCATATAAACGAAGTCCGAGCAAAAATTGACAAACTACTAAATCCCCTATCAGCATTGAAAATGAGAGTAAACTCAAAACATCTTGAAACAATGTACACTTCTTTCATCCTCTCTAAAATCGAATACGGCTCTTTAATCTATGGTTCGGCGTCACAAGGTGCTCTGGAACAACTAGACAAACTCCATTACAGAGCAGCCCTGATAGTTTCCGGGGCGATTTATGGTACGTGCAAGCAAAAATTATATAAATGTTTAAACTGGAAAACCCTAGCGGAGAGAAGAGAAGAAAAACAAAGTATTCACATGTTCAAAGTCCGATCAAATTTGACCCCCTCTTATGTAGTCTCTATATATGAAAAACTGTCCAATCCTGGTGCCGAAAGGGAGCTCCGCTCCAGAAGAGAATATGTTTTACCAGTGAGAGCGTCTGTGAAATACCTAAATTCACCAGCCATAAAGCCTATCTCCATTTGGAAAAATCTTTCAACTGAAATAAAAACATCGCCAACCCTAGCAATCTTCAAGAAAAACTATAATAAGAAATATACATTTCATAAAAAGAATATTTTAACAAAAAATCTTAATTTGAAAAGGTCTTCTGAAACTAAACTTAATAAAATAAGAAGCGACCTTGCCCTTAAAAGTGACTTTTTTAGACATAATTTCAACAACATCATAGATCCTTCTTGCCCCTGCGGCCACCGAAATCAAGATAAGATTCATCTTTTACTCGACTGCCCTCTAACCGCCATACATAGAAATGATTACATACAGAACATCCTAAAGTTAGACAATCTTGATATTATGTGCTATTTTGGAAAAACCAGAAAGCAAAAAATAGAATTTATACTTTATGGAGATGAAAATTTAAATAGTGAACTGAATACAAAATGCCTTCAACTATCTTCAAATTATATCGATAACATCTTAGAATGACCATCCTCAGGGCTGTCAACTTGGGACCACCTAATATGAGTGACTTCAAAATGTTGGACACCTAAGTCCAAATCTGAACACTTTTGTTCAAATTTTGAACACCTTTGGCCAACTTTTAAACACCTTTGGCCAAAGTTTGAGCACCTTTGCCAAACTTTGAACACCTCAAATTTTTCGCGCTCGCTACGCTCGCGATGTTGTCAACGGGGGGGGGTAGACCTGGTGGACGACCGTCTGTCCGTTGCAATCCTACACACTCCAGTGATTTATTATATGTTTTTAACTTTCTAGAGGGGGGCCAATAATGCTATGTAGCCTCGGCCCCTCACAATCTATGTAAATAATTATGTTGAATATTATAGAAATAAATAACAATAACCTAAAAAAAAAAAAAAAAAAAAACGCGTCCCAGAGAAAAATTAATCTCCTGTCATTTCTATCACTCAGAATTTGTTTAACTTTGAAAATATGTTAGCTCACTTTAAATCTTTCTTAAAATAGTATAACAGAAAAGCGTATAAAAATACCTCAAAATGGTATACAAAGTACACATTAATTTTTGAATAAGGCAAGGACTTAAAGGCCCCGTTAGCGTCTCCGCATATAAAAAAATAAAGAAAGGGGAAGAAAGGGGTGTGGCCTATTGTAATGAACAAGTAAGGGGTGTGGCCTATTATAAAAACATAGAAAGGGGGATGGCCTTTTATAAAAAACGAGAAATGGACATGGCCTATAAGAACAAAAAAAAAATTGCCATGACTTATTATAAAAACCAAGAAAGAGGCACGGCCTTTTATGAAAATGAATAAAGGAGCTTGGCCTCTTATAAAAAAAAAACGAGAAAGGGTGGTGGCTTATTATAAAAACCGAGAAAGAGGCATGACCTATATAAAAAACATCAAAAGGGGAGTGGCCTATTATAAAAAATGAGAAAATAAAAAAAGAGGAAAGGGGCATGGCTTAAAACAAAAAATGTCTACCAAAAGTGCCATTAGACAGTGTGCCGTGCTTATAGTATTTACATACCAAATATAAACAAAATCGCTCCACTACTATTCGAATTAGAGTAAGATACGTTAAAATGGCGGCCATTTTGAAAATTGACCGCCTTCTACCAAAAGTGTCATTTGACAGTGTGCCATGCTTACAGTATTCACATACCAAATATGAACAAAATCGCTTCACTACTTTTGGAGTTATAGTAAAATACGTTGAAATGGCGGCCATTTTTCAAATTTTTTTTCAAAATGACCACTTCTACAAAAAGTGTCATAGGACAATGTGTCATGCTTATAGTATTCACATACCAAATATGAACAAAATCGCTCCACTACTTTAAAATATGTTAAAATAGACAGTGTGTCATGCTTATAGTATTCACATACCAAATATGAACAAAATCGCTTCACTACTTTTCGAGTTATAGTAAAATACGTTAAAATGGCAGCCATTTTTCAAAATTATTTTCAAAATGGCCGCTTTCTACCAAAAGTGTCATAGGACAGTGTGTCATGCTTATAGTATTCACATACCAAATATGAACAAAATCGCTCCACTACTTTTTGAGTTTTAGTAAAATATGTTAAAATGGTGGCCATTTTTCAAAATGGCGGCCATTTTTCAAAATGGTCGCCTTCTACCAAAAGTGTCTTTAGACAGTGTGCAATGTTTATAGTATTCACATACCAAATATTAACAAAATCACTCCATTACTTTTCGAGTTACAGCAAAAATCGTAAAATAATGAGTAAAGGCCGCCATTTTTCAAGATGGCTGCCATGTGCTTCTTTAATATCTACATTTCTAGCTTTATTAATGTCCTAATGTCCTTTAACATCTAAAACATATTGCTATTACAGTTTTACATATTGCACCTAAATTACTGTAAATTAGGCACTAAAATGGCCGCCATTTTGAAATGAGCAGTCATTTTGAAAATCGGCTTTCTAGCAGAACTTCTACCCCCATAGGGTATATGTGTACAAAATGTGAACAAAATCGGGCCAACGGTATTTGAGTTATTGCCGGACCAAAACGGAGAAAGGGGCGTGGCTTATCATAAAATCCGAGAAAAGAGGCGTTGCCTTTTATAAAAAACGAAGAAAGGGGCGTGACTTATCATAAAAACCGAGAAAAGAAGCGTGGCCTATTATAAAAAACGAAGAAAGGGGCGTGGCTTATCATAAAAACCGAGAAAAGAGGCGTGGCCTATTATAAAAATGAAGAAAGGGGCAAAGCCTATTATAAAAACGAAGAAAGGGGCGGGGCTTATCATAAAAACTGAGAAAAGAGGTGTGGCCTATTATAAAAACGAAGAAATGGGCGTGGCCTATTATAAAAACGAAGAAAGGGGCGGGGCTTATCATAAAAACCGAGAAAAGAGGCGTGGCCTATTATAAAAAACGAAGAAAGGGGCGTTGCTTATCATAAAAACTGAGAAAAGAGGCGTGGCCTATTATAAAAACGAAGAAAGGAGCGTGGCTTATCATAAAAATCGAGAAAAGAGGCGTGGCCTATTATAAAAAACGAAGAAAGGGGCGTGGCTTATCAAAAAAAACGAAGAAAGAGGCGTGGCCTATTATTAAAAACGAAGAAAGGGCGTGGCTTATCATAAAAACGAAGAAATAGGCGTGGCCTATTATAAAAATCGCTAAATTTGGTGCCCCATGTCATGTCAATGAGAAAAAAGATTTTTTTGAAGTGTAAAATACCAAATATAGACTGAGTACAGCTTAACATTTTGAAAGCCTATGAAAGAAAGAGACCTCGAAGGCTATCTAGCTTTAAAATTTGGACACCAAAATGCCTAGTTCAAAATTTATGTCAAATTTTTTAGTTTTTCCTTATTTTTGCGATTCTGACATTACACTTTAATGATTTGCTTTGAAATTTTGTTAACAGGTAGCGAAGAGTGTGCTAATAGTGTTAGCCTTTGCCATCAGAAAGTGTTTTGACCCACTTTTGAGATATGGTGTCTGAAAAGTATGTCAAAATAAAAAGTTCTCCAAATTTAACGTATGAGTTATGAATTAAGGGTAGAATTTCCTAAGGAATCCGAATCTTTAAACCAAATTTCAATCCAACTTCTTGTTAGATAGTTATAGCGGTTTGAAGTCTCGAAAAGTTGATATGATGATATCCCCATGTTAAGCCAATGGAGTCGAAGATAACTTTCTTAAGAGTCGTCTAAATGTCTATATTCTAGCTGACTCAGCTTATTATGGATGACTCAGCTTACAAGTATTCTGGATGACTCAGCTTAAAAAAAGTTTGAAATCTGGAGTCTTAATTGAACTTGTTCAATTTACATGTCTAGTTATAATTGTATTACAATATCAAACAAAGCTTGAAGTTCTCTTTAGAAAACAATTTAAAGCCATTTAAGCTGCCATCTTTTGTCATTCATGTCATTCATGTACATTATGAATATACTTTTCCATATATTATTGCACAATGGTCTCCCAATTTCTTATTTTGGCCGTTCTACTGACGAAATGAAGCAGTGAAATGGACTCTAATGCGTGAGGGTTGACACTAAAAAAAAGTCCATTTCACTGCTTCATTTCGTCAGTAGAACGGCAAATATAAGGAGACCATTGTGCAATAATATGTGGAAAAGTATATTCATAATGTACATGAATGACATTTGTTTATCTTGGATTGCTTCTAGTTTGGCTTATAAAGTGTGTGGCCTCTTATATTTGGATGTTTCTCTGCCATGTTATTTTCAATAAGATTAACATGGCTGAAATTCTTCAAATTACAAGACGGCACAGGCTTATTGCACAAAAAACTAAAAAATCTGAAATATACAAATGTCATTCATGTACATTATGAAAATACTTTTCCATATATAATTGCACAATGGTATTAGACTTTTCCAAAGCGTTTGACACGGTGGCTCACGAACGCCTCTTGCTCAAACTCGACTATTATGGAATTCGCAATAATAACTTGAACTGGTTCAGATCCTGGCTTGTGGGAAGATCACAACAGGTAGTGCTCGATGGTGAATCAAGTTCAAAAACTCCAGTAAAATCAGGAGTTCCTCAAGGAACAGTTCTTGGACCACTCTGTTTCCTTGTTTATATCAATGATATGGGCAATAACCTATCATCCTCAGCCAGTCTTAAGCTTTTTGCCGACGACAGCCTTTTATTCATGACAGTCGAAAGCAAGCAAGATGCATTAACACTACAGGAGAATCTTGATAAACTGGTCTCCTGGGCATCAACATGGCAAATGAAATTCCATCCATCAAAATGCTATGTGCTAAATATTCACAAAGGTAAATCTCCTATCATGCACAATTACACCATGCTAGGGGAAAACCTTAAGTCGGTAACACACATCCCATACCTAGGAATTGACATCACAAATAACTTACGCTGGACTACACATATTCAAACTATTGTATCCAAAGCCAATAAGGTGCTTGGATCTCTCAGGCGCAACCTCCATCAATGCCCTGAAAAAGTGAAGGCTCAGGCGTATAAGTCACTAGTCCGGCCTAATTTAGAGTATGCCAGCTCGGCATGGGATCCATACCGACAAAAAGATATTGATATGTTGGAACAGGTACAGAGAAGAGCAGCCAGGTTTGTAACCAAATGTCACTCAAGGGAACCAGGCTGCGTCACCAAAGCTCTTCAAGACCTACAGTGGGAGCCACTGAAGGAGCGTCGAGAGGCTGCTAGAGTTTTCCTTTTCTACAAAGGAAAGCAGAACCTAGCAGCCATCGACGTGCCTCCATACTTCCGCCAACAGATCAATACCAACACTAGGTTGTATCATCCTTCTAAGTTCATACAACCATCAACTAGAACGGATGCATACAAATTTAGCTATTTCCCTAGGACAATAGCTAAATGGAACACTCTACCTGGTGACATCTTAGACTGTGACAGTCTAAGTAGTTTTAAATCATCATACTATGCCTATGTCAATAACTGCAATTAAATAGGTGTGTTTTTAATATAGATCTATGTTTTAATGTAAAGGGTCCCCAGTGCACAGCAACAAGCCTGCACTACTGGTAAAGAGGGGTGATGTCAACGCGGTAGCCTGACAGTCTCCCCAGGTAAAATGGACTCTAGGGCATAACCATAATCGTCTATTCAAAAGATACATGTAAGAAGAAGATGCCAAGCATCAGGATAACTAATCTCTACGAAACTGATCACTTACCAACAGTTTAAAGTTAAAACCTTTAGTGTAATTGCCATTTCAAACATGAAAATCTGCTATTTTATTCCTCAATTATAAATTCAACATCCACCATGTTGGGATATCCCAATGACGTCATAACTTTTTCAATGATTTCCCTTTGAATAGCTTGATTTATTCATGTAGACGATATCTATGTTACGCTTTATCGCCGAATTGATTTAAATATAATTTATTCTCATGATATTTATCAAAATATTGTACATAATAATGACTTAAACAACATGGAAATAAGAAGTGAAATTCTCATTTGACCTAATTTGACGCCATATTGAAAACAAAACCAGGTGCTCGAAAAGCCGACAAATGATTTGTTTACTTTTATGAGTTGTGCTTATCGACCAGTGTTTCCATCGAGCAAGCCAGAAGCTGAACCATCTGTTCCAGGGATGGAGTATAATCAACCAGGGAGAAGATTTGGAATCCCTCCCAGGAGTACAGGAAGAGGTAAGACATTTGACTGTCTGCAACTGCAAGCAAGTGAATGCAACACATTTTCTCAAGTTTCTGGAGGAAGCCAGTGAGCAAAATGATCCACAAGGTTGATCAAGTTTATAAATATTTTCTTATATCTTAGTACCTTGGTCAGATTCCTCCCATTGGTCTCAAGGCTCAATGAATTTATTAGGATCAGACATGAAATCTTATCGTACCTACCGACCACTTGTGGTCGTACGCCCGTATTATTAGTAAGCCTGTCTTTCTACAATGTCGGAGAATGAACTACGCATTGCACTATTAAATGACCTACCTCGATACATTCCAGCGTATTTTAGAATTCTTTTTATGTTGTTAGATCGCCAATTGTATGGGTTTATCGGCAGAACGAAGAGATTTTAGTTTTTACATCGGAAATATATCAGCAATTTTCAAAATGTCGGAAGGGGAATTCCCCAGGGATTTCCCTTATGACTGGTGCATGCCGGGAACTGAATGGAGGAATTTGACGGTTGAAATAAGTTAAATATTACACGCAAATATTGCTATCAAAAACGAAAATATCTTCGTTCTGCCGATAAACCCATACAATTGGTGATCTAACAACATAAAAAGAATTCTAAAATACTCTGGAATGTATCAAGGTAGGTCATTTAATAGTGCAATGCGTAGTTCATTCTCCGACATTGTAGAAAGACAGGCTTACAAATAATACGGGCGTACGACCACAATCTAAAGGGGTCGTAGGATGCGATAAATGAAATCTTCTTAAAATTTGAGGCGAACCATGACGAGTGCGCGCAACGAAATGAGGGCCAGAATTCTGAGCAATTTCAGAGCACATTATCCCACACTTAAAATCATTTTTCAAGACATTGGTTAAGAGAGAAGGAGGAGCTCGACCCGAGTGCTCCCCCTGAATCTACCATTGGGTACCAAAATAAATAAATAATATCCCTGGCCATCACTTATTATTGACCTGTGCTTGTTAATGGATACTTACCTAATAAAACATTCCATTTCTCTGCTGTTCAGTGCTATTGCTATATGCAATATTGTTCTGTTTTAAACTATGGATTTATTTTTAAATTTTTTAGTCCAATAGATCTACCACAAAAATGTTATTTTGCAAATACAATTTAAAAAGAAGGCTTATATGTTGATTTCTCTGAACATATTTCTTTCAAATGATTTCTGGAAAAATTAGATGGATGGCTGTCAATTTATTTCAAATGAATGCTCCTCTGATGTGCTGTGAGCATGGCGAGCGCATTGCCAGTTAAGGTAATACGAAAAAAGTTCACAGACTACCAAATTAAACCAAATTTTGAATGAAAATACATGTACTCGCTTACTAGAATTACAAAAAAAGGTTACTTTAGTGGAGCAACGATTGACTCGTTGACTCGAATACTACTCGCCAAACCCTGTAAATACGATTCATCGATTGGTAAATTCTGACTCGAATTGAAAAATTGATGAAGAAAATGTGATCTACCCACCTTTCAACCACAATTTACGTAAAAAAACACATCCAATGTACAACATTTCTGTAAAATGTTTAGCAATGATGCCTTCCTTAATATATAGCATTGTAGTATGATACCTTAGTTTGGAATAATAAATCAAATACAATTAAAGCTTTCTCGTGTTTGTTTTTATTTATTACATCCGGTTGCGCATGTGCAATGCAATGTTTAAGTAGGTCAAACCAATTAGCGTAAATTGCTAAATTTTTTACTTTTCAATGCAAAACAATAACAGATAAAGTGTATTGAGTTATTCTATTTGAATAATTTGATAAGTATGTTGGAGTTATTCAAGGTCGGTTGAGCCAAGAACACTTGAAAACATTGCTACCGGAAGTGAAAGTTTGTAACTTTCCGAAGAAAGTTTTTCGCAAATAAATCGAGTGTTCAAGAGCCTCTACTCGAGTAGGATAATTCACACGAGTCCCACTACTAGTTTACATGAATTGATTATTTTAATGTTCATTGTTAAAGAATGTACATACATAAAACATGTTTAATATGTCTCTGGTTATGGCTTTTTTCTTAATGGATACACGACTAAGGTGTGAGATCTATTGAAAGGGCACAACGTCAACAACATGCAAAAGTTAATGTTTTTTGCATGATATCAAAACTTAAAATACATAGAGACAACAGGCCTATAGAGAACTGAAGTCTGCACAGTATTTGACAAAGAAAGCAGGTGGTGTTTTCCATAGATGGCTAGGAAAGCGATGGCGTGAAAGAAGGTTGCACATCTGGGGGTGCAAGGGCATGCTCCCCGTAGAAAATTTTTGTCATTGAAGACGTTATTTGGTGCAATCTGAGCATTTTTAAGGACCATAAATAGTTGTTTCTGATGTAAAATAGCATGAAGTTTCACCGAGGAATCTTGTTTTAGGCAGTTTCAGAGTTCGCACCCAATGGTGCCAATGATTCTGGAGTCAATTTATCAATATAACACGTCATATCCCATATGACACGTACTGTTGTCAGCTTTATCTCCCAATCACTTTAACCACTAAGCAGGGGTTTCATTAGCAGTAGGCAACAGGCGAATTATGTGGAACCCCTGTATTGACATCAGGGTCTGGTGCTTGCAAAGCATTAGATGAAGAAATTTAACAGTTCAAATAAGTTAGATAACAGGCATATTGTTATGGTCTCCGTTTTTTTGTGACGGTGGTTAGTGGTTGGCAGGCCATTTTGGAATGAATTATATATTTTAAGCCTCATCGAGGATAAGTTTATTTATTTCCGTAGATCTACATTATTTTATAGGATCATTTAAACTTTACCTTATCTTTTATCTAATGAATTAGTTTGGGAAGTATTGGTGCAGTTGAGCTGGCCCCTCAAAACTAGAGTTAAACTTATTCAACTACATGTAATGAATATTAAGAAATCATCATGGTTATGTCAGGAGACAAATGTTTAAAACAAGCCACTTTTTGGTCTATTGGTGCCGTGCATGTTAATCATATCATTGCTTTATTTCTGTATTTATAACAGTAATTCAAGAGTTCTGATTTTAATATTTTATATTGCAGATGATGATCGCCTGCCATTTCCAAGAAGTAAGTTCCCAAGTACAATCATTCTTATGGATTATAAAAATGAATTTCCTAAAATAAAACACAATGATATGGCATTTGATTCCGACCTTATCCTTAATAGTTTTTGTTTAATTAGAGGACCTAGGGACTTGTATGGGCATTCTCAGACAAACCCTTGGTACCAGGTGAAAATCTGGGGTATTTTTAGACCCTTTACAATATATATCACCGTATCAATAAAATGTTATGTCTAATTTGAAATTTCAATAAAGAAATATATAAAACAAAAATTATTTAAGATTGTCAGACAATGCCCCATGTCCCACTTTACCCCTATGTACTCTAAACTAAACATTTCTCAGATGTTGATATGCTAAATATTATTAAGACCAATCATAATTTTTAATGTCCCATGGATCTACTCATATTACATGGGGAAGAGGAATGAAATATATAATTCCATATATTACACAACTCAAACTTGCATATACTATTATGTTCTTTTAATTTCTTAAAGGAGGACCATCATTTGATCCCTATCAGAAAGGTAATCTTGTTTGCTTTTAAACCATCTAAATATAGATTGCTTTTAATATGTGCATTTCGTTGAAATGCTGTGAATATGTATGGCACTAAGGCTGGCAAAGGCCTAAGAGCATTACAAAACACAAGAAACACCTAAGGGGCAGAATAGCCTTGCCTAAGTCGGTGTCTTTTTTATTAAAAAATTTTACTGTTACTCCACTGCCTTGTTCCAATCACAGAGACACATGCTTTCCCAACTATATGTTATTGTCGGTTCAGTTTTGACTAATAGCATGCAGCCTTATAAGTTTGTAAAATGCTTTGCAGTAAGCCAATCAGTGACTGCGTTAGCTCATTATTATGCTCAATCGAAGACTTTTCAAAAACCAATTAGATCTTGTACAATTGCAAATATCCAAATATTTTATCAAATTGATATCAGTCATAGTATAGTGGATGCAGGAGCATCAATGAGATGCATGGAATTGCAAGGAATTAAAAAAGATTGCCAAAGATAACTGAAAATGTTTTTTGACCAGTACCAGGGAAATTTGTTTTCTGTTGCCAAGTAACTGGTTCATACGGGATGGTTGACACATAAATTATCATAAAACATCAGAGATAACCTGGATGGTACCAAGACGAGTAAAAGAAAAAAATATCGACTTTGGCAAGGCTAAGAGTATAACAAATAAAACAAATCCAAACATCCATTAAAAATGTGGTAATTCACATGCATTTTGTTTCATGTAATTTTGTAATATACTTGTGTTTGCAGTGTTGTTTTGGGAATGTGGTTATGGTTTAATTTACTGCAAGATTCAACTACAGTTTATTAGCATACTGATATCTTGACTCTTTTTCACAATGCCATTATTAAGAAAAAGTAGTGCCATAAATTCTTCTCACAAGGCATTCCTATTTATGATTGACTTCAAGAAACAGAACCCTGACAAATGCATACAGTTATACAAAGAAACGTGGTAAATATACTTAAATGTATTTGAATGTCTATTATAAGTGAAAAGTGAATGATAGTAAGTATGAATGTTGCAGAGAAGAGAGGTGGTGAAGATCCTAACCAGGGATGGCTAAAGATGATTGAGAAATTCAACAGAGGTGAGGATCCAGAAGACACTACTGAGGAGGATATAGAGGAACAGATCAGGGTCTTCAAGGGTAGTAGAGGTATGTGCAGCTGCTGATGGGTAAATTTCAGTTTCATTATTTTAATTTCATTGTTATTGACAAACTGGCTGGATGGCTAGCTAAAACCAAAAGATAATACTTCGTAATTGTTCTTGTTGGAAGAATTTTTTTTGTATCAAGATTTTCATTCTTTAACATGCCATAATTTTAAAAATCCAAACCTTGTTTTAAGGATATCACAGACAGATTATTTTTGCATTCATACAGATATTATCCAGCTTATTGTTCTGAAGCATATGCAATTGTAATCACTGAAAGATAAATACACGGGGGTAAAGCAGACCCGATGATACAATGAGCTTGCTCGGTGGTATCATGACTGTGTTATGGGTCTTGATGTATAAGTGAGCTCGGCGGTAGGTTCAAACAACGCGGATCCTCATAGCATGTGCTCATGGTATCATCGTGGCTTAACACCCGTGTAAAGAGGTGAAAAAAATAAAATGTCAGAAATAAGTTTTTACAGAAAAGAATGTAAGATACAATACAATACAATACAATACAATACAATACAATACAATACAATACAATACAATTCAAAACAATATAATACAATACAATTCAGTACAATACATTAATACAAATACCAATACAAGATATGAGAAAATAGAAAAGGGATAAACATTTAATTTTTTTATTACATGTAATTGTAGATTTTAAGTCCAAATTGAATGAGCACTCACTCCAGAGTGGCTTTGGTGTGGCGGCATATGAAACAAGACCAGCAGGTCGAATGCAGAATGATGGATTCGTTAGCTGTTGCATTGTTGGGGGAAGAAATTACCAGTGTAAAAGTAAGATGCCATCCCTGTATTCTTTAGTCTGCACAAATGGCTGTCACTGGAAGTATCATTGCCTTACTATTTCATACTGTAACTTGTTTCGTACAGAAGTCTATGAAATGCTCTGTAACTGTAGTTATTAAAAAGTCATGTTGATGATTTGGGGCATATTTAACAATTTAGTGCTTTCGTGGATTATGTCACATATTTTAATTATTACATCCTAAGTGACTTATTATTTAGTTTTGTATTGCTGTACATTTCAGTGAGTTTCCGTGCAAAGAAAGATGCAGAGCAAGCTGCTGCTAGGATGGCTTTAGTAGACTGGGGAATCATAAGTCAAGGTGAGACTGGGGGATCATAAGTCAAGGTGAGACTGGGGGATCATAAGTCAAGGTGAGACTGGGGGATCATAAGTCAAGGTGAGACTGGGGGATCATAAGTCAAAGTGGGATTGGTGGAGCATAAGGTTTAAAAATGAGGATTATAAGTAAAGGTCTATCTGGGGGATAACATCCAAAAGTGAGACTGGGGGAGGATAAGTAAAGATGAGACTAGGGGATCATGAATAAAGATGAGACTAGAGGATAATGAATAAAGATGAGACTAGGGGATCATAAATAAAAGTGATTTATTGATTTAGTTTATAAATTTCAACGGGAGTGTAAATGGATTAATGTGGTGTAGCTTCTTGGTGTCACACCATTTTTGTGATTGTGTTTCCAGATGCCAAGTTACCTAATGCAGATAGGATCATAAACAAAAATGTTGATCTCTCTATAAGTCCTGCAGAAACCTTTGACCCCAACTACCCCAAAGGCAGAGGCAGAAACTTTGATAATAGATACAATAATGATAACTCTGGCAATGATGATCCATGTAAAACCTCCTTTAGTTCACAAGAAGTAAGTTAAACTTTGCATGAGTATAAATGTCAATAGGTTATTCAGGATTTTAAGCGAAGCTTTCAAAAATGTTTGACATAAAAGAAAATAATTTCAATTTCTCCTCTGACCCCCCACATCTCTTTCCCTGAAAATTATTATGTTGTTGTTTTCAGAATGTGGATGATGATTTTGAAAAGAAAGACTTAATAAGGAGTGAAATAGAGAGGTTTAGAAGCAAACACAAGGGTGAAGTGGTGAGTTTGTTTGTTTGTTTGCTTATTTGTTCATTTTCTTGTAAGGTAGCCAATGTCAGACTATGTTATGTCACAATATAGATAATATGATGCCATCTGCCATCTGTGTATCCCATGGACACAATTTTGATAAGACTAGGTATATCTTGAGGAATTTAAGTTGCAAAATTATTAACTCATCTACAGTTAAAAATCTATAAGTGCTTATCCATGAATTAATATGAACAAAAAGTGGAGAAAAGAAATGGTCATTTCAAGTCATTTGTTTTTATTAATTTGTATAGGTGTCAAATGCTAGACTTTTGGATAAACCAAGTTTTGATCATGAAGATTGGCCCCCTCGTGGAGGAGAGCAGAGATACCCTAGAAATGAACATGGATACCCTCCACACTTTCCCAGAGGCCCCCCACGAGGTGGATACAATGGCCCAGGTCCAAGGCCTTGTGGTGGTGTGCCTCCATTAATGAATCCTCAGTTTAATCCGCCACCACGACACCGCCACCCTATCCCTAGAATGATGTTAAACTACCCTGAGGATCCTCAGTGGGAGAATGAGGCTTGGGAGGAAGATATGGGGCCAAGGAGACATAGGGATAGATCGCCAATTGCCAGGGCACCTCCGCCACCACCTAACTCTCTACAGTCAATACTTGAGTAAGTCTTCTAAGTCATTACTGTCAATACTTGAGTAAGTCTAACTCAATACAGTCAATACTTGAGTAAGTCTATGTCATTTCAGCCAATACTTGAGTAATTCTAACTCACTAGTCAATACTTGAGGAACTTTATGTCGTTACGTTCAGTACTTGAGTAATTCTAACTCACTATAGTCAACACTTGAGTAATTATATGTCATTTCAGTCAATACTTGAGTAAGTCTATGTTGTTACAGTCAATACTTGAGTAAGTCTCTGTTTTTACAGTCAATACTTGAGTAATTCTAACTCACTACAGTCAATACTTGAGTAATTCTATGTCATTTCAGCCAATACTTGAGTAAGTCCATGTTGTTAACAGTCAATACTTGAGTAATTCTAACTCACTAATCAATACTTGAGGAACTTTATGTCGTTACACTCAGTACTTGAATAATAGTACTTGAAAGTCTATTTCATTACAGTCAATACTTGAGTAAATCTATGTCATAACAGTCAATACTTGAGTAAGTCTATGTCATAACAGTCAATACTTGAGTAAGGCTATGTCATTAAAGCCAATACTTGAGTAAGTTTTAGTCAGTAGTCAATACTTGAATAAGTCAAAACCTGTTAGTCTCACAAACTGCAATCAATTCTTGAATAAGTCTAACTGGCTACAATCAATTCTTGAGTAAGTCTAACTGGCTACAATCAATTCTTGAGGAAGTCTAACTGGCTACAATCAATTCTTGAGTAAGTCTAACTGGCTACAATCAATTCTCGAGTAAGTCTAACTGGCTACAATCAATTCTTGAGTAAGTCTTACTGGCTACAATCAATTCTTGAGGAAGTCTAACTGGCTACAATCAATTCTTGAGTAAGTCTAACTGGCTACAATCAATTCTTGAGTAAGTCTAACTGGCTGCAATCAATTCTTTAGTAAGTCTAACTGGCTACAATCAATTCTTGAGTAAGTCTAACTGGCTACAATCAATTCTTGAGTAAGTCTAACTGGCTACAATCAATTCTTGAGTAAGTCTAACTGGCTACAATCAATTCTTGAGGAAGTCTAACTGGCTACAATCAATTCTTGAGTAAGTCTAACTGGCTACAATCAATTCTTGAGGAAGTCTAACTGGCTGCAATCAATTCTTGAGGAAGTCTAACTGGCTACAATCAATTCTTGAGGAAGTCTAACTGGCTACAATCAATTCTTGAGTAAGTCTAACTGGCTGCAATCAATTCTTTAGTAAGTCTAACTGGCTACAATCAATTCTTGAGTAAGTCTAACTGGCTACAATCAATTCTTGAGTAAGTCTAACTGGCTACAATCAATTCTTGAGGAAGTCTAACTGGCTACAATCAATTCTTGAGTAAGTCTAACTGGCTACAATCAATTCTTGAGGAAGTCTAACTGGCTGCAATCAATTCTTGAGGAAGTCTAACTGGCTACAATCAATTCTTGAGGAAGTCTAACTGGCTACAATCAATTCTTGAGTTAATCTGACTTACAAGAAATCAATGCTCAAGTATTTAACTCTCATAATTATGACACACCTATTGTGGATGTAGCACATGTAATTTGAACATAGCACACATTGTGCTGATTCAGCACACATATCCTGGATTTAGCACACATACTGTTGATGTAGCCCACATAATGAAAGCTACTCTTGTTGTTTTAGTCACACAAATGCAAAGATCAAAGTAGCGGCAGTTGGCCATGGTTACATGTGGTCAATCTTTGGGTCCATGAAAGCAAACAATCCTAAAACACCACGTGATTTTGGCATTAAAGAACTGGCAGTACAAATGCTTTGTCCTGAATGGGGCTATACAATCAAAGATATTCTAAGAAGCCGTCCTTCATTGGTCTATATACAGGTAATACGCATTGTTATTTAATAAATATAGAATTTCCCTTACAACCCTGACCACGTTTTGCTGCACCAAACAAAACAGGGTATGATGATTCCTCAAAACATTGAAATATTTGTACATTGTATTGTTGAATAGTTTGTTAGAAAGTCTAATATTTTGTATCTTTGTACATCATTTATGCATTATGGGAAGTAATATGACCTTATAAAGAAACAGCATTTCTCCTCCAAATTGGAGAGCTCTAACTAGTCTTGCTTCAAGTCTATACCCCCCCCCCTCCTTTACGTGCTTCACCACCAATGAGTGTGAGAATATTTTAACTTTTTTCAATTTTCAGGTTGAAGATAAGGACATAATGGGTCAGCGTCCTGAACATGGACCACATCCAATCATCAGCCTGGCAGAAAATCTCATAGAAATGTCCCGTGGCCATATCAAGAAGGTATGTTTTACATGGAAACTTGACACATTGAGAATTTGCTCAATATGATAGCCATTTTAGAAAGTAATGGTTGAATATAGCAGTTCCCATCAAAGTGACTCCCAGACAATTATCTGCTTCTTGACAAGATGTTTGGTGGAAATTACTTTCCCCTGGCACTGCCAATGACTAGTTATTTTACTTTTACATCTTTAATTTATTAGTAATTCTTCAGTGATTTGTTGTTGAAGGAATTATTAACTGGTAGTTTGCCACCAGGCTAATAAATGAATAATGAAGAACAATAGTTGAGATATATAACGCATTACATGTCTTCAATTCTTTATAAACATTTTACATAATTTCTTGAAGGTGATCATAGGGAAGGCGTTTGCAAGATTCCACACTCTCTCCTCAGAGTCTTCAGCCGTGGCCTATTTCAATGACAGATGTGCCAAGCTGAATCAAGAGCTGAAGTCAAGCATTGCCAAGCGTGATTTCCTGCTATGGTGGAATCACAAAGATGTTGGAATGTCAGACAGGAAGAATGTAAAGGATGATGGGTTTAATTTAAGCGACCTTGGTGTCTTCAGACTATGGAAGTCAATTAGAGCCTCACTGATGAGGTTCAAAGAGGAGTTCTCTTTAATGGGGTATGTAGCTATCTTTGATGGGGTGTTTAGCTCTCATTGTAGCTTTCTTTAATGGTGTGTGTAGCTCTCATTGTATCTTTCTTTAATGGTGTGTGTAGCTCTCATTGTAGCTTTCTTTAATTGGGTGTGTAGCTCTCATTGTAGCTTTCTTTAATTGGGTGTGTAGCTCTCATTGTAGCTTTCTTTAATGGGATGTGTAGCTCTCATTGTAGCTTTCTTTAATGGGGTATGTAGCTATCTTTGATGGGGTGTTTAGCTCTCATTGTAGCTTTCTTTAATGGTGTGTGTAGCTCTCATTGTAGCTTCTTTAATGGTGTGTGTAGCTCTCATTGTAGCTTTCTTTAATTACTCAGATGCGAGTAGGTAGTTACCAGTTTCGCCACCAGGTGGCTGATTCGGGGGAATTAACGTGGCAGGGTATTACACAATTCCCTTAAACTTGAATATGCATGAGTTTTAATGGTTCACTTTTCATATTACCTTTATGTATCTGATAGTTATATAAATTAAAATATGTCCAGTAAAAGAAAATGTTATCTGCCCAACACAAGAAAAGATATTTCACTTTTTGTGGTTTTACAACATGGGCTCTATGGGGAATCTCCCCGACCCAGAAGTCAGATTTTCAAAGAAAATTAAATTTTCAAAGTTGATAAACTCTTTCCAAAACCACATTTCTAAATGTAATTTTACATGTAGATTCCAAATATGACATCAGTTTGACTGAATTGTGAATTCTTAATGACGTAAATCAAGATTATTTCTACTCGCATCTGGGATATTGGGTGTGTAGCTCTCATTGTAGCTTTCTTTAATGGGGTGTGTAGCTCTCATTGTAGCTTTCTTTAATGGGGTATGTAGTGATGGGATATGTAGCTCTATTTATTGAGGTATGTAACTCTTCAATGGGGTATGTAGCTCTCTTTATTGAGGTATGTAGCTCTCTTTATAGTGGCATGTAGCTCCCTTAGCTATGATCTGTGGCTTTTACCATATGAGTAATGTAGCTCTGGTCAATGGGGTATGTACTTGATAACATTGCAATGAATTGTTCCCATACTGGAAGTTAGTAAATATTTTGTTGGGGACCAGTAACTTAACTAATGGCAAATGTTCAGCTAATTTCATATATTTAAAACATATGTGTGATTGAGTTGGTTTTTCAGACATTACAATTTTCAATATTTTCTTAGTCGATATTCTGACTCATTCCTGAACTTATCCTTTACAAACTTCTTCAATATTTTCAGAGGCAAAACAGCTGTGATTGACTATGGACACACATCTGCTGGTCAAGCTGAGTTGTCACCTACAGCTGTGTTGCAGGAAGCCATATCAAATGCTACAATGATTAAACAGCACATGATGCATCAAAATGTCATGCAGAAAACTGCACAGGTACAGTGGCCTTTAAAGTATCTTGTGACATGATTTTCTTATTGATATTTTTATTGTCAGGGCTCATCAAAAGTGGAAATTATTGCACAGGTACAAATTATCTAGTTCCAGGGTTCTCACTAGGCTTTTAGACTCAGGAGATTCTCCGGAGTCTAATGTATTAAAACCCTTTTGCTCCAGAGTCTAATAGCTTTTCCGAAGTCTAAAGTGTTTTTCCGGAGTTTAATTTTACATTTTTGTCACATTATTTGCAGTAAAACTCTTCAAAAAATACATAAAACTGGATACAAACAAGGAATAGGAATTCAGAAACCTTTTAGAAATTAATATTGGGATTGAAATAGCAAAATAATCTTAAGAAGTATGTTGAAAAGTATACTAATAGGATATCTCTGATCTCACATGGGGGTGAAGTAGTCGCGAAACCGCTAAAAAAAGTAGTCAAAATACCGCTAAAAATCTGGGGTCTAAAAATTTCCTGGTGAGAACCCTGAGTTCACATTAATCAGAGGCATAAAGTGGATAACAAGCTCAAAAAAAACTGTCCAATGTATCAAGTTAATTCATATTTCAAAACTGTTCATGAAACCTTTATGAACTTCATATTCCTTGAATGGTTCTAGGTAAAACATGAAGAGTACATGAGGCACTGGGAAAGGAATCGCTACTCTGATCAACATCAGTCACGTCGTAGATCCCATGATGACAAACCCAAGGATCGTCACACATTAGTTGTAGAGGAGGAAGACTATGAAGAAGCTGATGCTGATATTGTTGAGGCTAATAAACGTCTCATTGAGGTATGTTCATGATTTGTCATCTAAATTAAGCAACAGTCTTATCTTATGTAACTATCATGGTATCAGTGACATGAGGCTGGTGATGAGATGGAACAACCCAAGGCACAGTCTAATAAGTTGCATACTTTTATGATGTATTCTCTATGCTTCTGAATGTTATATTTAGAAGTGTACAGTGATATAACTTTACTTCTGGTCATCTTCATTTGCTGTTTACTAAATATTAATATAAACTAATTTAAAAGCTGCAAAATTTGAGTAGTTTCAAATTTACAAAATATACTTGTTGCAACAAATGTTAAAAAAATGAAAATAAATTGCAGTGAAATTTCAAAATCACAAAATGCAATGTATAATACCATCCATAAATAGGTCTGTATTTTTAATATTGGAAACACGGACTGGAGTCATCGTTAACAGGAATTCAAAAAATGAAGTAAACCTTTTTATTTCCGGATTCTCGCCTAAATTAGCTCATCTTGGTGACTGGAACTTGCACAGCTGTATTAACCATAGTCTTATAGTATCACATCCCTAAATTGTAAAGTAGAAATGCATTTTTAACCTGATTTCACTGTTTTTTTGTCGACTGGTAAGATACCGCCATAAAGCGACATAAAATGTAATATTGGAATGACTAATTTATATACATACATATTTAAAAGCTAATCGTCATCCTTGAAAAATGTTGCTGAACTTTGTTGCCGATTTCCATCATGTATTGCAAATTTTACTTTTTTGTTTTTTTTTTCATTTCAATTCTCTGACCCGATTTTCTATATAAGGGTGGATGTCCAACTTAATATAAGTTGGCAGATGGATGACTCTTGACCTTGAGTGACCATGTGACAAATGTTATCTAGACATTGATTGGTTGAAATTCAATGGTTCAATTGCCGATAATGTTGTCCTGTCAACAATGGCAATTTGTACGTAACCAATTGATTTATTGAAATAAATGTGAAGTGTGTAAAAAATGGTTGAAATTTAAATTGGTCAGGAAATTTGATACTCCCGCTCGAGAACAAGAATTGGTCATGTGATCACCCAAGGTCAAGGTCAGGTCAAGAGTTATCTATCTGCCAAAACTCTGGCAGTATCTTACCAGTCAACCAGAAACAGTGTAATTAGTCTTAAAAATACATTTATACTTGAAAATGGACACTTTTAAGCTGCAGTTAATACAGCTGTGCAAGTTTCAGTCACCAAGGTGAGCTAATTAGGCGAAAATCGGGAAACAAAAAATGTAACTTCATTGAATGCTTCTTGTTTCCAATCCTCAGTTTAAATTATGTTTGAGTTTCGAAAGAATGTCAGACCTGTCCATGATTGGAAAAGGCAAATTGTAAGTACATTTCCAAATTACAGGACAAGGCAAATATGTCAATGAAGCAGTTTACTGATGTTTATGGTAGAGGACGTGCTGAAAACATTAAGTATAGACATAAACGCTATCAGCAAGAGCAGATCCTGCGCCACAGATATAAACTCTACATCTCTGACAAGGCGACACTAGGACTCATGGAAATGGAAGAAAAGTAAGAAACTGACTAGCTCTCAGTTTTTGTTTGTCAAAAGGTGTACGGCATTTCTTTGACTCAAAATTGTTGAAAATCCAAATGCTCATGAATAATCTGAATGTGCCAGTTAGTAGCTGATAGTTTCACCACCAGGTGGCTAACCTGAGTCGGATTACATGGCTGGTATACATTAATTTTCATCTAACCTTTTTGAGTATGACAGTTATACCATTTAAAATGTATTATTTGTTCAATACAAGCAAATGTAGGAAAGCTTTATATATTGTTTTTAATATGTTCATTGATAATGTAGATATGGTGGCAGCAAAAGCTGCAATGATCTGGAGCAGGAATACAAGGAGATGAAGGATGCGGAGGAGCTTGAAGAGCGCTACAAGACCTACCTTAAAGACAAAGACACCCTGACAGCTCTTGAGTGGGAGGAGAAATATGGCGGGACTGGCGGTGAAGAAATTGAGGAGAAATTCAAAACATTCAAAAGACGTCAGTACCTTATTGACGCTCAACATCGCTGTACTTATGATAAGCAAAATTTGTCAAAATCTGACTTCAACAGCAAATATTACAAGAAGTACCTGGATGTGTTAAAAGAGGCCTTTAATCGCCAAAAAGAGCAGAAGACTCTTTCAAAAGAAGACCAGGAACTAGTGGCTAAATATAAGGCGTGGGAATATGACAAGAAATCAATGTCAATGGTTGAATACGAGAAGAAATACCCAGATGATGTGACGGATGAACTAGAAACAGAGTATAAGGTGTTCAAAGAGAAAAATCAGGGTTCACTCGAATCTTCTGAGGTGGATGAATTCTTCTATATTCTACATAAGTTCCTTTATGAAAAAGCATTCAAATCAAAAACCAAAGTGAAATTGAACTATACAAGAGAGTTTCTAGATCTCCTTTTCTCCGTCTGGGACAAACACAAAAATGGGAAATCAGAACAGGTGGATTACGAAGAGGTAATATTTGAAGAAGGTTACACGAGATACATGATGGATAAAGAACAATTGACCCCCAGTGTGTTCATGATGAAATATACACCTAAGATCATTACTGATTTTGAGACAAGACGCGAAGAGCTTGCACAAAGGAAGAAAGGGGACATGACTGCCAGTACAGATAATCAGCTGCTAGAGGCGGAGTATCAGACATACATGGCAGACAAACAACAACTCAGTATGATGGCCTTTACTGAGAAATACAACCCAGTTTATATAAAAGGTGAAACATCTTGTATTTATATGTAAGATCATGCTTGTAAGGTTTCACAATTACTACTTTATAAATACAAATATCAATAATCATTTTCAGCATTACAGACATTTACATCTGCATTCTTATGATAAAATAACTTGTATGAAAAAATATGTATAATGTATGTCTAATTGAATGTTGTTTTACAAATGAACACAAAACGTTGTTTTTTTCTAATGTGTAATCAACCTTCCAGTAAGTCTAGTAAAATTGTGAAATATAAATTTGTCTTCAGATCTGGAGGATCGTTACGCTGCACTTAAAGGGACTAAGCCTGATGTAACAACTGACGCAATGCAAGCTCATCTGATGCAGCAACAACAATTGATGATGTCACAATACGGGATGATGGGTCAAGGAATGATGCCTGGAATGATGAACCAGTTCTATCAACCTGGTTCTATGTTCCCAGCTGCTGAGACTGCAACTGGTGAGGAAGATAAGGCTGATGACATCACAGAGGTTGAAATGGAGCTGAGTGATAATGAAGGTGACTCAAGTGAGGCAAAAGCAGAGGAGCCCATTGTGAAGCCTCACCCAATGGGCCAGTACCCACCCCTCAAGCCAGCAGAGCCTGGACCCACAGGGCTCGAAGAGAAACAAGAGCCAGTGACCCAATCTTTCAGTGATTTCTTAAAGGTAAATTATGACTCATTGGAAGTTGCATTTGAAATATAACCCAACTTTTGAAAAATAATTTCCCAAACTCCATGCTGAAATGTAAGTTAGCTTGAGCCATACTATGTTATTGTTGGGCTGTTTTACAATTTGGAGAGATGAGCAGGCATACATTGCTCTGTGATGTCATCAGAATCAATACAATATTCCATCGTCTCAATTTCTGAATATTCTCCATTGCACCTGATTACAAGCAAGCCCTGTACAACACTTTTGGAACATTATATAGCAGATAAGGTGAGAGTTCATATGAGAATAGTGCATCCTTTGAACAGTTTATTGGATGGACTATTCTTGCTTTTGCTACATTAAAGTATTGCACTTCTTGTGATTTGCACCTTGTGGTCTTATTTTTCAGAAACAAATGTAAAACAGAACCCCAGCGGCAAATAGTGACATCTATAAACCAAAGATTGGAAATACCATATATGGGCATATTGGTAACTCCAATCTTTCTGCGGATCCGGAAGGACATTAGAGTTGAAAATAAACATTGAGTAGATAGACCATGAGTCTACATTATTCCATATACTTCGGAATATATTAGCGCCAGTGAACTTTATAAATACCTGTATTTCATATTAAAATACTTGTATTTAAATGAATGATATTTCAAAGAGACAAATTTGAACATATCTGAGGAAAAGTAGTTTTGTCATTATAACACGTATACAATATAAAATAGGGTAAGTGATTATGAAAACAAATAGTGACATCATCTTCAGGAAAAGACTTTTGAAATGAGAAATATTTGTATTTCTGAAATACCTGTATTTATCATGTGAATAATTTCATGAAAATGTGTAATAATCGAAGTAAGGGACTTGGAACTTTTAAACAACAAACAACTTCCATATCTTGAAAAACTGTTCCATGAGCATCTAAAGAGGTAAGATCACATGACTTGGTTGATTTTGTTGAATGAAACACCTCAGCCGCATATTCATACTTCCCAATTGTCCAGTACTTAGTCTCTGTCAACTATAAAATTGGAGAAGGATCGTTGAACTGAAAACAGTTTTTGGAGATATGGATGTTAGAGATATCTTTAATTTACATTGAGTTACTATATAGGAGACAATTTGATGCATCTTTATGTACATGTACATGCCAGATTATGTTTTAATAATCTTTTGGATGTTTCGTTGAAAAATGTGCAAGTGATTTTTGTGTATTTTCTCTATATTGGTGACAGACACACAGGAAAAATAAAACTTCTCAAAGTATGTAAGTAACATCAATTTAGCGTTTGTCCTATTCAATGAAATTATTTCACCATGAAAAACATTTAAAGTGTGTCTGAAGTTTAGTGATGTTGACCAAAGTAGGATGGAACAAATGTAATAAAAATGTGATTAAATTGTTTATGGGAAGGATTGATTTGAAATTTCTAGATATGCTTATTGGTCAAAGATCTTGAAATTTTGGTCATGTTGGGTGAATTTTGAGTTGGTTTTTATTAGATTTGCCATCCCGATATTTAGTCTGTAAAGTCTTGTCCTTTGCAAAACTGTGACTAACTTAAATTAAACTTAATGTTTATATAATGCAATGCATTACGTGATGTACTTTAAGGGGGCACTCATGTGTCTTGATAAATTTAATTGTCCATCCAGATGCCTATCACATGGTGCTATTTGTGTTATAAATACAACTGAACATATTTTTCGCCCACCCTGTAAGGTAACAAACTGGGGTTGTTTCAAGATAGGCCCTTAGTTTGAATTCTGTGAATGTTACAAGCCTACTCTCAAAGGTAAGTAAAAATCTACTCTTGCTCATATTACAAACGGTTGTTGTCTGAAAATAGATCTTCTAATTTAGCGGAAACAGGTAGAAAGAATTGTCTGATTTTGATACCTGTATCAATTTCAAACAATCTGTCCCTAAACCTCTCTGATCATGTTATTCTGGATAATTATGGAATTATTAAACATGACTGTTATGTATGTGACTAAAAATTAATTCGAGGACTTTAGCAATGCGTGTATATCAGTCTCTGCCACAGCCTTTCAAATCGATCGGTGATATTTTCTTTATATGTTTTCCTGGAATCTGCTCTATACTGTTAACTGTAGCTTATTACAATTTTTTTATACTTTTATTCTTAGAATGGCTAACAGTGCCCTGCAAAGCAGACTCTCGTCTTACTTTGCCTGATTACTGGTGAAGATGAACTGTAATGGTGACACTGGTAATCTGTGGATGCTATTAATCAGTACCTGTTGATCTACCTCATCTATGGTTGCTATGGAAACAAAGCATCACCTGGGGTCGCTATGGAAACAAAGGATCATCAGTTGTTGAAATATCTCAATGTAGCTATGGTGAGTGATATGTAGAGATAAAATAAAAAGGAGGAGATTCACAAGAGCTCATAGTGTTTTTATTATAAAATTTTAATCTGCCATTTTGTTTTCCTTAGCCACCTATTAATCAATTGACCATCAATTGACCATCAGGGAGGATGCTATGGCGTTACATATGTCAGTCAAAGACCAAAAAAGAGGTTATCTTGACATGGTTCATTTTGATTTGTTTGATGAAATCATTTTTTTTACAAAATGACATTCGCAGAATTTGTCAGAATTCTTTGTGAAGATTTAGGTTTTCATTTTAAATAAATAATACATGTGCTGCATAAAAATCATCTTACATGTATATGAAGTTTTTGTTTTACATGTGGTTTTAGTCATTGTCATCTTAAATCTCTTGTTTTATATGTGATTCCACATATTCTGAGAGATTGATGAATGTCTTGCAGGTTTGACTGTCTCAAGCCACATGCAACAAAAATGATCTGCTATGGAAACAAGTCATTCAGAGCTGCTAGAAACAATGTACTTGTTTTGGAAAACACTACAACTGGACTCAATGGTTAGGTGAGGTATATGTTCTAAGTAGAACTTTAATCTAACAATTTATGAAAATATATTTATTTAGTCCTTGTATGGCTAGTCTCGAATATAAATAGATATTTTGTACTTGGCTGTTTCAAGAGGCTTTCACAAAATCTTCACAAAGTTTCTAATATCCAGAAAATGTTAACGCTTAATTTTTTATTCCAGTCAGAGTATTCCCTGGAATTGAGGTTTTGGTTGGGTCCGAATACATAGAGGTTATTTAATGCATGTAATGGGAGGGATGGAATATGAATTTTATTATGAGGGAAAATATGATATTACATGGAAAATATCATATTGACTGAGGGCGACAGCCCGAGTGTAAATATAAATAAAAATCTTATTTCTAGTATTGTTGTGATTACAGATGAAGAGCAGATTTGAGCTAGGAAGTCTACTTGACAATCCTGCCATGCAGCTACTCGGTGAAATGACCACTGACCACTGGACAATAGGGCTTAGTTCATCAGTGAAATGAATGGGGAATTCTCACTGGACAATAGGGCTTAGTTCATCAGTGAAATGAATGGGGAATTCTCACTGGACAATAGGGCTTAGTTCATCAGTGAAATGAACTGGGAATACTCACCAGACATTGGCGGACAATAGTGCTTAGCTCATCAGTAAAATGAACTGGAAATACTCACTGAACGGTAGTGCTCATCTCATCAGGGAAATAAACTGGAAATACTCACTGAACAATAGTGCTTAGAGTCCATTTCACTGCTTCATTTCGTCAGTAGAACGGCAAAAATAAGAAAGTGGGAGACCATTGTGCAATATGGAAAAGTATAATCATAATGTACATGAATGACATTTGTATATCTTGGATTGCTTCTAGTTTGGCTTATAAAGTGTGTGGCCTCATATTTGGATGTTTCTCTGCCATGTTATTTTCAATAAGATTAACATGGCTGAAATTCTTCAAATTACAAGACGGCACAGGCTTATTGCACAAAAAACTAAAAAATCTGGAATATACAAATGTCATTCATGTACATTATGAATATACTTTTCCATATATTATTGCACAATGGTCTCCCAATTTCTTATTTTTGCCATTCTACTGACGAAATGAAGCTGTGAAATGGACTCTAGCTAGGCCTAATCAATGAAAAGAAATGGAAATACTCCCAGAACAATAGTAAAGCATATCAGTGAAATGAACTGGAAATACAGAACAATAGTGCTTAGCTCATCAGTGAATTGAACTGGAAATACTCTTTAAAATACTAGCTTTATACATAGCTTGAAACCTCCTATAATGCCACAGGCACTAGACAGCATATTTTTATGTAATGTAATGTTTCTAGAAAGTACATTTACAATAAATGAAACTAAAACATAAAAATCTGTTGATTGTCATGAGCCTGGAATTCTCTTTGTGGATAGTCCCTAGCTAAAGTAGCCCCTGAGTGAGTTAATGAATAGAAATGATTTGATTTTGGGAATGCCGGATAAATTTTAAAGCAGTCATTTTGGATTTTTCGTTACAAAATCATGTTTGTGCATGGCAAAATGTATGTGGGATGTTTCTTGGTGTATTTTGAACTGATTATTTTTTAGACATGCTGGGTATTTTAATTTAGCCATTTTGTATTTAGCCTACTATATTTGTCATTAATTTGGCGAGTGTTTTAAATTGGCGAACTTTGGCAAATTAAAAAAATCACCAAATTAAACAGTCGCCAAATTTCCCAGTAATATGACATGTTTTTCGTTTGTTGCATTTCCTGTTATAAGATAACAAGATGATAAGATGGCTGGGCTGTTTAAATTGATAGAAACAACAAGCAATATTGAAGAAATCACAATTCTTGTCTGCATAAATTGCATTATGGATTCACTTGAAAATTTCAGAGATGTTTCTTGATGCAATAGCGAGAACTGATCATTTTTGCAGAATTATGGGTATTAGGGTATACATGGTTAATTTTAAAGTGACCATATCATATGTATCAAGCGTTTCCATTGTAAAACCTTGTGTGCGTTTTACCAGGCAAACCATTTGAAAAATAGAAATCATTGACGTTTCTTGGTCTGAAAATCTAGAACAGTTTTAGAGATCACTTTACATATGTCTTGTCTGCATTTTCAGACAAACTACCCTTCATGTATTTTAATTTTTACATATCTACCCCTGTGGCAAAAAATGGAGGAATTTCTTTTATCTCTACTACATAGCAGATTTTGATACAAAAGTTATGATAATTTCATCTTGAACTAAAATAGAATAGGCTGAAGTATTTTGAACCAAAAACCACCACCCATTCAACTTAATTCAAGGTGAAAATCTGGGTAATTTGTTCACAAAATTCTTCCATTTTGTTGTGGCAGGGAGCTCTGTGAAACAAACTAGGTGCTCAGTATTAGAGAAAACTGGACAAGTGTATACATTCGAACAATATTTACATCTCATTTTTTATTTTTAACTTCATATACATTCACACTTAATATATACATCATTTTCTATCAGTGTTTTGATTATTGCATTTTGGCATTGCATAATTGACAGCCATGCACTCAACTCAAAGTGCAGAACGATAGCCTTGATTTAAGTACACCCTATTGCATGAGCTCAGGACTCCATGAGTTGCTGGTTGATTTGTGGCCTGTGTACAATGAAATTAAAATTCTGTACATTATGTAGTTTTGACAGCTCACTTGACTATATGTATGGATTCTAGATTGTGAAGATGAGAATTTTTAATTTCCAGTATTTTATTTATTCCAATATAGACTAATTTACTATTGATGAGGTAAATTGTTTGTGCTTAGTATTTTTAATATCAGCCGACTTTCTGGAAATTGCACAATTTTAAAGATATATTTATGTAATATATAAACATTTTAAAAACTCTAGTTCATGATCTCTCAGTACTAGTATAACAGCAAATATACGATTTCACATCATGATCTTCAAAAATATTTACAGTCTCAATTTCTGACATTTCAGTACAGTTCAGAGATGATAATGCTTAGTAGCCCATATAGCTCTCTATAACCTGCTAAATTTCTATTCTGATCACTCATTAAAATATGATTTTCTCAATTCTTTAATGTTTCAATCCTTATCCAACTTTCTGTATGATTTCCTCCAACTCTTCGATCTCCTTCAATCTCTGTGGGTCATGTTCGTCAAGACTGCTAACCCCCGAACTGCTCTCGTAGCTCCGTCTACTACCACTGCTCCTATGAAGCTCACTCAGGTACATATCAAATGGCTGAATCTCAGCTTCAAGGTTTATTCTGTTCAGTTGTGACTGGCTTTCGGCTGTAGTGATATCATGCATGCTTGGCATGTCATTGTTGCTGGCTTCTGATTGGTTGTCGTTAGATGTAAATGAATTTGATTGGCTGGAGTTGTATGTTACATTTGCATAGGGATGAACTTGTTGATTTTGGCGCATGGATTTTGATTGAAAATAAGTTGAACTGGCTGTAAGTTGAGTTATCCCATAATGCATCACTCCACAAGCAGATGGTATACTCGATTGTAGAGTGGTTAGTGTAGACCTCTGGGATAAATCCAATGGGGAATTCTGAATGTTAACATCCACTGTAGGGGGCACATAAGGAAACTGTCCATTTTCATATCCACTCCAGAACATGTAGTCAATGGGGGTAAAAGAGTTTGATGCAGGTATGGGCCATGAATTCTGAATTGTGTCAGGTTGACCTATCTGTTCAAGTTTAGCTTTGGGCATTGGGAATGGGTCTTTCAAAGTGTTTTCTATATTTGGTGATACGACCGGAGACATTGTACATCCTCTATTCAGCACAGTTGGAGTTGTTATGGGCAGATTCCTGAGACTATAATACTGCCACGATCCTGTGTTGCAAGGCTCACTGTAAAGAAAATGGAACTTTCAATCATCTTTAAAGAACAATTGTTAACAACTTACAAGAATTAACAGTGGATTTTTATGTCACCACCAAAGGTTGTGTCATATTGTAATAAGAGGTGTCATGGGTCAGTTATTTTTGGGTGTGTGTGTCAGGTAATTTTTGGTCGGGTCAGAAGAAAACAAAAAAGAATTTAGTACTAGCAACCAAAACGACTGAATGAATACAAGACACATTATAAGACTGTTTACACCTGCATTACAGCATATTATGCTTTGAGGAAGGAAAGGAAAATGATTGGATTGTTGGAGAAAAACCTTAAATTATTTTCCATTCGTAATTTATGCATATATAGTAAATAATCCAGCAAGAAGTTTGAATTTTTCTGGGAATGTAAAGCATTTTACGATAATTTACGATGTTTCCGAGTGTTCTGACCCGACCCGAAATTGGTAAGTACATGTAGTTGTACTTGTTCATTACCCAACCCGAGCCTTCCGACCCGAGATTCGGGTCGACTTCTGGTCGGTGTGACACCTCTAATTGTTATGGTCTCAGTTTTTTTGTGACTGTGGTTGGTGGGTGGAAGATGGTGTCTGACCTCTGTAACCAATTCTTACAACAAATACTGTTTAGACTGACTTTTTTTCAAAATCATCTACAAGTTCTCAGAAGATCAAATCTGACTTTAGATTTAAGATTTGTATGACCTTCAATGACCTTCTCAATGTCAAAAATGTCTCTTTTCAACTTGCTTCAAACTGACCAAATTTTTGTTCTCTGAACTGAAGTTCTAATCTGACAAATCTGACTTAAGCTTTCAAATATGACTTTAGATTTAAGATTTGACCTTCAATGACCTTCTCAATGTCAAAAATGTATCTTTTTAACTTGCTTCAAACTGACCAAATTTTTGTTCTCTGAAGTTCAAATCTGACTTAAGCTTAGCCTTTCAAATATGACTTTAGATTTAAGATTTGACCTTCAATGACCTTCTCAATGTCAAAAATGTATCTTTTCAACTTGCTAAACTTGGTAAAAAATGTTAAAAAGGTGTTTTTCATTATTTTCAACTTGCCTCAAGCTCAAATTTCATAATCATCTACAAGTTTTCAGAAATTTAAATCTGACTTATGATTGTACTCATAATATTGTGCACAACTAGGTGGTGACATTTTGTAATGTTAATGCCTTGTTTCAACTTGCAGAGAAACTATTTTACCAATTGTACCTTGGACTTTGTGTCCAGAACCTTTGCCCCCAAAATAATTCATGTTTCCATGATGTAAACATAGTGTATATTATCATAACCATAACGTAATTTTTGGAACCTTAACTGAGCTGAAATTAAGGTGAGAAAAATAGTTGGAAAGGATGACTGATAAATACCTTGCTTTAGTTGACAAGAAGTTTGTTGCTGCAGCTGCAAGTTGTTCTTCCTGTGCTTGTCTGCTCTGTTCTTGTCTGCAATTATGATGAAGTACATTATAAATGTATGCAGTATGTGACATGATTTAGATCTGATTCCACATCAATACAAAAGAATATGCTATTTGTTTGCTATTATTGTTCTATGGTTGTCATTTGATTGTGCTCTGAATGCTATCTGATTGTTGTGATTTTGTCACATGATTGTGCTCTGAATGTAGTCTGATGATTGTGATTTTGTCACATGATTTTGCTGTACTCTGATGTTGTTATATGATTGTGCTCTGAATGTAGTCTGATCATTGTGATTTTGTCACATGATTTTGCTGTACTCTGAATCTCTGATCATTGTGATGTTGTTATATGATTGTGCTCTGAATGCAGTCTGATCATTGTGATGTTGTCACATGATTGTGCTCTGAATGCAGTCTGATCATTGTGATTTTGTCACATGATTTTGCTGTACTCTGATCATTGTGGTGTTGTTATATGATTGTGCTCTGAATGTAGTCTGATCATTGTGATTTTGTCACATGATTTTGCTCTTAATGTACTCTGATCATTGTGATGTTATTATATGATTGTGCTCTGAATGCAGTCTGATCATTGTGATTTTGTCACATGATTTTGCTGTACTCTGATCATTGTGATTTTGTCACATGATTTTGCTCTTAATGTACTCTGATCATTGTGATGTTATTATATGATTGTGCTCTGAATGCAGTCTGATCATTGTGATTTTGTCACATGATTTTGCTGTACTCTGATCATTGTGATGTTGTCACGTGATTTTGCTCTTAATGTACTCTGATCATTGTGATGTTGTTAGCCTATATGATTGTGCTCTGAATGCAGTCTGATCATTGTGATGTTGTCACATGATTGTGCTCTGAATGTAGTCTGATCATTGTGATTTTGTCACATGATTTTGTTCTTAATGTACTCTGATCATTGTGATGTTGTTATATGATTGTGCTCTGAATGCAGTCTGATCATTGTGATGTTGTCACATGATTGTGCTCTGAATGCAGTCTGATCATTGTGATTTTGTCATATGATTTTGCTCTTAATGTACTCTGATCATTGTGATGTTGTCACATGATTGTACTCTGAATGCAGTCTGATCATTGTGATTTTGTCACATGATTTTGCTCTTAATGTACTCTGGTCATTGTGATTTTGTCACATGATTTTCCTCTTAATGTAGTCTGATCATTGTGATGTTGTTATATGATTGTGCTCTGAATGTAGTATGATCATTGTGACTTTGTCACATGATTTTGCTCTTAATGTACTCTGATCATTGTGGTGTTGTTATATGATTGTGCTCTGAATGTAGTCTGATGATTGTGATTTTGTCACATGATTTTGCTCTTAATGTACTCTGATCATTGTGGTGTTGTTATATGATTGTGCTCTGAATGTAGTCTGATGATTGTGATTTTTGTCACATGATTTTGCTCTTAATGTACTCTGATCATTGTGGTGTTGTTATATGATTGTGCTCTGAATGTGCTCTGAATGCTCTGATCATTGTGATTTTGTCATATGATTGTGCAAAAATTTGTTATTTTCCTGTAACAGCATGATATTTTAACAGCTAATAAAGAGGTTGAGTTACAATCTGGCATTTGGCTCAAAGATATTGAGCTACTGTATTAAATATTGCATGTTTTGAGTGAAATCACTTATTTGTTTTCATGATGAGGTAAAACAAGTTGTAAACTTTGGAATATACTTAAACCAAACAGCACTGTATGCACCTTAAGGTAATATTAAAATTGAAATTGAAAAATCTGCAACTGGAAGCTCCACCATACTGTTAAAGGAACAGCTCACACTTGTAACTAGAGGGAGACTATTTGAGTGACCTGACTTACTGCATGACACAAGCTACCAAATCTTCTCCATTGAGACCTGAGCTGAATGGCATTTGTTCACTAAAGTCATCCAAATCATCCAAGACATCTGCGGATACACTCTGGGCCACTACTTGGTTCACCTGAAATATTAGATTCAATTTTAAAAATTGATGAAGTTATGGTTATATTGAGTTACCACTTTATTTCATATACAAACATTTGATTTGCATTTTGATTTTTGATTTAGCAGTTGTGGAAAATCGAAGTAAATTTTTTCATGGTTTGCCCCCCTCGCCTCATCTATGCAATTTTAAAATGTTGATTTCTCTTTCACTTGAATATCAAAAAAATCAACACTATTCGCCAATGAAACTATCATTTACCCCCCCCCCCAAACTTAACTAACTTTGTTATTCCACAACTGTTGACAATTGGGCAGTGGACACCATCCCTAACTTGGGTTATTTTGATACTATTTAATGTAAGAATCCTTTTTAATTTGATAGAGTCGGCTAAGATTGATTTCTATTTTTTGTCACCCGAAATTCCTATCATCTTTAAAGGCTGAAGTTGAGGTTACATTTAACAGATTAAACTCAAGCACATATTCAGATTTAACATGCTGAAGTTGAGGTTACATTTAACAGGTTAAATTAAGCCCATATTTGGATTGAACATGCTGAAGTTTAGGTTACATTTAAAAGGTTAAATTAAGCCCATATTTGGATTGAACATGCTGAAGTTTGGGTTACATTTAACAGTTGAAACTCAAGCCCATATTCAGATTTAACATGAAGTTAGGTTACATTTAACAGATTAAACTCAAGCCAGTATTCATATTGAATATGTTCAAGTTGAGGTTACATTTAACAGATTAAACTCAAGCCAGTATTCATATATTGAATATGTTCAAGTTGAGGTTACATTTAACAGATTAAACTCAAGTCCATATTCGAATTTAACTTGTTGAAGATGAGGTTACATTAAACAGATTAAACTCAAGCCCATATTCATATTTAACATGCTGAAGTTGAGGTTACATTCAACAGATTAAACTCTGAATATGTTCAAGTCTAGGTTACAATTAATAGGTTGAGTGTGAACCAATATCCATATTTAATGTGCTAAAGTTGAAGTAGCATGAACTGCAAACCCATATCCAATATTTAAATTTAACATGTTGAATTTTGAGGTTCAATTTAACATGTTCAACTCACATATCAAAATCAATAATGCCGATGTTGAAATTACAAGTTGAATCCAAAGAACTATTTAACATGCTGATTTACAAGATGATGTCCACGGATGTCATTATTAACATGCTGAGGTTAAAATTAATAAAATTAATAATTAAATAAGCTTAATCATATACCTTTTCAGTTGTTCCAGGCATAAGAATTTTCATAACTTCAGAATGTTGAAGGAAATAGCCCTTCCCATTTTCCTTGTTCTTCTTCTCCAGTTCAGCATGTTCTTCCTTCAGAAATTCAAAGAATTCTTGCAGCCTCTGAAAATGGAGTAGTCTAGCATCTGGATTCTGGAAGCTGACAAGGAAGGGTGTGGCAGAGGGGAAGGGGGGAATAAAAATTATTTTGAAAATCTATTTTATTTTATGTTATTTTTTGATATGGGATTCACTTTTATCAGTTATCTCGACCACTGGTCTTTTTGCGCTGCCCTTCAAAAATGTGTGGTCATTCCAGGACCTGGGACAAAGAACGGAATTCGAGCAGATCGACATCGGACATGGGAAATGTTCACTTACTTTGCAATGTTGCGCAACTGCATCATAGAACTCAGGTGTCTCCCCCATCTCTGCAAACTCACCCGGAAGGAGATCAAGAAGTTTATTCCTTATTTCAACCCCATTTCCAGACATTTTCTTCGTTTCACTGGAAGCTTGTGACCCGGACTTGTGACCTGGATGAAGTCAAAGAATCTAGAAAATGTCAATTTCTAAATCCCATGTGTTTATATTGTGTGATACGCCCATAAATAGAAACAATGTAGCAATCCCATATTTGGTTAATAACGTCACATGTCATATCGTGGCTAGCGAATAACAAGTATGGAAAAGTAGGGTATATTAGCTACATTTTGCTACAATGTAGACCGTACGATTACGTCATGTACGCTGCCACATATAGTTGAGCAAGTTTTTGGCACGTTATCAAATTGTGTTTTGAAGTTGGCGCCATAAAAACTTAGCACAACTTAGCAACCAATTTGTTGTGACGATCTCCTTATGGCAATTTAAAACATTGATCAATGATCAATGATCCAAGGGGTACATAACAAATGTTGGATCATTTAAAATGGAAACAAAACAATTTAGAAATAAATGTCAAACATTTCTAAAACCACAAAATAAACGGATATTTACGATACTAACGATATCATTATCTATGGGTACAAAACGGTTCATAATCGAATTCACGGAATCACTGGGGAGTATCGTGATGCAAAAACACCGTGTTTTGCATCAAGATGGCCATACTTCCGGTGATGGATTTTCGAAAGATATTTTATTTTCCCCTTTAACCCATTTCTTGGACGAGTTTCTCAAAATTCGTAAACGTGACGACACTAAGACACGATCTATAATTTTAAAAAATGTTCTTAATTCATCTAGCATCATCAAGAAGCGAGAAATTCACGGTTTTAGTTTCCCGCTTTTGATGCAAAAACACCACACCGAAGCTGCAAAAACACTGTTCTATGTTATGTCCAGTGTTGAACCATATTATGGGCGTTCATAGACTAAATCAATCAATCGTATAATTTCAAACGATCAAAATCCCTCTAGAGAGGAATAGATTTTAAATTACTGTAAACTGGGGCAACTGAGCCAATGGAATCTTCATTAACCGCCATTTTATTTTGCTCCGGAGCGTTTCCGTAAATGTAAATGACCGTCGTACATGTAAGAGCGTTTGGGTTGGACACCGTGACATACGTACATCTTTGGTACGTATGAAAGTTTGGAATATGGCTGGCCATCTGGACCAATGTATCGTCATACTTTTAACGCCGTCAAAACTGATTTTTTTTACGCTGTTAAAAATTAATTTGTACGGCGTCAAAATTGAATTTTTACGCCGTTCAAAGATTATTTTGAACGGCGTAAAAAACGATTTTGCACAACCAATTAAAACAATCTTTCCAAACAGCCAGCTGGATGACACCAAGTACGTTGTTTACCGTTGCCCCATTCCCGGGACAGTTTTTATGTCTTCCATACAACCAAATGCGTCTCGCAAATAAAAATGCCAATATAAATGATGAATGTGACATACATTAACAGAAAAATAGGATTTTGGATTTATTTCAATCAGTCCGTAAGTCGAACATACACGTTCGTTTGTTCAATGGATACACAGATTGTAACGCTGGTTTTAATTGGCTGCCAGCTAAGACGTAATTTACGTGTCACATTACAATTTTTGACGCGTTCAAAATCATTTTTTACGCCGTTCAAAATGCTTTTTTACGCGTGGTCAACAGTAAGGACGATTGTAACGCTGGTTTTAATTGGCTGCTAGCTAAGACGTTATTTACGTGTCACATTACAATTCTTGACGCGTTCAAAATCGTTTTTGACGCCATTCAAAATGAATTTTTGACGGCGTTAAAAGTTATTTTTAACGGCGTATAAAATCGTTTTTGACGGCGTTAAAAGTAATTTTTAACGACGTATGAAATCGTTTTTGACGGCGTATAAAATCGTTTTTGACGGCGCGTTAAAAGTATTTATTACGGCGTTAAAAGATTTTATGGCGTTAAAAGTATGACGATACATTGGTCCAGACGGCCAGCCATATGGAACAAACTCAGATTCACGCGTGAATATTGAATTTCAAAGTACCCTGTCGTGTACCGTGAGACTCACAATCATTGATTTTCCAAAGAAAGGGTAGGTTTAAAATTCAAATTAAGGTTTTGCGGGGCGTTTTGGTTTCGATACGCCCCGGTGAGTTAGTACCGCGTGAGATTGTATTGTGTGATATTTTGGAAATATTGTACCGCTAAACCTCAGTCACCTATTGATCTACGGCGACCGTCCGTACGTCAGGCCTGTTAACTTGGGAACACCTAACATGAGTGACTTGGAAATGTTGAACACCTCCCTTCAAAATGTGGACACTTTGGTTCAAATCTGAACACCTTGATTCAAATTTTGAATACCTTGGTTTAAATTTTATTGCATTTTGCCAAATTTTGAACACCTCAAATTTTTCTGCCACGCAAAAAAAACTGGCGTGACTTCAAATTATTCAGCAAATGCGTGACAAATACGCAAATTACGGGACAGTTGACAGGTCTGGTACGTCTGGTAGTTCATTAGAATCGACATATTTCTATGGTAATCGTAGAAAATCTACGGCAGGCATACGGTCTCTGTACGGCATATCCAGTTTCCTACAGCCATAGAATCGCCGTAGAAATCATAATTTCTACAGCACCGTAGAAGTTAACAAGCTGTACATAGCCAAATAGAAAGTCGAAAATGTCCCCATTGGCCGTCCAGCATACGATCAGCTTGCAGCTATCCTTAAGTTTTATGGGTTATAGTTGACCTTTGACTTTGTAAATCGCAAAGCGACCGTAGGATCGCCGCACATGCCCCCGTGGCCGCCTTGTGTCTGCCGGCATATTTGTCAAAAGAAAAACGACATACAGCTACCGTAACAAATGTAACTGCTAATTAAAGAATTTCCACGTGAGCCGTAGAAACGCTATTGGGGCTACAAATAATAATAATAGACCGTACGGTCGACACAGGACCCCTTGCGGCAGGCTTGCTGGCTTTTGTCAAGGGTTTTCCCGCCGTAGGGCGCCCTAAATTATCGTGCGTCATCATTTAAAGGCCCTACGACAACCGTAGTTTTCATGTCTCCTCAAAATCAAAATCATCCGCACGGCTGCCGTAGCATATGTGACTGCTTATGACCACAGAAATGCGACCGTAAGAATTTTACTGGTCGCATTGTTTTTGGTCGTATTTACTCTTTCTATTCTATGTTTTGTTTGTCGTGCCTCTACAAGTTTACCGCGAGTGTCAATTCAAACTGCACAGCTGAATAACGATCAACCAGATTTCCGATATACATTGCCCCGTAGCTAGGATTTACCAGGGAGGGGCACTGGCGGATCCAGAAGCTAGCAAAGGGGGCAAATTTCAAGTCAGGAAAAAAATGTTGGGGTCCTAAAACCAAAAGTTTGAAAATTAAAGGCCCATATTTTGAAAATTTAGCCTAGAAGGCACATAGAGGCCAAGTGATGCCCAAAATGACCCATTTTTGAGGCCCTTCAACATTTTTGTTCCCTAAAAAATGCCACCACCTCAGTCCCTGGATCCGCCAGTGGGAAGGAGTGAGCTTTTGCCAGCAGGGAGCTTGGCTCAGTGCTCGGAATGGTTTCAAACTGCATGATTTAAGAATTTCTGGCCAGGGAGCGAGCTTCCGCTCCCCAAGCCCACTGGCAGGGGTCCACCCCCCCCCCCACTTGAGTGGCTTGAGTGGGCCTAGAAAAAAAATTGGGCCCCAAAAAATGTTGAGCCAAAAAAGGCCTTAAGGGTCCAAAAAGTGAGCCTCTTTGCCAGAAATGAGCCTTTTAAGGCCTCATTTTTTAATTTTAGGCCAAAGTTTGAAGAAAATGAGCCTCAAAATTTCAAAATTTGGGCCCACTCTTTGGTTTAAGGGGCCCAAAAGTTTTTTCTCAGACCAGAAGGGCCCCCCTCCCTTGTTGGTTCCCAGATTCGCCCCTGAAGCCCCCCCCCCTGGCTACGGGCCTGACATATTTAGGACAATCAACAATAACTCTAGAAACTGCATGAGTAAATCTTAAAGATCTACACCACATAGTCGAAACCAACATGTACTGATCCGTCATAACGTCAGGTGATGTTGATGAGTGTGCAACGAAAGTGAAACCCTGTAAAAGAGAATTGAAAATGATATAAGGAACACTCCCGAAAATTATGATTCCGTTTGTGGAAATTTGAATTGTCTATTTAGCTTCAACCTAAGTTAGGGTAATCCAGTAGATTTTTTACATAAACAAAGCAATAAACCTCAAAATATTACTTAGTTTGATGAATTGCAAAAGATACATTAATGAATTAGAGGTACATATTTTTGGGGCGATACAATAAGCTGGAGGTATTTCAAAAGTGATCGATAAATACTCCAAAATCAAAATTTGAAGTTTTGGTTTGATTTCGTTCCGTATTATATTCCTCCATTTATACATAGTTTATCAATTTTGACATGTGCATTTTTACAAATTTTACAAGCGTCTCAACGTCCGAATAGAGACTATAAATATGTAAGCTATACTTCAAATTGATATTTTGACTATTACAAAGGCGAATAGGTCCATGTTCCACCGAAAGAGGCCGCATTTCCGCATAATTAATGAGCATTGTGGCGGGGCGTAGTTACACATTTTCCCGCTAGGTGTAAGGTATGTCAAATTGCGACAGTCAACAACATCTAATATTCTTGAATACAGATCAAAAAATTAGTTAAACATACGTTTCAGAAGGATAATGTTACAGGAACTTTAACAATGTGCAATTCGTAATTTAGTTTTATTTAATTAAGACAAAATTAGGAATAGTATTTATCATTTTACGACAACGGTTGTGCTGAAAAATCCAAGATGCTCGACAACGAAAATACGTGTGCTATATTACACTGATTTATCGTTAAAACAGCGATTCCGGTATGTCATCTGACTTTCTCGATGGTATGTTATATATCTTAAAATGTTTTTACATTGATTTCAATATAGGAAATAGTCTATTTGAGCAGAATATTGAAGTTTCCTTGAAGTGAAAAATGTAAAAATGGCGTCCTCGGTTTTCATTTTTGTGCCTTGGTATGATTTCCATCATATTAGGCCAAGGGAAAAGTAATAAGTAAGCTGAGACAATTCGAATAATTTATTTTATATAATACTTCAGTGTACATTCTTGTTGCTGATATCCTTATGGTGCTCTTATGTCACCTATTAGTCTCTCTGTGCTGGTTTGTCACCAGATTGCGGGCCAGATTGCTCATACTTTCATACTCACTCGGGTTTAGGCTACCTTCTTCTAAGGCCATATCGTGGCCTCCGTCCAAAGACAAATTCCTGCATGTTTTTTGTTGCTGTATACGGGTCATGTCATATTCATAAAATTTGAAATCAAATGTTCGCCATTTTTCCACATCACAATTTGAATTGCAAGTTTTGGTCTTATTACCTCACCAAAAATTCCAAAACACATGAAGTGATCGATGTATTAGTTCACATCTTCTGGATCGTTAACTTAGAATTTACAGCCAGTTACTAATGTCGGACGTTAAGGACAGGGTGCATGTTGGGAAATTTTCTGCATTCCTCAATTGAGTCACATGTTATTTTTCAAACAAGAATAACTCCTTCCCCATATTGTCTACATGTTCCAAGTTTGCACAAAGAGTGCACTTGTGTGCCTAGAAAAGCCTTGTGAGAAGGTTTGTTTTGTAAAATGTACGAAAAATGAGAAAATTAGGTGAAAAAAAATTTTGAAAATTTTCTGATTTTTTTCACTGAATTTTCTTGTTTTTTATACTCTTTATCAAAACATTCTTCTCACAAGTCTTTTCTAGGCACATAAGTGCACTCTTTGTGCAAAACTGGAAGATATAGGCAATGTGGGGAAGGAGTGATTCTTGTTTGAAAAATAACATGTGACTCAATTGAGGGATGCAGAAAATTTCCCATCATGCACCCTGACCTTAACGACATTTTGTCCAGTTTTCGAATATCGCCATTTTTCTAGGAGCGGTTTAGACATGCATTATCTCATCAAGGAGCCCAGCCAGTTCCATTTCAATTCATACGTGACGGTTTTAAGAATATTACTTAAATTTATTGAACCCCGACTAGAAATTTTACAATAGTTCACAGTGTTCCAGATGGAATTATTTCTAGCACGGGCTTTCAATTATTCTAGTTGAAAGTCCATGCTTCTATCCAAGAATTGGCTTGAGACTCGAGTAAGCTCAAATAGGCCTATGCAGCTGCTAGATCTAGATCTTACAGAGCACAGCTTGCTCAAAAGCTAACCAAACCAAGGGCGAACATAATACCCTGAACGTTCACAAATTGCTGTTCAAACTAATCTCGTAGAATACGGAGAAGTATCTGCTGCTTATTCCATTCGTTCAAAAAAATTATTGTGTCAAACTTGTATTATAAGGCAAGAATAAAGATGAAAATTAACGAAATATTGTGCACTTTTGGACATCAATATAACAAACAAAACACAACATTTACATCTAAGTTCTACACTCTTTATTTCAAATAAGTATTTTACATAGTTTACATGGAAATCATTATTTTGATTGGGCAGCTAATATGGAATGAGTGATGATTCAGCAACATGTTTTTAAGAGTAAATACCATACTTTTTGCCCTGGAGCTTGTCTGGCCCAGATCTACAACGTAAGGGAGTAGATAACTGGGCCAGATGGGTTTGCTTAGCTCAAAAGCCAACTGAGGGACCGTATGGATACACTGTGCAAGGTTGAGAGTAAGATAACAGACTATGTCTTACCCTTCTTCGGAGCCATTTGTGCTGAAGTGCTGTATGTGATGAGTTATTTGTTGTTAATAAATTCACAACTGTACTTAAGTCAATATTCTAATGACCTTAACCGGCTTCATCGATGCATACATTGAAAATTTTTAAAAATATTATAACTTACTTCAAATTCATAATCAGCAATCCAAAAGAGTTGAACTAATATCCTGATCTCTTTTTGCGCATTTTGAAATTTTTTGTTGGCAAATAAGATGCAATTCAAATTTTAAAGTGAAAAAATGATGACTATTTGATATTGAATTTTACGACAATAAAATCAGCCCTAAAGATCTGAATTTATTCTTTTTATGGCGATCCCAAAAGAACAAATGCATAATACTGTTTCTTCTGTAAGCCAGGCTTAACTCACTAGGCTATTTAAACAGGCAATGTGCCTATTTTTGAAAGAAAAGGAACAAAAAATTATTTGAGACATGTCACTCACACAGTCAATCAAATATGATAAAAACTTTAATTTGGGATAATACTGAAGTGAAAAAAAAATTACTCGCACAGAAAACGGCATTTGAAGTTTAGAGATTGAAAAAAGTGAATTACCACTTTTCAGAAAGTGTATGTTTTAAATAACTCTTGGATTAAACGATGGCGTATGCTTGAAAATCCTATCAAAAATGAATGGATAATCAATGCAAACAACAATGCCATCTTTCTATGGCATTGCTAAGAAATTGACACATATAAATTAATAGATCAAAAATATTTTTTCATGATCTAGTGTCAACTCTGATGTGGTCTGTTTGAGCTGTTTTTGGTGTCAAATGAAAGATCAGGTACTTATTAATCCATTGGAAATACTATGAAGATCAAAAGAGAGACTTCATTTACGCACTTTGTCCCTTAATTTAATGAACCTCCCTCGTCACGAAAAAATCCATTTAGAATTCTGTCCAATTGCATATGTCAACATTTCTTCCTTGTTTTTCTCATTTTTATTTGCTAAGCAATTCATATCTCTTGTTGAACAGATAGATATATTCATGTATACCCAAGGCAAAACATTTGGTGAAATTGTAAAAGTTCAGTATGTTATGCTAAATGCATCAGTTCAAAAAAACAAATCATTCATTTCTTGAACTCAGAATGAATACACAGGGTGTCTCTTTACAGTTACAATACAAAGTCTGTGTAAAGTGTAAAGATACTAAAATATGGACACCCTGTACATACTCAAACATTGCTTGTTGTAGCGTTAGATGAATCTGAATCAAAGAGTGACCAAGGATTCAGCCAGGCCAACATGTTTAGCCAATATAACCAGTCCCAGAGTGGTGCCAGCTCACAGCAACAGCAGTCTGAGGCAGCAAAGTGGCAACAGCAGTCATCACAGCTGCAACAGCAGCAGTATCAACAGCAGTATGATCAAGGTAACTACATGATCCAAAGATGAATTTTGAAGTACATTGTTGCTATAAAATCATCAGATTGAGGTTCCTTGGTCAAAAATGTATATTAATTGTTTATTATGCAAATATGGTATTTTGAGATATATATTCCATATGGACAATGAAAGGTACACTTAATGAATTCAATATTTAATATAAAAATGTAACCAGATATTAAAGATATTTTTATTTTTACTTTCAGTGGATTTTCTTGTCTCTACTTTCTTGAAATTTGATGATATGTTTGTGTTTATAGAAGACTATGAAGAAGGAGAAGACTATGAAGAAGGTCAGGAGTATGAAAGTCAAGGCTATCAGAGTGAAGGTCAAGGATACCAAGGTCAACAAGGCTACACTGAAGAGGACTATGAGGGCCAGGAAGGCTATGATGAAGGTTAGCTAATAAACATTTGTTTTTGGTACTTAAGCATTCATCTCAATAAATTATGAAATAAATAAATAATTACAAGATAACTGAGTTACCATTTTCATAAGTTGATATAATTCTCCATTTCGCTGTTCGCTCTTTGAATCAGGACGTTCGCATATATGGTGCATATATGTACTCAAAAAGGACAAAATTTGATTGGTCAATATTTTTCAACGATGCATTTCGTGTAGCTATTTGTGAGACCCGAAAGTTCTAAATCAAATTAATTACGCAATTTTGTTTTTACACCCGCAAGCTAAATAAAAAAAATGACACCATCGGAATTCTTCTTCTTTGTCATTGAATTAATAGTCAGTATACCAGATTTAATCAATAAAAGATTATACAATTAACAACAAAATTCGGAAACGAGTATGTAAGATTTGCTTTCGAACCACTAAACTTGACCTAGATAATAGCGACGTGTCTTCTTTGGTCAAATGCTCAGTTGTTTGTGGGTTTTCAACGTAACTCTATAATGTAATATGAAGATGAGTACTTTTATTCAGTTGTTGCATCGATGTTACAGTTTGTAGTGCGGTAATATTGGCATGAACGTGTTGAAAGTCGAATGGAATTGCTTTTTCCAATATGGCGACTAGTCACGTGACTTCTTCTCTTCCGGAATATACTCCCATTTTCAATCATTGTTTTCACCCCGTTAGGAGCCAATAAAATGAAAAAAAATATATGTTATATAAAGATTATTAAAAGACTAATTGTTTCTGATAGTTTGTTTTCTCCGATCGCATGGAGATTCGATCGAAAATATCGCTTGAAAAATGGGTATGAAAATCCCCATGTTAAACCAACGGGGAAAAACAAGGTAGAAAAATTTTGTTCCCCCGCGAACTGCATCATGGGAAATATTTTGACCTTATAAGGAAAAACTTTCGCGCCATCTTTATTAGAGATTCAATACTACCGAATCCGCGATTTTAAGAATTGGGTTGTGCTAATTTAATTTACTGGATTTTTGAAGTGTGTACATGTAGATATTGTTCTTCCTCATAAATTGTAGACTTAGCCTTTCTTATTTTATAATGTAACTTTGCTCAATTTTGAACTGAAATGATTCAGAAACCTTCCATTTAGGGCATGTACAGTACGACAGGTTTTCATTCCAATGAGTGTTTCTGTGCATCAATGCAATGAAATGATCATTGGAATTACAATTACAAATTCCCCGTCTGTCTATTTTACAGCTTGGTTGGGGTAACTTGATAGATGATTTTGTAATGAGTGCTTAATCATGGAACTTTCTGAAATATGAACTTAAACCTATACTCACACCTGAATACTCTGACAATGGTAAAGTCAGATATTGTTGTCTCAAAAGGCAAACGTAACCATCACTTCAACTCTTTAATCACTTCGTTCTCATTTCATGGGACCTTATCGTCGCTGATTCTGTGCATGTATTACGCTCTTGTGATAATGTATTATATGAAATCCCAATTTTGATCAAATGTGGCCCTGAATCACCACAAATACCATCTTCCGTATCGTCAATGACAGCGGAATCTGAATTTCAAATGATTAACAGAGAAAGGATAGATCTGAAATATTGTATCTGTTGTCCCATGTCATATTTTGATTGAAGTAAAAAGGCGTTATTTCGATGGTAGAACATATTTATTTAAGTATACAATGAGTAGAAAGACACTTTGATTGATCATTCTACCAAAGGAATTTAATCTAGGTGCTCTATTAAAAATACAGTTAATAAAAATCAAATCGAATAGGAACCCATGGCCACAATTTGTGACAGTGGTATCTGACTTTACCGTTATCAGGATATTCTGGTGTGATGCTAAAGATTTCAATATTCATTAACTAAACCTGTCATAAAGTAATTGCACCTTTGATTACAGAGTATGAAGATGGAGAAATGGTTCCATACAATCAACAGTTTAACAATGGCAACTATCCCCATGGCAACCAGAATAACCAAGGTAACTACACCCAGGGTAACCAAGGCAACTATAATCAAGGTAACCCGGGCAATTACAGCCAAGATGGTCAACAGATGTATGAGGGACAAGAATATGACCAGGGAACAGAGACCTACCAGGGGGAAGCAGCACAGTTTCCAATGCAAGGGTCAGGGGACCATGAATACTCGGATGATTATAACCAGGACCAACAGTATGGGGACAATTACCAACAACCTGGCTTTTCCAATGAGTAAGTGTCTATTTTGGTTTTTTTAGAATGAACTAACTCATGTTGTTGTTACAATATTTCATGTTTTTTATTACTCATTTTTGTCTTGAATGTTTATTCATTTTTATGAATGGTTTTCTCATTTCCATTGAATTGACTTTTATATTTCTATACCACTGTTTGAAATGTGACATCATTGTGTTTCAAATAGTTATGGAGTGTCAAAGCCACCCATTTCCTTGCTTTGATTTCATCTGTATTCAACATCACAACATATATTCCTGGTGATAGTTCATACTCTCTCTGGTAGTTGAATGTCTTCTGTAGGTTACTTGGTTGTTCAGTTGGTTTCACTAACAGGCCTTTCGGGTAGACTCGATCTAGGGGAAAATCAGAGGCTTTTTTGATGGCATACACATGGAATCCTAGCACAATTTGAGGTTTAACAGTCTCCTGTGTTAAGGCGAGTCGTATTGGTATACTTGAGCCTCTCTTCACTTTGATAATGTACTGATGGCTGCGTATATGGCTCCCCTTGCCTGGTTTATCAGGTTCCATCTCAAGGTAGACCCCACGCACTGAGCTTACTTTGTTATCAACATCGCTGGTTGGTTCTTTGTCAGTTTTCAATGGACTGCGTATGAACAGTTGAGTTGGTTCTCTTATTTCACTATATGGGACCATAATATCACTGAATAGACGAATGTAGAATCTGATGTCCTTTGTGCCACTTATACGTCGTGGAATAAGAATATAGTCCCCTGAAATAGGATAAGGAAATTAAATAGACAAGTGAAAACACATGTCATGGTAAGCCTGGTCTACAAACCGGGTAAACATGTTTAATGGCATTATAAAACATGGTTGGCATGGTAACTACTGTCTACATACCTGATGTTAATGTGTAATTGTATGACAACACACAGTTGACATGGTAACATGGTAATTGTATGATAGCACAATGGTGGCATGGTAACTACCATCTATACAGGGTGTTCCATATGTTTCAGGAATGATGCTGTGTTTTATTGGTTTTCTTTTCAATCTAACTGAATTTTTGGCACAATGTGTCTACACATGTTTTGAACAAGTTAGGAAAGTTTCATATCGTGAAGTTCAGTAGTCTTAATTATATGGTTGCTATAGTAACCTAGGGGTAGGGTAGGTGGAGCAGGTGTAACAACGCGCAAAGTATATGAAATATTTGTAAAAATAGGTTTTTTTGTACGAAGTGTGACTAAGTATTAGGTTGTCAGAGTTGGATCAAACTTGTCAGTAATTAAACTACCCTGCGTGCAGAGTCTAGTTAAACTACACTCTGCCTAGTAGAGACCATATTACAGTTTAGTAGCCACGCCCCCACGACGGGTACCGGTGACAGTTTGGGTAATAAATCACTTCTGACCTACGCGCTGACCTTTCTTCCACCGATCAGCGAGCTTGAAGAAACATACGCTAAATGCGTTCTAATTAAATATGCGCATGTCATTGGTCAATTCCGGGCTCAACGATGACGTCAGAAGGAATGACCATATATAGAACGTCGGTCAAATTTGGCCGACGAACACTGATTGGCGCGGTGAGTTCACAGGTTTATTTTAGTTTGAAAGAGTGAAGACGAAGCTCTCTTTTAAGAAGTGAAGTCAAACGAATGCAAAGGGTATAATTAAACAAGAATGATTGTGGATTCCAAGAAAGTAAAAAATGTCATCACCCTTGATCACATCACAATTTAAACACCTGTCATGTCATGAGTCACAAAGGAGAATAAACACAGGTCATTTTGGACGAGCGGCCATCTTGAAAAGTGAAAAAGTCATTAGCAAAGGAAAACTTTCGACTGAGGCAACACACAACAATCTGTGACAAGACATGACATGTGTGAATAACAGTTTTCTGCAGCAGACATAATTAAACTCCTGACGAATGCACATGGGGAGTCAATGATGGTAACCTCTAGAGTGTATGAGTGGTACAAGCAGTTCAAATCTGGAAGGGAAACTGAGACCGATTATCCAAAATGTGGATTTCTGAGAACAGTGAGAGCGCTAACTAATGCGGAAGGGATAGATGCTGAAATAATGATGATGGCTAATAAAGGGTGTGATAACATTTTTAATTTCCAGGAATCCACCTTTATTCTTTTTAATTTCCAACAAGTTTGATGCGACTATGACAAATTAATACTTTGAACACTTTATACAAAACCTACTTTTTTTACAAAAATGTCATGTTTTGCGTGTTGTTACACCTGCTCCCTCTACCCTACCCCGAGGTTACTATAGCAACCATATTGTTCAGTCTACTGAGCTTCATGATATGAAATTTTTCCAACTTATTCACAACATATTTGGACACATTTTGTTAAAATATCAGCTAGATTGAAAAGAAAACCAATAAAATACAGCATCATTCCTGAAACATATGGAACACCCTGTACATGGTACTTGATGTTAATGTGTAATGGCATGACAACACATGGGTTGCATAGTAACTCCAGTCAACAAACATTCTTGGTGTTAATATGTTATTGTATGACAACACGTGATTGGCATTAGGGGTACCACGATACGAGAAATTGAATATCGATACGTATCTACGATACTTACCTCACGATACGAATGATACGATACATCGTAAATTGAAGTAAAACTGAACTTTATTTAATTTTTCAAACTTGTAAAGCCGGAAGTACTTCAGCCGGATTATGTTTATTTCACATCACGACAAAGAAAGGTGTAAAATATGCTAACATCGATTAAAACATCTTAACGACGTGTGGTATTCGGGAACTAGAGGGGCAAACGAAGGTGGCAAGCAAGATATGTAATACTATGACTGTCTGTCATCGCTAAGCGCCAAGTTTTTCCCTTCAAGAAGGGACTTCCGGTCAAAAAACGATACGACCGATATTCATTTTATGTATCGATACAGCTCGTATCGGAGGTGAATTGCTCGGTGCTCGAGCGCTCGTGGTACCCCTAATTGGCATGGTAACTCCTGTCAACATACCTGGCGTTAATGTATAACGGTATGACAACACTCTGGTGGCATGGTAACCTCTGTCTACCAGTAGGTCATCAAGGACAAGCTTCAATCCACTGATCTTTTCAGTTTTCTCCTCATGGTCAATCCTGTAGACATCCAGCCGCATGTCAACTAAAGTTGGGTGTTTCTCTTGGTACCTAAACATAACATAAGATAAGATGTGTCCTTCAGACCATTCTAATATAAAGCGCCAATATATGAAAGAAATCAAAAATCCAGGAAGTTCATGTATGGCAATTTTTCATGCCAAGAATTGCTTATTTACAACATCGCATATGTTTACAATAATGACATGAATTGTTATCGAAGAGCTTGCAGTAAAGGTGGCTAAATGAAATGATAATCTAAATAAAAATTTTGTTTAAATGAAATACCTTTCCAGTGCTAGAATATTCTGGACCAGTTGAAGCACCACTGGTGTCTTACACTTTCCTTTAACTTCAAACTTAAACATTGGTGTCTCAGACTTAGTATTTTCTCTTCCTTTCCATTCCCCATGAATCTGCACCTCGTGCTTCATCAGTGTTGAGAACAAGGTTTGAGCAATAGGTGGCGCTATGCTACAGATATAAAGTTTGTCAAATAGATCTAGGAAATTCTCCAGTGGCAGCCAAAATTCACGTTTATGGCGGTTTCGTGGTAGAAGTTCTTGTAGGATTGAAGATGGTATCTCAAGGTCACCGACCATGTGAGGATATGTGGTCTGTGTGAGGCTGAGGATGTTCAGAACGCTGAATTGTTTCAGCGAAGCAGGGCTCCATAGCTGGATAACATGGAATTCTGAGCTGGCCATCTGGACTGAGGCTATTCCAGTAACTGTGAAGTATAGTTGCTGATGGTTGTTATTAGACTCTGGGTCATCAGATAAAAGGTTGCTATGGGCAACAACTAGAGCCCCAGAGTTCAGCGCAGGTTTCATGTAATCAATTACTGGAATTTTGGATGTTGCCATGATGGGTATACACTCTGTGACACCCCCAGTCAGAGCCAGGAAAGCCATTGCAGGGCTAGCCGCCTCAATAGAACCGTATGATCCACAGACCTTACTATAGGCTTTTTCCAAGAGAGGTAGCCACATTTCCCCAGGTGTTGAGGTTTTAGCTCCCCATACACTTGAATGGCTGCAGGGTAAGCAATCATCTACATAGACCCGTGTGAGCTCTCCTTCCACCCACATATTGCAGTAAAATTGTCCATTGTATAGTTTTGTATTTACAGGATAGGCATCCTTTGGGACAATTGCTTTGTACATGGCTTTATGTTCAATGATTGATACAAGAACAGATAAAAATGCACTGTCTTTTAACTTGCCTTGCTTGATATCTAGTGCTATTGGAAAATCACCTTTAGTATATAAGCAAACAGGTTTCTTGATGTTGAAGCCCTCCCAGCTACGTTGCCATTTGATGAACTGTGGATGTGGGTGTACATCTCCCATACTCTCCCAATACTGGTATTCCTGATCCAACCAAAGGGCACCTTGGTAACTTATCCACACATTTGATAAACGATTTAAAATCTTTCGAGCATCCGGGTTATACTTCTGTATCTCCTTAGCAACAGGACTGGGGAGCAGCCTTTTAGTTTCCTTCCGACAGATATTGATATTCTGTTCCCAGAAGCTCTCCTGGCTGGTATGGTTTGAACCAATGCGGATTATGGATGGCGTGTTATTATTTGAATTATTTCTAGCAACTGTGTGGTTTTGATTCCATCTTGGTTTTACATGTACAGGATGGTCGCCATTACTCAATCCTATAGATGTCTTTGTGAAGGTCTTAGAGGCATTATGGACAGGCTTAGCGTCATCTTTTACAATAGACTCATGACTACTACTGTGATGTGAATTTGCCAGCTTTGATTTCATTGACCGAGAAAGCTTGATTTCTTTTTCAGATGAGACCTCTTTTACTTTTCTTCTACTGTTTTCATGTTTTGAGAGAACTCTGGCATTGTTCTGGTTTTTATCTTTGGTGTAACTGGATCCTATTTGAGTTGATTGCCTTGATTCTGTGGTTGGTATTACTTCGAGTTTGGATCCCACCAGTGCTAGGTTCACCAGGTGTTTGGGTTTTTCAATGAGGTAGCCACTTTGAAACAGAACCATGCCTTCTCTTTGGAAGATGTATTCAATCCTGATTGGGTTTTCCCCAGCATCTTTTCTATTGCTATTATGTTCTTTCTTCAAGCTGCTATTATTACACCCCATAATTATCTAATCTGTTTGCTTAAGTTTTGTTTGTTATGTTTCTTGTTCCATTTTGTCATTTTTATTTGTTTGTGTTTTTCACCATGGGAGCTGTTTCGAAATATATGTAATACTATGACATCACAGAATAATCAGAACTGTAAAAATAGTATTCATAGCAACTGTTTTTTTTATCCTATTGTGATGTCATAAATCTTTGAAAATAGCTTTCATGGAAATGAGAAATCATTGGAGATTTGTAAAAGTCATTATGATGTCATCACAATTAATCTGTATCATCACCATGACAACACTTTGTTATATTGTGTACCATAAGTAAACAGTTTTGATTGAAATAATATTTTGTTGCCTGTTTTACGTGCTGTACCTGTGTATAACATACCTTAGTATCACATGAATCTTGGTTTAAGTCTGATGTAAACAATGAATATACTGTATAAAGTCTTCACATTTTAATGGTGATCTTTTACATTTATTTTAAAGACCATGAATCAGTACACAACTGTGTGTAACTGTTTTCATAAGAATAATTGTTTTATTTACAGGAACTTTGGTGGAGGAGACTCTACTGGAAGTTCAAGGGTAGAAACAAGTCAACAAGAGGTGAGTAGATGAAATAAAAGGAACAGAGTGCTTTGATAGAATGCACCATACTAGCAGACCCTAAGATTCAGAATAATTGGTACAAGTCCTTTGGACTTGTAAGTGAAAATTTTTCAAGTCCATCCAAAAAAATACAAGCCAAATAAGGACTTGTAAATTTTAAAGTTACAAGTCCAAAAAATCAGCCAACTGAACTCTGTGAACGCATTCTTTTTGATGTTCACACTATTTGGGGCAAATTTGGACACTTTCTCGCAAGTAATGCAAAACATTTTATCGCCTCTGTGAGCTAACCATGGTCTTCCAAATTCCCATTTGGGTAGATACTTCCGCTTTTTGGTCTTTTCCATATCATATATGAGTGGTTTCCGAAAAAATTGAGAGAAATATGAATATTTCAAATATATCAAAAGTAAAATTTCGAAAAAAACACTGACAAAGGTACAAGAGAGGCGAATTCTGATTAGTTATTGCCACCGTAAGTAAGACAGATATGTAAATTTAAGCCAATGAGATCGCGGTTTACTTACGTGTTTTGGCTCGATGTCCATCCCACAATTTAGTAGGCGAGAGAGACGGTTTTTGATTGGTTATTGCGAGCGGAAGTATTGCATATTTTTAAATTTAAACCAATTGGAATGCGGCTTACTTACATATGTTTGGATCTGCATCCACGGAAAAGAAATCAAAACAAAGTTAGTTTCAAACTTTTTATTCATGATATTGCCGCGACCAATATTGATGATTACAGTCAACAGCTGACAGTCTATCAGGGTAAGCTTGTGGGAATCTTAGGGTCTGCATACTAGTAGTCTGTATACTTGAGTAGGGAAATACATGTATTCTGTGGGGAAGGCCAGGGAATTTATGAGCACATATTAATTTGAAGTCTAATATTATATTTATATAAAAATTTTCTTTATCCTGTATTTACTCGATTTGTTTCTATTTTAGGCCTTACATAGCCACAATTATGCAAGACAGAAGTCATTGCAAGGTCAAGGGCAGTATCAAAACACCCAAGGTCAGACTCAAAAGCCCCAAAGCCAGCCAGGAGTAACCCCACAGGAAAGTAATGCATATGATATGGTGAAGAAACATTATGGGGAGAAAGTGATAAATCGTCGCCCCCAGACAGTGATCTTGACCCCCCAGGAAGAAGAGCAACAACAGCAATTAATGCAGCAACGACAGCAGAGCATGTCCAAGATGTACCGTGACCAAGTCATAGATCTGCCTGATAAGGATCTGTCAAGAAAACAAACCCCAAACCAACAACAGCAATTATTGCGACAACAGCAACAACAACATCAGCAATTGAAACAAATGCGCCCAGTTACTCCAGGCACTCAGCTTGTGAGAGGTCCCCATCAGATGGGAATGCCACCACGACCTCAAATGAACCCAGCCCTTGGACCAAGAGCACAGCGACCTCAGCATATGGGTCAGATGATTAATCCACAGCAGCAGAGCCCACAAATGGGCCAGCCTCCAAGGCCCCAGTTCCAAGCAGCAGACTCCAGTATGCAAATGGTAGGCTCTCAGGAGCAGGGGGAACCTGGTGGTAAACCTAAGAAAGCCCCCAGAAAGCCTGCCAAGCCTAGAGTCCCCAAACCTCCTGGTCCACCAAGACCAAAACTTCCAACAAAGAAGAAAGTAACAAAGAAATTAATAGCAATTCTTGCAACTCAAGGGTACACTGAGGAACAAGTGAATAAATTGAGCCAAGAAGGACGTCTTCGACAGGGCTTTGATTTGCCTCTTACGAATCGTCAAATGGCTGATTTCAATATTGGGGGTAGGGGACATCAGGGATCAGGGATACCTCATGGATCAGGTACACAAACAGCTGAAGGACAGTCACCCCATGACCAAATGCCTCAGAGCTCCATGCCTCCAAATACCATACCTCAAAGCTCAATGCCTCAAAGTTCAGTTCATCAAGGTCATACTCCGCAAACATCAATGAACCAGGCACAGATGTCCCAAAGTCCTGCCTTGCAAGGCCAAGCATCCCAAGGACAAATGTCTCAAAATGAAGTTACACAAAACAAGTTATCTCATTTACAAATACATCAACAGCCCAACTTGCAAGAAGACATGGCATTGGCTAAGATACCTATAGCTCAGAGACCTGTAATGCCCCAGGGCCAGGTGCAGCATGAACATCACATGCCTCAGAAACAGGGCACATCTGACATGCAGCAAGGTCAAGGTCAAGTACCTGAGGTATCCATGTGTATTAAAGAAGAGCCTGAAGATCCTGACGACCAGGAAAGTCGCGACAGTTTACAATCTCACGGGAGCTCTACCATGCAATCCCTACCCCCCTCTAGCCAGTCTCACCCCAGAGGTAGCCATGAGAGCACCCCAGAAGGATCCTTTTCACACAATAACCCAAAGTTAGCCAATGAGCTTGCCCAAAATCCTCAAATACCTGCATCAGGACCTATGCAGATTCAATATCTAAATAAGGCCAACCATGGCCAACAAGGACAGAAACAACAGCATATGATCCATCTGGGCCAGGGAGCACAGTACACAATGGCACAGCACACAGTGGCTCAGCATACAGCCACACAGCACACTGCAGCACAGCCACATCCTGGTCTTCTCACACCAGGGAGCCAGCAGTTTGTTGTACGTAATAACATTCCTCTGCACCAGAGGGCACCAGGGACTCAGTCTCCTAAGAAAATGTCTAAGACACAAGAATTACTGGCGCATGGAGACAATCGCAATGTGGCTGTTGTCCAACCCTCTCACCACCCCCCACAGCAACAAAAACCCAACTTTACCATTGGGCAGATACGTGGAGCACACCCTAGCTTAAGGGTGGTTAGACCCTCTCATCCAAATGTTGTAATACGACAGGCTGGTGTTGGGAATAGTTTACGCATCATGACGCCAGATAGGACTGTTTCGTATTTGAGTCCTCAACAACAGCAGTATTTCCTTCAGCAGCAGGCATTATCTCATGGTCAGGGGACAAAACAACATGTTGTGTTACATTTACAGAATCAAACATCTGGGATTGCAGTACGTTCTCCTTCACCATCTCCAATTGCCTCACCTAACACCAGTACCCCAACCACTCATCCTAGCCAGGTACGTACGATTATGGCGCCACCTATCAGCCCAGTCCCTGACCCGGAAACTGGCAGCGAAGCTAGTAGTAGTTGCAGCTCCCCCATAACCACTCCTCCATTGCACCCCAATAGTCTTCTGGCAAAGCAAAATCAGATCCCTGGGGTACAGCCAAACCCCAACCACCAGGTTCACAAAGTACAACAGCAGCGACCTGTGCTAAACCCAAATCATCAGGTTGCACAGCAGCAGCAGGCAAAGTCTCAAGCCAACATGGTGTCTGAGATCCAGGGTATCCCTGTTGTGACTCTTCCTGTGGACAAAATGAACCTGTGTAAGGGCAAGCAGTACTTCATCTACAGCAGGAACCAGTCCTACATGATGGCCACCTGGGATGGCAATAACTTCTCTGTCGCAAACAAAGGAACATGTAAGTGTACAAGAGACAATTTTGAAGTGCATACTTAATAAGTGCACAATTTTCAAGGAATGGATGTTGACATTGTTATATTCTCTAACCTTTTTGTGGATTTCAGTGGGCAGCGTTTAGAATCTATAACAAATGGCAGGTGATGACATTTTCCATGTTAATGCCTTGTTAAAATTGAATTGAAAAATGGCGCAGATTAAGAGCTGATTAATTTTTTGTGTTAATCAAGAACAGAGTGTATGTATCTGGTGATATTTTTATCCTATTTCATTGTTACCAAGTTTTACAAAATCTTAAAATGATGAGAATACTCATAAAAATAACCCAAAACAGATATTTCTTTATCTTTAAATTGTTAAGTTCCCTTAGACTGCTTTTCATGTTATTCAATTCAAATGATATTTGAAATAGTGATGGAACATGTGACGTTTCATGATATATACCCTCGAGAAAGCAGAGTAGTTGGGGGTGGACCAACCAAGAGGTTAAACAAAAGAAAACTCAGAGGGAATGCTACAGGACTTTGTTAGTTCAGAAAGTATTCTTCAGTTCAAGGAAAATTGATTTTTGTTTATTTAACATTTTATTTATTGTTATATGGTTGTGAGTTTTGCATGTGCACATTGTTATGTCACCATCACATGTGGTGACATATTGTGTTATGTCACCATCACAAGTGGTGACATATGTTAGTCTCCAACTTTTTTGTGTTTGACAATTTTTGTTTGATGGTTGTTGTTTGGCATTCAGTGTCTAACAAATGGTGGTGGTGACATTTTGCATGTGAATTCTTTCTTTTTTCATGTTTTTTCATTGATTGTTCCTTTGAAATTGTGTATTCCAAATAAGTAGCTGCTATTGGTATTTTATGTTATTTTTGTTAGACTTAGGGAATAAAGATGTTATGCATTGCTTAATTTTCCTGAAAAATATATCTGCCAGATACAGTTTTATTTTGTTTATCCCCAGATGCATTAATGCCATATGATAAAATACCCTTTGTGGTTTCCAGTAATGAATTCAGCGAGTACCAGCAAAGGTCCAGCTGGAGTTGGGGGTCAGGCTCAGAGTCCTGTTATAGGAGGTGGGCGTGGCAGAGGTCGGGGTGCAGCCGATGGGTACGTTTGAGTCAGTAGATTTGTTCATAGTCTTGCATTAAGTCTACTCTGATTGGTTACATATGGGCTTGATGCAAGACTGATTTCTCTGCTCTCTTTATAATGGTCAATGGTCATCATATTATACATAATTTCTCTCTAGATCTGTACTGTTGTGCTGTAAATTTCACTCTTATTCAACATGGAGAAACCATGTGACATTTGAATCTTTTGAATTGTATTACCCTGTATGTAGTTTGAGAGAGTTTATACAAATAGAGTGGTATGCAATGATGACATATACAAACTATTGTTGTAATAATATGAAAAATGTAAAACTACAGTACTAAATTTGTGTAGCAGACACAAGAAAATGAGAACCTATATTGAGAAAAAGTTTGAAAATGCATTATGTGCTAGTTTTATAAAGTGCACTTTAAATGTGTAGAGAATATTTATACATGCAATACATTACAAATGGGATACTAATGCTAGATATTGATAACTTAAGCTTAATATGAAAAAATACCAATGGGGTAATGTAACTGATGAGGTTGGACTCATTCATATCAAAATTTAATCCAGAGCCTTCAAAAAGGCTAAAAGAGGCTATCCCACGTGTTGTTTCTCATTTTCTAGTTCTCAGTCGAAACCAGGGAATAACTGGGTTTACAAAGATGCAGTTGGTGGCACTTTGACAAGGTCAGTTTCAAATTAGTGTAGATGTGAACTTTTTGGGAAATGGCAACATTTTTAATTCATCATGCTGTTACATGTCTTAGCAATCAGTATTTTCAGATGGAAGAGTACAGGCCAAATAAGTTACAATATTGGTTAAACATTGCCTTGTAGATAGCAATTCAATTGATTGTTATATTCAAAAACGCATTAATATGGGGCAGAAGGAATCCAATGTATCGCATAGTGGGATTGGTTGTATAGTTTATCACATAGAAAGGTATTCTTTAACACTGGTTAGTTTCATGTTTGGCTTTCTGGAGGATTTGTATTCTTATTCATATCGTTTGTCTAATCTACTTGCAGACGGCCCTTACATGCACCAGCGACACCTGGTGTAGAAGGAGATGAAGATTCCCAGGAGAAACAGGCGGCTAATGCCCCAGCAGCAAACAGAGAACCACCCAAGAAACGGCGAGATTGGAAATTCCCAGTAAGTAGAAACCAATATGAAAAATATGTTTTGTAAATGACATTGGTATGCTAGCATATGTGTGAAAGCTTCAATTTAATAGTTAGGGGTCAATTTTCAAATATAGTTTGCCAAATCTGTTATAACCATTGGAATCTTGATGCCAGAAATATAATGTTCCACTCACCAATGTTCTTATAGAAAGACTGGGGCATCAAAATGCACACACGAACTAAATGTAAAAAATATTATTACATGTATTTATGTTATGATAATTAACTTTCAGGATGATGAGGAAGGCACCATTCGGTATGCTATATGTAAGAACTGTGGCAATACATCCAGAGACTTTGATTACTGTGATGGATGCAAAAAATGGATTCCAGATGAAAGAAAGTGGCGCGTTATCAAAAGTACACCTGGCACCAGTACAACTAAGGACAGTAAAGCTGATCCAGTTGTTGATAAACAGGCATTTTATGGCAAAGCAAAGGACTCCTCAGAGATGTATGAACATTGTGGTATTAAATACAAAGTGAATACAAAGCCAGCTGCCAAGCAGTATATTATTGTAACACCCTCCAGGGGTCGGGGAAGGGGCCGTGGACGAGGCAGGAAAGCACAGAAAGCACCAGAGATCGGTATGTTGGCTTTACTTAATCATTTAATTTTATTTATTTATTAATGAATTAATGCTAATTTCCTAAGAACAATGTCAGTTCTATAACATAGGTTGAAACTTTTTAGGAAGCTCATGAATAACCAGTTGCGACTTAAATATTTTAGAAATTCAAATTCCTTTATTTAATATGAATATGACAGGGAGATACAAATGACAATATGTCAAAAAGTGATCTTGAGAATGAGATACTAAAAAATACAAAAGTAAAAAGATATACATGTAGTATAGAAGTGGTTTTTCCTCTTTTTGTGTTAATCTTTCAGTCACTTGTAAGCACTTTAGAGGGAGAAATGAGATATTCTAAGCTAGATATCCCAAGAAATAATCTCATCTTTCTAGGATAGGTTCAAATGCCAAAAACAGCTGTTCCATGGATCACATTTTAAATCAGTTTGGACTAAAAGTCATGCCAAAAAGTCAAAACTGAATAAAACATCTTAAATTAGCCCATCGAACAAAGTTTGTAGCGTTATGGAGAAGCCATCCATCCATTCATCCATCCATTCATTTGTTTGTTCATTTGTGTGTCCTTAAGATTACTCAAATACCAGTTGACAGATTTGTTTCAAATATAGGCTTATATCTCAGGAGAAGTGAGTACCTCCCACAATTCTTTCATATTCTATCGTATTCGGGGATTCCCCATTATATGACGTCCAATCAAATTGTAGAATGTGATCATGTGAACAATCAGGAGCACGTGCTCATTCAGTGCTGCCCATGCGTAAAGTAAAATTTGAAATCGTGGAAATGGCGTTTATTTCAGTTTAACATCATTTCAACATCATCATTTCAAAACTGCGGTAATACTATTGAAGTTACTCGATCCAAACTTGTAGAGAATTACTCATAAAACAACAGCGAACATTGTGAAATCCATTTCAATGGCAAATGAGGCCTGTTTATAAAATTGTTCACCGAACGTGCCGAATACTACAGGTCATCTTTGGGAAATCTCCCCCCCCCTGCTTTTATCTTATGAGTGTAGGATATGATTGAGAAGAAATTTTCAATATGGCCACCCAATTTGAAATGACCGCCATTTTTTGTAAAAAATGTAACCTTTGATAACTGATATATCATTTGACGGATTTGGTTCAAATTTTATATGCTGATGCTTAGGGTCATTGGAGTTTTTTTCCAAAAGAAATTTTCAAGATGGCCTTTGATTTTTAGAAATGTAATCTTTGAGAACTCAAATACCAGTTGATGGATTTGGTTCAAATTTTATAGTGTGTAGGACCTCTGCTCGAGAAAGAATTTTTAATTTGGCCTCTCAATTCAAAATTCGAAAAATACCAGTTGATGGATTTGGTTCAAATTTTATATGCTGATACCTTCCCAGGAAGAATTTTCTAAGATTACTTCCAAAAACTTTCCATCCTTGTTATTTCCTCCCCCCCCCCCAAAGTATTTGTGTCAGTTTTAATTCTAGTTAGATAGACATAACCAGGAGATATGATCAAGAAATCATTATCAGTCTTTTTTGCTTTTTAAATCATTCCATGGCCCTTCCATGTCAAAAGTCATAGCCTCACTTTGATTCAAGGATAGTGTAACTGAAGCAAATTCAGTAAAGCTTTTAAAGAATTTGAGAAATGAACACTATTTGATCATTTTCCACATTATTTTGATAATTTTTATTTATTTATTTTTTTAAAAATCTTGGGAATCATCAAATCAAGAGCTTATTGAATACCTGGGGCTTAAGCTGTGTACCAAACAAAATGAAATGACACAACATCCAGTGCTTTGTATGATCTTCATTAGACAATGGTGTATAAGGGATCAGTTGATTTTATACGAACAGAATATACAGGGAAATGTAATTTAAGTGGCAATTGTGTTCTCTGCTTCTGGGCACTTTACAAGTGATTTTGGCCATTTTTAGGCCAAAGTTGTCAAAAAGGGAACAACAAAAAACTTTGGAATTTTTTTAAAAACTGAACCCCCCTTGGCAAATCCTGGCTACGGGCCTGCCTAGTCTAGTTTAGTCAGAGTTTCCAGTCTATTTCTATAAAGGAATGTTGTTATTAACATATTGGCAGACAGAATCAATAGGCTACAGTGCCCTGATCATACCATGTGCTGTTAAAGCTCCCTGTTTAATCAGGTCATTAATAATATATTGCTGATGCATGGTAATATCCAAGGTTATTCTCCAAGCCTTTCAGGCAGACAATACAAATCTATTCTCTACATTTATTACTGCACATTATGCATAGATGAGTAATTGATTTGACCACACTTTTATACTTTAGTTTGAGAAGTACAATTAGTATAAAAAGTAAAGTAAAGTAAACATAGAATTTCCAGTGTGATGATTGTTCAGGTAAATGTCTTGTTACAATTGGCCCTTTCCAATATAAATATATGTGAGTACCTTCTTTAGCACAGTATTTTGATAGGGACATATTAAACATTTTCCCAAGCACAATGTTGAAGGCAGACTGATCTTGTCTGTGGACATACGTATCAACATTATATATCAGACGGTAAAATGTTTGCAACCATATGGAGTCCCACATCACTGCACCTGTGGGGTTGATACATTGTAAATCAAGGGCACATCGTACTAAAGGTCTTATAAACTGTGTCTGGATCCTTGCACTGTTAATAATCAACAATTTGCCACCTTCTATCGAGATCTGTTTATTGTACCTGTCTGGGGTGACATTGAAATATTTAAACATCCCTGGGTGTGTGTAGCTGTTACTTAACAACCCATTTATACTTGGTGCTAGCACCCCTGAAGATTTCACCTGATCAACTATTGGCTTCAAGTTCTTAGTTGTAAACCGTATTGAAGTATCAGCCCAGAGTACTTGTTGAAATTCCAGCAGGGTCTCATTTATGATTAAAATCTTGAATGCAAATGTTAGTAAATTTTTTACATGAGGTGGATATTTCTGGAAGTGGAAATCTCTTATCTTGCAACCATCGCAACGTTTTTGAATTTCACTGACTTCTGTAGTTGTTAGTCCAAGGTTGTAAACTATGAGTGGATTATCTGGTTGATAGTGTTGCTTATTCTCAAGAAAGACATGAAATTCATTCACATGGTTTGAGCTTAATCCTGTTATGATTGTAAAATTGTTAAAATGTAGTTCCTGTGCGACTGCATTACTCTCCTCTTGAGCCGCCATCACCTCACATATCATTAACATAAATCTTGACATATAAACCAGTAGTAGTTTGGCCATGGTTTATTATATTCATGGTCATGTTGTAGTCAGAACAAATAGATGATAGTGTTATAGATGTATACAGTCCTTGTGTTAAGAATGACGTTCTAGGCTGGTTGGTTTTGTTGAGTGTGTTTTATAGGAACTGGTTAATTTTATTGATTTTCACCTATCTAGTTTAGGGGCCGGGTCAAGATTTCAATATCCATCAAAAAATATAATGAATTTAGTTTGGTCTTAAACACTCCTCCCTCCTTCATGCAAAGTATAAACAAAATGTTAATTTGCATTCAATATCACATACCTGTTGTTGCATATTTAATGATCATACCATTGCAGAAGATAAATCTCTGGGAAATTTAAAATGGATGTCCCTCACCTAATTAAATAGGGCTTTACCTCGGAATACCTCCTCTCCCTAGCGTCATTAATTCCATTTTTGACTGACATTGAAACAGTGATCCAGCCCCTTAACCTCACAATTTAACTTTCATAAGCAGCTTTGGCAATTCATAGTTTGTAATAAACTGGGAGTTGTATGCCTATGGTTCAATCATAGTTGTTCAGTAAAACAAATTCCTAAATGTTAAAGGCAGAATCAGATCTATAGGGGTGAAAAAATTACAAGCAATGTGTAAAATTGACCTTCCAATCTATTCCTTACAATCTCATATACAATATCTCCCAAAAGATTCACGCTATGTTATAAATTGGTGAAGTTATAATAGATTCAAAGTTTAAAAATGAGTGAAAATGTTTAAATTCTCCCAAATAATAAGAATGGTAACCATTCTTATAGAAAAATAATATGTTATTGTAAATATCTTTAGTTTTCCTGAAATAAAGTATGCACTTGAGTGATTTTAAGAAAATAGACATGAAAAGGAATGACACGAGGCAGAAATATTTTAAAATTGAAACAATTTTTTATTTGGCTGCTCGCTAGATCTGATTCTCTCTTTAATTTCCTAGATTTTTATTTCTTTTTTCCTTTCTATATCAGGTTGTATTTTTTGTTCATATATTTTATGATTTTAACCTTGACTGACTTTTCTTCTGGAAATGATGTTTTAGCCTTTAATAGGAAGAATGAATGTCATTGAGTTTTAGGAATTTTTTGTATGTTATGAGGAGGGGCCTAAGGCTCCTAAGGATAAATACATTTTTACAGTGTACATGTTTCTTTCATTAAACTCAAGTGATCTGACTCATATCTGTCAAAGTAACACTTAACTGCTTAGCTTAGAAATGAATATAAATCATTCTAAAATTAGTCAATTTCGATATCATGTGTTATTTTGGCAAAAACAGACACAGCAGAAAATAGATTTTATACTTTTTGGGGATGGGAATCTAAGGAATACTAAATGTCTTCAATTATAATTGACATTGATAATACTTTACAATGACCCATTACAATCAGCTCATCATATATCATCATCTTTCACTAACATCATAAATACATCTACTTGCTAAATCTGGTGGCTGGCAGTCTGCCCACTGCAGCCACACTCCTTTGGTATAAATTATATCAACATGTATACTTTTCAGACCAGAGGGGGCCAATAATGCTTAAAGCCTCACTCTCCACAAGCATGTACAGATTTATATATATGCAAATAAAAACAATTTACCTAAAAAAAGTAAAACTTAAACCACTCTGACTTTTTCCTCTCATGCCACTGAATTATATGTTTACCGTAATCACCATATTTAGCGCCCACCCCCTAATAAGTGCTCACCCCACTTTACAAAATTCAAGTTATAGTACTTCCACTAAAACAGTATACACATGTTCTAATTATTTCACACAATTCTTAACTAAATATTATCCCAAAGTTCAAACAGTATTGAGAAATGACCAAGTATGAGTGAACATATGAGAAAAAATCTAAATTTTGAGAAATCAAATTTCTCCTTATTCTCACAATTTTTACATGAAATATGGTGATCTATCATTAAACAATTATCTTGAAATATGACATTAGATCAATATCCAACAGTCTCTCATGGAAATAATAACGATAGTCAGGGAAAATATATCCTTTAATTTGTTGGGCTCCACTGGGGATTTCTGCAATATTGTCTGGTTGATTCATGGTTTATTTAGTGATCTTAACTGTAACAATTTGCAATACAAGCTATACCATGGGATTTTATACTACTCTTATATAGGGGTGCTCATTAGATAGTGCTACGGCCAAGGCCATTTGTGTCCAAAACACCTAGATTCAATTTGACTTTAGATTCTTGTAGGGGACCCCAAGGCATGTAAAAAAAAGTTTGTGAACCCTTGCAAAGCAGGCTCAAAAGTGCTGAGTCAGCAGCTTTTATTATTTTTGAGTCGGAATTTGACCATATGCTTGAAAAAATTTAATATCTCATTTCAGGATGTTGCAATTATAATGAAACATTGTCAATATATCAATAAGGCATGTATGAAGAATTCCTGAAAGTTTGGGTCTTATCCAACAAAATTTGGTAGAGATATGGGAAAATTTGTCCCTAAAAGTACATAATTTCTCTTCAAAATTTCTTAATCAGTCGATAGTTAATCAGTCATTTAAAAAACAGTAAGGGCCTATGGTGTATAAAACCTGATTAAAAACTTCACTGATGATGTTAGCAAATATTTCTTGCAAAAGTTTCAATAAAAAGTGCATCCATCTATTTTTTCTGATTTTTCTCTTTACCTTCCCCTAAAAATTCAAGAAAGGGGGCGTGGCACCTTACACTTCAGTTGTGGAACTTGTTGCTAGGGTCAAATAGAAAATGTGTATCATTATAGCAGAATTTGTTATTCTAAGTAAATCTAAACACTATACGTGACATCATAATATGCTTAACATTTTCATTATCTACCATTTTATATTTTTTACAGCTTATCATTGCCATACCCCATAAAACTGTTTAGGGTATGTGTGGTCAGCAATAGGAAATACATGTATGTGTACTAATAACATTTTCAAAATTGTATTTCAGGTGTCATTCTTTCCTAATGTTGTTCATGTAGTTATGGTTTATGTTTATGAATGATAACACTTCCCATCATAAGTTTGGCAACTCGAACCCCTTTGAATTGTTACACGGAATATGGCATACATTCCTGGTTGCGTGGTATTTGTGATACGGGTAAATATTCCATACTGACCTGTGGTATGTGGCATATTCCACAGGTGAGTAAGCCATATTCCGCAGTAAATATGCAATATATCGATTTCAGTGAATACCCTATACTCACCTGCGGAATATGTCATACTCACTTTCGGAATATGCCATATACCGCAGGTGAATATGACATATACCACAGGTGAAAACGTGATACAGAAAGCCTTGATTTGATTGGTTGTGAGAATCGACTCTAAATGTTAAACTACGCTGGAAATCAATAAAGTTAGTGCGTCAAGTAGTAATATATGAATCCTGGATTGATTGAGTAAGTTTATTACGTGAGACTGGTAAGTGATACTTCTGCATAAGTTTATATATTCGATACACTGTACTGTTGATTCTGTAATCATTATATAATAATTATTTATAAAGTTTTACTTGTTTGTTCAGTAGATGCAATTGACAATTGCCTACTTCTGTATCACATTCTCATTGGTTAGTGTGTATGCCATATACCGCAGGTGAATCTGTCATACACCGCAAGTGAATATGCCATATTCATTTCGGGATATGGCATATATTTGTATCGTGTTTATCGCGTAACATGAATCACTTATTAAAGCCTTTCTATTTTTGGCATATGAAATCGAAGTATCTGAAATATGGTAATAAGGAACATAATCAAGGTTTAAAAATTGACAGACTTCATATGCTATCATATAATAACTTCCAGTTGCCAAACTTATGGAGGGGGTGTGCATGGTTTATAGTAGAGGGTCCATGTAAACTGCAACAAGACTCCTGTTGTTGCTGCAAATAATTAGCTATATAATAACAAATTGTAACAACAAATGATTAAGAGCCAGAGTTACTCCGAGCCTGATTGCAGTTTGCACACTTCGTATTGTATATATGTCATAAATTGTTTATTTGTTGTCTGTAGAACAGATGACGTATGTTTTGTTTATGTCAAAATAATAGACCTTGTCCATAGGCGTAGCCTGGGATGGGATTGCTCCCCCCCCTATAACCAATAAAAATATAACCATGAGATAGAAGAAAAGACAATGGTCTAGTAGTTACACATATCCTAATATGAGGTTGTTTTGGTTCGTTTTCCTCAAAGATCGCCTTCTTCTTGGGACCTTCTTCAGTTTGAATAAATAGGTTTTTCCCAGAAAATATTCTACTTTGGACCAGTCATGGCATTGGTCCTATATTCTGACATTTGGTATGGCATTGGTATGGCTTTTAGGCACTATTTCAGTTGGTATGGGAACACATCCAAATTTGACATTTTGGTATGGGAATATATTGATATCTGAGGGTTCAACCTAGGACCCCGCCAAATTTTGTACACAGTGAACCCCCCAGGATTGAAGCAGACAAGTAGCAGACAAGTGAAATCAGTCCAAATAATCACGCTCTTACAAAGTTTTGACAATTTTTTCTTTTTGACGTTTTGATGAATGTAAACAAAGGAAGTTACTTAGCTAAAGTCTGACATACACCAATACGACATGGTGGGACCTCCATTGATTTAACATTGGGTGGGACCTCATGGAAATTCTTGGACTTCATTGAGATTTGCCCGATGGAACTCCTTGGGATTCCTTTGGACTTTGCCCCATGAAGCCCCATTGAGTCCCATGAGATTCGATGAGGTATCATTTGGCAAAGTCCCACGAAGCCCCATTGAGAATGAACCTGTTCATCTTCTTTCCATTTGGGCATCGTGGGACTTTTGATCATGGGATGTGTCAGCTAACTTGGGATCAAAATGACTGAGACAAAACCTTCTAAACTAAATTACATAATTTCCGTGGGATTCAATGGGATATGGAGGGACTCGATGAGACTCCATGGGACAAAGTTAACATGGTCCCATGGGACATTGTGGGACTCAATATGGCATGGTGGGACTTGAAGGGGCGAGTGGGATTCTGCGTCATTGGAATATGTTGGCCTTGGACCAAACTCGCTTAATGTCACATATCATATAAGTAATATCAACAAACCCAGTGCCACGGAATTGATCACTTGGAGAGAATGTAAAGCATTATTATTTCCTTTGGCTTTAGGTTTCTACAATTTATGACACATATTACAAAGCATATAAATAAGGTTGGCAACTGCAAGTTTTCATATGATGACATATCAACGTCTGTCAATGTTGGAACCTCGATTTTGTTCCTTATTGCTTTATTTCAAAAGCTTGATGTCTTGTTTAAAATTGCCAAACAGCATGACAAGCTTTGATAAGTGATTCAAAGGGGGAATTCCAGTTACAAAACTTATGATGGGCAGTGTAATTTAACAATTCATTCTTAACATACCATAACTACATAAACAACATTAGGATAGAATGGCATCTGAAATACAATTTTGAACTTGAATGTTATTAGTACACATACATGTATTTCCTATTGCTGACCACACATACCCTAAACGGTTCTATGGGGTATGGCAATGACAAGTTGTAAAAAATATAAGATGTTAGATAATGAATATATTTAGCATTTTATGATGTCACATATAGTGTTAAGATTTATTTAGAATAAGAAATTTTGCTATAACGATACATATTTTCTATTTGACCCTACCAACAAGTTCAATGACTGAAGCGTAATGTGCCACGCCCCCTTTCTTGAATTTTTAGGGGAAGGTAAAGAGAAAAATCAGAAAAATAGATGCTTGTACTTTTTATTGAAACTTATGCAAGAAATATTTGCTAACATCATCAGTGAAGTTTTTAATCAGGTTTAATACACCATAGGCCCTTACTGTTTTTTAAATGACTGATTAACTATCGACTGAATAAGAAATTTTGAAGAGAAATTTTGTACTTTTAGGGACAAATTATCCTATATCTCTACCAAATTCTGTTGGATAAGACCCAAACTTTCAGGAATTCTTCATACATGCCTTACTGATATATTAACAATGTTTCATTATAATTGCAACAACCTCAAATGAGATATTAAACAGTTTCAAGCATATGGTCAAACTCCAACTCGAAAATGATAAAATTTGCTGACTCAGCACTTTTGAGCCTGCTTTGCAAGGGTTCACAAACTTCTTTTTACATGCCTTGGGGTCCCCTACAAGAATCTAAAGTCAAATTGAATCTAGGTGTTTTGGACACAAATGGCCTTGGCCGTAGCACTAAGAGTAGAAGGCAGTATTTAAAATTTTCTAAATACCATTGGTGCTAATTACAGAGAATATGGAATGTGAATTCTTTTGACAAGTTAAAGAATAGTCCAATACAACTTTTGTTATTTATATATGGTAAGGTTCATACAGGGTAACCTTAAAAGACACACCAAGAAACAGGTATAGTTTGCAAGTCATGTGTTTGAACATGAGTATTCCCTCGAATGAATGCAACATTTTCCATTAAAGCAATATGTTTAATTCTTAGTAAGGTCCATGGGATAAAAGATCTATCGCTCCAACTCTTCGAAAACTTTAGATAAGGACCCCACCTTGACCAGTTTTTCAAAATGATTTTCTAAAAAGGATCTTTAGTATCATTTTTAACATTTCAAAAGTTCCTTCTAGTGTAATACTATATCATACCAATGCAATGTTGAAATGTGATTATGTTAAAACCGCATATCCCTTGTTATCTTCCAATGATGATAGAGGCTGTCATGCTGTCCATTGTGTTTATCTTAATTTTGGTCATTAAAATGAGACCTCAGCGTCATTCTTCCTTTGATAGATCTATTGTTTAATATATTCATGCAACAGAAATGAGAAAAAGATATTATTTTAAGAAAATAATTCCAATTTTATTTTTGTAGAAACTGTAACAACTCTTATTTCACAAATGGTGACAACAATATTTTATTTTAGAAACTCTTGCAGAATTTATTTCAGCAACTGTAACAACTCTTATATCAGAAACTATAACAACCATGATTTCAGAAACGGTGACAACTCTTATTTCAGAAACTGTAACAGCTCTTATTTCAGAAATGGTGACAACTTTTATTTTAGAAACTCTGACAGAAATTAGTTCAGAAAGTGCTCTTACAACTGTTACAAGTTTTCATTTTTTCAGAATTTGTAACAACTCTAATTTCAGAAACTGTAACAATCTCATCATCAGAAGATGAGCTTGAGGAGGACTACATGGACGAGGAAATGTATGATGAGGAGCAGTTTGAAGATGAGGAGTTCAATGAAGAGGAGGAGGACTTTGACGAGGAAATGATGGGGGATGAAGAGGAAGAGATGGAAGGGCAGGAGGAGACTGGATTCCCGCAGGTCGGGGATTCCCCAAGCAACTCGCCAAGGAGACCCCGACGACGGGAACTAATGCAGGACCAGGTACATGCACTTTCCTTGAGGGAGAGTTTCACTTCAATGGCAGAATTGATATAATTACAGCAAGTTCCTAAAAAATTTTCTAAAGAGATCAACAAGTGCTTACTCCTAAAGGAGGTTTTATCTGGAAGGGCATATCAAATGACACAATACACAAACTTCATAAGTTATAAACATATAAAGGGATTTGTAAATGCCAGGTAAATTAGTTAGGAAATCTCTCAAATCTCTGCTTTAGATGACGATTCTATTGTTTTGACTACTGAAAATAATGGTGTACAATGTTATACTCTTATTCCAGACGGGAAAACCTTTGGGACGTGTTGTTGCTCAGCCTCGTAAAGGTGCCAATAGAGGGCAGCAGCACCAGCCAAGTCCAAGCCAATCAGATGCCTCTGAGGATGAGAGCAGTGTCGATCTGAATGTACGAACCACTAGGATTGGTTCATATGAGAGCAAACCCCTGAATGTCAACATATCATATGATCAAATAACAATAGATCTCAATGGTAAGCTTCTTATGAATCAGGACTTGGACCTTACAACTTAACACCAGCCCATACATACATACAGCCTCTTATGAATCAGGACTTGGACCTTACAACTTAACACCAGCCCATACATACATACAGCCTCTTATGAATCAGGACTTGGACCTTACAACTTAACACCAGCCCATACATACATACAGCCTCTTATGAATCAGGACTTGGACCTTACAACTTAACACCAGCCCATACATACATACAGCCTCTTATGAATGAGGACTTAGACCTTACAACTTAACACCAGCCCATACATACATACAGCCTCTTATGAATCAGGACTTGGACCTTACAACTTAACACCAGCCCATACATACATACAGCCTCTTATGAATGAGGACTTAGACCTTACAACTTAACACCAGCCCATACATACATAGAGCCTCACATGTGGCCATGTGAATAGGTTATTCAGATAATGTTCGCATATTGTTTAACTATATAGCTTGTGTTCCTGCTACATACTGTAGTTGTTTCACTTCTTTTCTATGACATCGATTAAACATCTAAAGGATTGCCTATTAGTGTTGGTTGCAATTAAAGTATACATATCAATGTTGTCAACTACTGATCTGAATTTGATTGTGGGCTTGTCATGTTATATTACATATACATGTTCATTCATACAGATAAGATAACAACTTGCTCCTTGCCTCTATGCTGGTCCTTTCTGATTCTGATCACATTATAATAATTGTTTTACAGTGCAGAACAAGATCCTGAAGCTCCCTATCTTCAAGCAAGACATAGAGAAGGTCCAGGCTTACTTTGGGGAGGACATGCCTGTCTTGTTTATTGTTACTAATCCTGCCTGTGCCCTCAAAATCAGATCATGCTGCAGGATGAAACGTAGTGAAGGCACTTTCTATGACCCTGGCAGTACAGGTAAGTTACTTTTTAATATACTGCTTGACAGAAAGATATAATATTTTAAGCGATGTGCTTTTTTGCTGAGTTTTTAAGATGGTCAGATTTTAGGTATGATATTGTTCGTACTGTGTCTTCTTTTATATGATTGTTTATCATATTTTGATATGTCATATGATGTCATATGTTAAAGTGTCTTTAAAAGTGTTAGGAGTCAGCAACGCCTTTCAGGTTATTATTTACAGGGAATACACCACTGTAGTTTTAATGAGACTTCCTTTTGTAAGATAAATAAACGTGAAAATCATTTCAATCAAAAGAAAAGTAAACTTTTAAATCATAACTAATCCAGTCAATTTTTGAGGTCACTGTTTATGATATTATTGTTTGAAACATTGGATTAAGATGTGAAGTTATGAGCATGTTGTTTGATTGATGTTGCCCTACCTGTTAAGAGGCCCATTGGGAGATAATCCCCAATGGGAGACATCTGAGGAGGTGTCATTGTGTATGATCTTATTGTTTGAAACATTGGATTAAGATGTGAAGTTATGAGCATGTTGTTTGATTGATGTTGCCCTACCTGTTAAGAGGCCCATTGGGAGATAATCCCCAATGGGAGACATCTGAGGAGATAGATGTCATTGTTTATGATCTTATTGTTTGAAAAATGGGATTAAGATGTGAAGTAATGAGCATGTTGTTTGATTGATGTTGCCCTACCTGTAGAGAGACCCATTTGGAGATAATCCAATTACAGAATCATGAACAAATGTTGAGAAACAGTATTTTCTCTATCAAAAAGAATATCTTGAGTAGCATCAAAACAAACAACAATTTCGTATGTCTACATCTTCAATCAAATGATGTTGTTAGCATATGTGAGTTTTCTAATTTTAAATCAACAATTGCCCAAAGTTTCAATTGCACAAATGTGTCTTGTCAAATTAAAAACAGCCTCCCTTTCAATGTTTTCTAGTGACATAGATTCAATAGATATTTTTTATTCCATCATCATTTTAATTAACATTTAATTTAACATTGGTAGGGAGGTTCCTCGCTCATAGCCCAGTTAACTTTTGGGACTTAAATTGATATGTTGACTGAGTCACTAGACTTGCATGTTTTTTTGGTTTTTTTAAATAAAATTTATTTCAGTTAAACATAGTTATTTACATGTATGGTACAAAGATGAGGTTTCAAATTCATAAAGAGTATTTAATGGCCTAGTCACATAGCCCGGCCGATGAGGTTCCGATGAGCCAGCGATGCAATTTTCACCGAACTCGGCGGAACACCGGCCGGACATCCGTGGCGTTTGTTGCTTAAAACCGCATCGGTGGCAGCTCGGTGAAATTTTAACTTCGGAGTTAAATTTCACCGGGCTCTCACCGAGCTCCCTCATCGCAGCCCCATCGTAACCACATCAGAACACACGTCGGCCGGTGCACGGCCGAGTATCGGTCGGTGTCCCGTGTATCTGAGACAACCAGAGGACGAGGTTTTTTTAACGGACACCGGCCGAGCTCCGACCGAGCTCCGGCCGATGTGGGACAGAGCCTTGGAAAGTATAGTACCTGAAGATGTCCGGACGGAGTCCGTTCACGTCACCGAGCTCTGCTTCCGATGAGGAGAGCTCGGTGGCACCAATAAAATCCACCGAGCTCTACCGATGCCGGACATCGGCCGGGCTATGTGACTAGGCCATAAGTTACTCACACATTTTTCAATATACCATTTGTGAATAGATAACTTTGCTATCAGTATATTTTTGAAATTCTTTACTTTACCTATATTCCATATATTTGATTGGCAGTTATATTTGGGAAATGTTTAGTCTAAAATTCAGCAACTGCTTTGCATTTAACAAAATGATGCTCTAAATTATCTATTTCATCACAGCTTAAACATTTGCTTGAATTTAAAATACCATATCTATGCAGTAAAAGATTACATGGATATATTGAATGTAAAATCTTCCAGTGTAGTATAATTAGGTCTGTTGCTGTAGTACAATTTCTTGCATTAAGTCAGGTTTTTCCTGTTAACACTTCATTTTTGAATGCAATCTTACAAACCTGTTTTTCTATTAAAATTTTCCTAAAATCTTGAACATTTAAGTACTGCACATCTGTAGACCTGCATGTATAAATTGCCAACATTGTTTAGATTTCTGGTGCCAGTTTTGACTAAATTGAACTAAAATTGCAGTATTAATATGGTATGTGTTTTGCGGCTATTGTTGTTTAAAGGATTATTTCTGATTATTTACATCACTGTAGTGTTTTGAGACTTCCTTTAATTAAGCAATCACTTTATGTAATCAGACATAAAACATGTTTATTTATGAACTTTTGTAAGATAAATAAACATAAAAATAAAATCATTTTAATCAAAAGAACAGTCAACAATTAAATCATAACTAATCCAGTCAATTTTTGAGGGCATTGTTTTTAATTGTTTAAAACATGGGATTAAGATGTGAAGTTATGAGTATGTTGTTTGATTGATGTTGCCCTACCTGTAGAGAGACCCATGATGAGATAATCCCCAATGGGAGACATCTGAGGAGGTTTTAATCCAATAATACACACATGAGGAAGTGTTGACAGACATCTGAGTAAATTGTTTTTTACCTGATGATTTGGGATTATATGAGATTAACTACCTGTTGGTATAAATACTGAGGAGTTGCCATGGTCACCTCACTTGTCTCCTAGAGCTCAAAGTATTATCAACACATCATCAGCACTACCAACAGCAACAACATAACACAGCAGAGAAACACTTGAAGAATAACTTCAGCAAATCTTAAGACGATGTATCACAGAAGCAAGCTAACAATTGACACCTCAGGGAGCTCCACCAGGGATGTGATCCCAACTGCAGGCTGCGACAAGGAAGCAGCAGCCAGCACTGATGGGGGCCTTACAAGTCTCCTGATTGATGAGATTCCTGGGTACCTTACCCCGCCACCTACCCCAGTGACACCTGGCCTGCCATTGACCATCACAGCAATCCTAGAGGATGACTTTAAGCCAAACATCCAGGATGTTCACCAAGGAGATGCTCAACATGAAGACAGAGTTGCTGATCTTGGTACCACAGGCTGGGACGGTGATGCTGCTACTGCCTTGGGACTTGCTGCTGTCGTGTCTTCATCTACAAATGATGCATCTGCTATTAATTTGGATAACCCCGCCTCTACTGATATTCCCCCACTTGCTGTTTCAACTGCTGCATCAGCTTCCCCTGCTGTGACACAAGTGACAAGTCGGCCCCTTGCTAGGGGGCATCGAAGAGGACACCTGACTGCAACAGTGAAGCAAGAACTAGAACGTGCTTACAGGTTCAGCCCTTACCCTAGTCCTGCCATCAGACAGAAGCTGAGCAGCATTACCAAGATGACAGACAATAGCATACAGGTATGTAGAATTATAGCAGTAAAATAAGTCATAGTGCTGTTCTTACTATTCATGCATTGATCATTGATTTAAAGGACTTTTGAAAGGAAATTATCCATATGTATTTAGCTCTAAAGTGCTAAATAATTGTGTTATAAAATTGAAATAATGTTCAACATTGCCACCTTTGTAAAATGGTCTTGTTGCTTATTACAGCTATCTACAGATGTAAATGTATTTTAAATCATCTGATATTTGTATTTTCAGAAATGGTTCTCACGACGTAGACAGACCTCGACACAACAGCGCAACCAGATTCTCCTAGATAACCTGCCAATAGTTCTCTCTCCATCGGAGAGGAATGCCATCTATACTAGCGAGTGGAGTTCAACTGAAACAACGATAGCTGACACTTTGAATGGTCCTGAACTGAGCTCCAACCATCACTCAACGTCACAGCTTAGACACTTGTAATAATTAGTTCGCTGTAATGGAATCACACCACATGAAATTGTAAATATTACATTAGGAATTGTAAATATTGATCAACATCGCATCGTTGTTCAACTATAAGGACATTATCAAATTACTTATGAAGTCACTTCTTATCGCACCAACATGAACTTGAAGATAGGATCACATGTTCACTCATATGGCAGGCTAAATTCAACTGAACACTTGTTCTCCTTGGGGACTCATGCCAGCATCTTTGAATATGTGCCACATTTGGTTGAATGATTTAAATGCCGCAGTTGGACTATTTGATTAGTGTATCCTACTCCAATGTGACATGATGATTATGCTGTCACATTTGGATTCTATTATTTATTGGTCATCAGCCATTTTGATCACTTTTTGAATGAATGATTGGTTTAAAACATGTGTACACATGTGATTGTGTATAATTCATTGATCTCATTGTAAATACACCTTCCATCTTAACTACATAAACAATTTGTAAATATTGTACATGTTAATTGGACATAGATGTAAATAAAATCTTAAAATGAATGTGAGGTATTATATTATTATTTAACATTAAGTTTGTGGCTAATAAGATTATACTTATTTGCACTTCCCCTCCCCCAACTAATTCTATTCTATTCTCCCATATTATTCAAATTGTTAATGTTTTCCCATTAAATGCCATTCAGCATTTTTCTCCATGTAAATGTATTTCAGGCCATCCTACTGTCTAACAATTTGAACTTACATAGCAAATGAAGTTTGTATAGGAATATTATATAAAGAGAATGTTTTCATTCTGAACAATACTTCAGATGTTGGGTTAGATGTGCAGAATGACTGCAATTTTTCAGATACATTTTCATATATCTAGTTGAAGTTGACACAAATTGAGGAGCAAAGCATGAATCTGTCAATTCTTTTGGAAGTGAAGCAGCATTAATTTATGTTTCATATATAGATCTGGCTACGTCCTTGTTGGTACTCCTACCTACTAATACAGTGCAGTGTGTTTTAGTTGATGGCCGCTATATGGGATACCTTAATATGCATTTAGCCCTTTATATGTCACACTCGCTTGTAGACATAATGATATATACCCAAATCTTAAAACTCATTTATCATAGGATATCCTCCATTTATGTGTTTCAGTTGAGAATGAGAAGAGGATCACAATCCTCCTTGAAGGCATCAGTGGAGAGGACCAAGACAAACTACATGAGATATTTGATGAAATCACCAAGTCTAATGGGAAAGAGGAGCCAATACTTCAGGAGATTGAGATCTCTGCAGCTAATGACACTCTTCTCAAGTGTGCACCCCCTCATGCCAGGAAACAGGTATGATTGGCTATGAATAGTCACATGACTTGGATGACTCTCAATCTGATTTGGGAGTGGAGATTGTATAGCTAATTCTGTTATCATTTCGGTATATATTTCCGGGGAAATCCATTCATTGTTTAGGATAGTATTATCAAAGGGAAATGAATGGTGACCCACAAGAAGACTTCCACTCTTATTTATGTTCAAGTGTAATTTATAATCATCATTTTTATGTTTTAACAGTTATACTGTATAAATGAAATATGTGTAACATTAATTTTTCCAAAATTAATTTATGGTATAAGGTCGTAATTCAACTGTCATTTACTGCAATCCCTCTGGAAATATTGATATCTTCTTTGTGATATTCCATATATCCAATCCCTCTGGCTGAATAGCTACTTTATGCATATTAGAGTCACTGCATGCCTGTTTCTTTATATTATTACCACCTTGCCAGGCCAGTTCTAGGGGTTTTAGTGCTAGTTTAGAGGGTGTTCATTTTACTATATCGACCTGAGCAATATGTGATGTCAAAGTGGTGGTCAAGAATGCATTTCAGACCTATCGAGAATGAATTTAACGACCGGCAATTTTCCCCGAGAAACTAGATATCGTTCAGTGCGTAAGATTTTCTTGCTGTTTCAGTCCTGGTCGTTAACGGTGGTAATAATACTAATAACATCATTCCAATATTTCACTATATTGCCCGCAGAAATGATGTTATTGTACTATTATTGTTTATTTCTTTTCAGGTTGAGAATCTGAGTAAGAGTCAATGTGGAGATGATGAAGATGAGGAAGAAGAGGATGAGGACATGGATGAAGACATGGAGGAGGGAGAGATTCCTCCTAAAGCTGTATTCAAAGGTCCTGTAGAAAAGTAAGATATCAATACTTATGACTACAAGTTTTAGCATGTTGAGCCAAACTTCGAATCTTAGATACTGCTATTCAAAAACTAGTTCCTTCTTATACCCCAGTTGCTCCAAAATGGCAGAAATTATCCAAAGTGACTAAATATTTTGCATGTTTATTGGACTAGCAATGTTTCTCCTCTATTTACTTTACTTTTTGTGTTTATTTCAGGATGTGTACTTACCCCCCACCTCCAACTGTGGGTGGCATCACAGTGACCAATGAGGATCTGTTTTGTCTCGGGGATGGAGAATTCCTCAATGATGTCATCATCGACTTTTATCTCAAGTAGGTTAATTCTCTTTCAAATTCATAAACTAGTACAAAACTATTATTACATTGTATGAGATTATCAAACATGCTATGCATCTTTTGGCCATATTGTTTACTTTCATTTACTAGGTCAGATAATAATACCATATAGCCTTGAAATGCCATGTGAAACTTCCAATCAGAACTAAATAATATGTAGTTTCCTTTGATTTAAAATGTAATACAATAAATTCAATAAAATTTGATTTACCATGTAAATGATGTTTTCCCTGCTATAGGTGGTTGTTCTTTGAGAAGTTAACGGAAGAGGACAGGAAGAGAACGCACATCTTCAGCTCATTCTTCTACAGACGACTTATGCAGAAACTTCACACATCACAGGAGGAGAAAGATATAAACCTCACGTACGTATGATGTGTAGTTCATGCTTAAATGTATTCATGAGCCTCTATTTTTAATCTTAAAACCACTTTGAAATGGATTTTTCAGTATCATCTGTGGATATCGAATTCATCGGTCAGTTCCTTGTTTAGATTTTAAAGATCTTGAAAAGTCTATTTTACCACACTGGAATCCTTTGAGATGTTGCAAAAATGCAAGTTCTCACAAGATTCATTGATACAAAAATAGAAACTGACTTGTAGTAAAGTAACAGATCTAAAGGACACTAGTCTAGACATTACAAAAAAGTAAGGGAAAAAAATAAGTACATCATGGTTATACTAGTAGAAGCGTTGAAAACATACATTCAGTGTAACAGGAAATATGAAGCGTGACACTATTTTAAAGTATATGAATATATTGTGCTTTTTTGTATATGTTTCATTATATTCCAGGCCTCTGCAGAAGCGTCACGCCCGTGTAAAAAAGTGGACCAGAAATGTGGACCTCTTTTCTAAAGACTTCATCATCATTCCTATTAATGAAAGGTACATTTAAAGCCCCTTATGTGTTTTAAGCTCACAGAATAATGTTAAAACCATGTCTCCTTTGTATATTTACAAAATACACTAAAACTCCCAATGTTCTTTATATACCACCTTCAACCAGTTAATGTTATATACTTTCATATTAAGATTAGATTCAAGACTAGAAAGTTTGAAAGTTTTGAACTCAGAATCTATGTGAAATGATACATGAACTTACGAAATGAAACAACAAATAATAAAAAGACCAGGACAGGTGGAGGCTCAAAGTTTAGGCATAAATGTTCTACACCACAGAAATATTGGACGCTGCTCAATTTCATTCAACCATTATATTGTGCCTAGTAATACCAGTTAAATGTTGGGATTATGATTTGTATAAAATTCTTATATTCCAGTGCCCATTGGTACTTGGCCGTTGTTTGTTTCATTGGAATGAAGACGCCCAAGACAGAAACAACAATTATTCCATCTCATAAAGTGTCATCGTACTTAGCTACACTCCCATCTAGTGTCAAGATTATGATACCAGCCAAACCAAAGATGACCCTAAAGCAGAAGGAGAAACAGGTGGATGGGGCAGATAACAAATCAAATGTCACTAATGCCAAATCTAATGCACCTGACATCAAAGCTAGTGTCTCAGAGAGCAAGTCTGAAGCCTCAGATACTAAACCTAAAAGTTCCAATTCTGACACTGGGGATGATAAATCTGAGAAAACGGGTGGATCTTTAAATAATAAACAGAATGCTGCCAGTATTAATAAAAATGAGAAATCTCAAAGCAAAGACAATAAAATGAGTCCTGCTGCTGAAAATGAGTCAACTCCTGAAACTAGAACTAATTCTGAGAAAAAAGACAATAAAATAAAAACTGAATCAAAGGATAAAAACTCTGTTGGAGATAATCAAACAAGAAATGAAGATTCGGAAAGTGAGTCTAAGAAAGTTGACAGTAAAGAACAAACTGATGGTTCAAATAAAACAGCTGGAGCCAGTAAAGCTGCTGAAGCATCAAATGAAACAAACTCTCGTGAGAAAGCTGCTATGGAGGCAGACCTCTCAGAATCACAAGATACAGATGATGATAAGTTAGATGCAGATTCCCTCGACTCAACATTGGAAAAACTTGCCACAGATTATGCCAGTGATAGTGAGGAATCCAAACAAAGCAGTAAATCTCGGGAATCCCCACAGGAGGAACAGCAAATGTTGGAATTCCAGGTAAAGTGAACATATCGTCTCATTGCATGCATATCCTCTGCTAGTTTTGAACAAAATCTAATTGAAAATTTACTATGTTGAAATAATTATGTGAAGCGTTAAGAAAGAACCTGCCAAAGATGACAAAATTGTTAGCATTTATTTACTATCAACCAATGTATAACTAGCTATTGTACAAAAACCTCTCACTATCCATCTTTCCTTTATATATCACTTAGAATGTTTTTACTGCATTGCAGGTGACTGTCAATGACACGAAGGATGACGATTCCAATGATTCATCTACATCTAATGATAAACAGGTATGTAATGACAACTTTGCTTCTTGCAAATTGATAATGTAATATAAATTGTATTTAAGATCAGGTTGCTCTGACTTGTGGCTTTTCACATCCATATTAGGATATTATACTGGATTTGTATGATTTATAGGTTTATCGGCTCACATGATAAATAAATGGAATCAGTGACATATCTGTTTGTTCATCTGTTCAATGTTCATCCATTCAGGATATAACTCAAATAGGGGTTGATGGAATTCGATCAAACTTTATAGGCTAAATATATTATATAATGAAATAATCATTAGATATGAATTTGCATACATTATTTTAACGTATTGTGAAGTAAGTGATGCTTTTTATGTGCTAGTTTACCTGATGGCATTTTTCAAAATCAGGCATTTATTCAAAATAGCTGTTCTATAAGGAATTTCAGTTCTAATATGTGGAAAGGTAATAGTACCAAGGGAAAGGTCACACTCATATTAGATGAGCTCATATTAAAATGGCAGTACATGCAATAACTACAAAATTGGAAGATTGTGAATGATACTATTGGGAGGTTTATTTCAGAATTATATTGCCAATCTCTACAGTAACACCACATCACATTTCATCAAAAACTTTATGAATTATGAATGAAAATATCACATTTGTGACAAGGGTCGATTCAAAATTCGAAACATAGGTGTTTGCATCTTAAATGTGCCTTAGGAATAGATCACTTAACTCACTGAAAGGTTTGATGTAAGGGTAATATTGTAATTTTTGTAGTATTTTAAACAATGTTTGCTATTTTTATGCTTTTATATGCTTTTATTGATTACTTTTGGGGACAAAGACCTATTTTACCTCATATTTATATTAGACTATAAATATTCTTATTTGCTAAAAGATTTCTGTTGATCATGGTAAAATTCCTGTTCTTTATTTATTTTGCTAATTTTTTATAATATCATTTTAATACATAAAATTTTTCTCATCAAATGTATGAAAAGGTAATTAAGTTTTTCCCCAAAATTTAGCAGGAGGCGCTTCATCATTCTAGCTTATAAGCAACAAATTAATTCTAAATTTCTACCTGTATGGCCACATTTGTTCTTCAAAATCTTAGAACTGACTACAGAGGCAACCAAAATTTTCAGAAAGGTCAGAAAGGCCTCAGTAAGAATCCCTATTTGAACCAATTAGAATTGAAAATATATATCCAGTAACATTATTTAATTGGTTGAGACTCAGTCAACCAATGTCCTTCTGAGATAATGAAGATTTCATGAAATCCCCATGATGATAGCATGGGGATATGATGATACCCCATGTTAAGTCAATGGTAATCATCATGTGGATATCATGAAATCCTCATTTTCTCAGAAGCAGAGTGGTTGATTAAGCCTCAACCAGTAGAAATATGTTACTGATCATCTTTTATATCAACCCCAGTTGGTTAGAGAATAGGGGTTCTTAAACAGGAGATTTTACTTTTGATTTCCAAGCTTTTGGTTACCTCTGCCACACACAAGTCTAACAGAACCCTCAACATCTAGTTTTAGCCTCTCTGTTTTGACATTTTCCTGTAGAAACTTGGTGCACATTTGTTCTCTGGTGTTTTTGGATTCGGTTTCAATCCTCTCATCTTCTTTTTGTCTTCACAGATGTAAGTGATTTCTTTCTTTGTCTGGTCGGTTTCTGTCAGCAATCCACGTAGGCTTGATGTGTTACATTGTGGGTATTTTGCCACTCTAGTTTTGAATACCACAAGACAAAATCGTATGGAATAATTTGCGATAAGCTAGTTATTAAGCTTGTTATTATGGTCTTACTAGTGGTTATTATTGAGTAATGGTACAGGTATTCGATATGGTATTGCAGCTTACACTTAAGTAATGGTACACGTATCCTTGGATTTTAGGCCCGAATACCGAGGTTTATTTTTTTAATTATCGTGTATTATTATTTTGTGTTAATATTAGTTAACCATATAACTATTGGCATGATATGATAACCTTGTTATATTAATATAGCGCATAGGCGTAGCCAGGGGGATGCGATGTGTGCGATCGCACCCCCCCCCCTCCATAACCAATGAAAATAGAACCATTAGATAGAAGAAAAAAGTCTTAAAATGCTTTTTATTTGAAGCTTCTAGCTCGATTTTGAACGAAGTTGCACCAATTTTTGTAAAATTCAAAACAAATCTTCAAAAACATTTTTTATACCACGATCGCACCCCCCCCCCCTCCCCCCGACTGAAAGCTGGCTACGCCACTGTAACGTGTAATCAATACGCTACATTTTGTATGTTCAATTTGTATACTAAAAACTGTTATTAATCCACAAATTTAGATGAAGACAAGATAAAAATTTGAATCAAGAATGAAAAGGTGTCTAAGTATATGATTCTTAAGGGTAATGCATATTTGAATTAAACAGAGGCGGGTTAATTTATATTGTGCTATGAATTACGCTATTATTCAAAATTGCAGCTAAGATGCCTGTTTTACGATACCCTGCGTGCAGAGTCTAGTTAAACTACACTAAGACGAAGCTCTCTTTTAGTGAAGTCAAACGAATGCAAAGGGTAGTTTTATGAAAAATATCACGGAAGATGTATTCTAGATATCAGTAGTATTCTCAGAAATTTATTATCCGAAACGGATAACATCTGGCCACTCAGACAAACAATCGCAGACATAGGCTAAGCTTGTTTATTTAACAGTTAGATTTGTTGACTTACCGATCCGTATTTCAATCTCCGGGAAGACGTTCTTTTCACTTTGTATTTGCGTGCAGTGTAATATAAGTTGATACTTTTGTTCAAAAATGTACTTTTAATGGCCATTTTATGCCTTTTATTTTCAAATTATGTTTTGTTTGGATGTCAGTGTGAAAAGTCAAGAAACGTCAACCCCGACTTTAAATTGTTTTAAAATGTTGGTTAATCACTTATGGCAAATCACAAGGTTGATGATGTCAACGGACCATGATCGTGGAAGGCTATCAATATCAGGTGTATATCGCATAGAAAATAAATATAGCTAATTTTTCGCACTGATATGATGATGACTATTCTGGCGAATCGGGTAGATATTTCTCAGTTTTTTCCGGTAATAAAACTATTCATTTCTATCAATTTTACAAACGGGGTCCTTTGAATGCACATTAAAACTATAAAAGTATTTATTGGGTGTACATACTCGTTCTGTCATGTTACTTACATTTCATTTGCAAGTTGTCCACATATTAATCCGGCGTTTTGTTTAATCAAATTTCCCGCCCCTTGAGGTTTCCGACTGTAAAACTTAATATTTAATACTAACCAATGCATCAGTTAATATTTTCAGAATACAAATTTTCCATTTTTATTTCTCTGATAGATAAAGTCTCATTTTGAATCTGTTCGTGTATTAAAGAGTATGCTTTTATAATGCCGTGGTCACATTTGCTCAGATTTTCAGCACCGGCGCCCGGCCGTTGAGTATTTTGTTCAAAATTGTATTCAATTCTGAACAAAATACTCAATCGGCCGGGCGCCGTAATGAAAATCGGAACAAATGTTACCAAGTCATAACTGATGAAAAATCAAATGAGAACATGAACATGGATAATAGGGGAACTATTACGCTGCGTGCAGAGTCTAATTATAAACTACGAGAAGACGAAACTCTCATTAGAGAAGTGAAGTCGAACGAATGCAAAGGGTACGGTACTATAGAAGGGGATCATATAAAAGCACGATCTATTTCACAACGCCTTTAACTTTTGTTCTTCAACTGTTGCCCTCTGTGCATTTCAAAAATAAAATATCTTAATCTGATTTGTTCCACCTTTCTTTTCGCTCAGTTCTGCACTATTATTTCCATATGTTGTTTATGATTATGTCATTTGCGAAATAGCTGTAAGACATTATGAGAATGAATATGGGAGTTTCCACGATAATGTTGTTCACATGATTTTATACACATACCTGCATAACAATCGGAGACAGAAGTCTTAATATTGTCCAATAAAAAATGAGAATCTAACATTTAATGATAACAAAAGGATTAATTGCTTAGTTCTCTTTGTTTTAGTTTTTGTTTTCTTAAATGCGGAAGTGTACCAACATCACCTAGATTACATAAGAGATCATCTAACAGTCTAAAATTGCTTTCAATTGCAAGTTAATGCATTCCGACCAAAATTTGTATACCTGTAATTGGGGGGGGGGGGGGGCGATGTTACATCACATAACTACAACGTTCATATAGAAATATACAATAAGCATGTCCGTATAAAAGCTAAAATTATAAAAACTCATTTCAAAGTCATTCTGTTCATGGAAGCGTCAAGTTATGAAAAACAATGCTAAACACTCAAACAAATCGACTTGATTACCTTTGAAAACTTCTTGAGAGGAAATGGACAAATGTATTTTTCTAACTCATTAGAACGTCTGTCTGATTGAAATACTATTTTTAAATACAAACATAAATGATTTAATCTTGGTCAGAAGTCTGAACATTGTCCAACAAAATAATAAGAATCTAACATTTAATGATTACAAAAGGATTAATTGCTATATAGTCTTTGTCTTAGTCTTTGTTTTTCTAACGGCGGAAGTGTACCAACATCACCTTGATTACAGAAGAGATCATCTAACAGTCTAAAATTGCTTTTAATTCCCGGGTTTTGATTACATTTTATGTATAGACTTTTTTGCCTCTATTCTCATTTTTAAACCTGTTTCTGTTTGCTTATTATCCCATCGAACGAAGTTCGGAGGGATATAGGGAACGCCTCCGTCCGTCCGTCCGTACGTACGTCCGTCCGTACGTACGTCCGTCCGTACGTACGTCCGTACGTACGTACGTCCGTCCGTCCGTCTGTCCGTCCGTCCGTCCGGGCAATAACTCAAATTCCGTTGACCCGATTTTGTTCATATTTTGTACACATATACCTTATGGGAGTAGAAGTTCTGCTTGAAAGCCGATTTTCAAAATGGACGCTCATTTCAAAAATGGCGGCCATTTTAGTGCCGATTT